TCTGACCATTTTCCTAATTCGCCTTCTTAGGGCTTTACATTCCTTGTCAAACCAAGGTGATTCAGAGAAGAGGCGTTGGTGGATAGGCGAGGTGGTGGTTATGTAAGTTGTTGAGAAAGCATCGATCTTGTCAATATTGTAAAACCATTGGTTGCTCCAGAAAAACACAACAGCTCCCCAATTTGGCACCTCCCCTTCTCGGGGGGGGGCATGTTATCTGTTTATCAAAAGTGCCGATCTGAGGATTTGAAGCTGTATAGCAACGGATCTCAGGTCAGACACGGAACAGAACAACAGACCTATTTAATTAATAAATTGGGTGTTGCTGGAGATGTCAGCCATGCTTGCTGGGGCAGATGGAAGTTATTGTTCAGCAACACCTCGAGAGTCAAAGTTATATCACCCCTCCTCTAAATAATTGCACGGGCAGCACCTGTCCCTGAAGGGAACTTTAGTAAATCCGCCTCTAGGTTCTCAGGGGGTAAAATGTTAAAACTTATATGCCAGTTTACTCAGAAGCAAGTCTTCGGTTCAATAGGACTTGATTCCAAGCAAAGGTATACAGGACTGCAGACTTAGAAGGATCTCAAGTACAAAAGGATGAGAATGGGCAGCTGCTTCCTTTATACAACAAGTGCTGGGGGATCTGGTGTCCTCCAAGACACTATTGGACTCTCAGGTCCCATCAGCCCCAGCCAACCATGGCCGTTGGTCAGGGATGATGGGAGTTGTAGTCTAGCAACAACTGGAGGGCCATGGGTCCTACATCCATGTTGCAAAGCAGGGTTTCTCAAACCTAGGTCTCCAGCTGCTTCTGGACTACAATTCCCATCATCCCTGACCACTGGTCCTGCTATCTAGGGATGATGGGCTTTGTAGTCTCCAAAAACAGAGCACATCCTGCTCTGGGATCCTCCTGTCTCGCAAGTCAAGGGATAAGTGCCAAAGCTGGGAACGTTAAGTCCCACAGACGCCTCGAGCCAGGGAGCAGATCCAACCAACCCCCCCACAGCTGAGTAAATAGTGCCAATTTGCAAGTGAAATTAATAATTTGGAAAGTGAAGGCTGGCTGTGAACTGGCAACCATCCCAGACTGGGGACCAACCATGAGTATGTCACGCGTCTAGGGAGGGCGAGGGCTGTAGAGCGTCTGCCTTGTATGCGAAAGATCCCAGTCTCTATCTCTGCCATCTCCAAGTGGGGCTGGGAGATACTTCCTTCTTGAAACCCTGCAGAGACTCTGCATGCACAGCAGATATAGAGGCAACCACTTTTCGCTTCTTAGGGCGAAACCAGATATAGTAGTTTTGCTTTTACACTTGGAAGAAATTGATCTTTTAGCGTGGCAGCACTCTTTCTTTGGAATTCCCTATCAGCAATCAAGCAAGGTGCCTTCACTGCAATCTTTTAGGCACCTGCTAAAATACTTTTGTTCAGGGAAACCTACCCTGAAGCATAGAAGCCAGCTAATGGTTTAACCTGCTCTTAACTGAACTGTTGATATTAATTACATTTTTTGAACTTTTTTTTTTTAAAAATCTGTTTTTAACTTTTTCTTTTATTGACAATTTCGATGTTTCCCTTTTCTGTTTGCAAAGTGCTTAGAGGTTTTATTTACAACCAAGCAGTATGTAGGGATGTGGGTGGCGCTGTGGGTTAAACCACAGAGCCTAGGACTTGCCGATCAGAAGGTCGGCGGTTCGAATCCCCGTGACGGGGTGAGCTCCTGTTCCTCGGTCCCTGCTCCTGCCAACCTAGCAGTTCGAAAGCACGTCATGTGCAAGTAGATAAATAGGGACCGCTCCGGCGGGAAGGTAAACGGCATTTCCGTGTGCTGCTCTGCTGGCCACATGACCCGGAAGCTGTCTGTGGACAAACGCCTGCTCCCTCGGCCTATAGACCGAGATGAGCGCGCAACCCCAGAGTCGGTCACGACTGGACCTAATGGTCAGGGTTCCCTTTAAGCAGTATGTACATAGTGTTAAATGAAATAAAATGAATAAATTAATCACTGTACCGCAAGAGGACTGCGGGCTTTGCACTTCCCGAGCTGTGATACTGACAAAATTACATTCTGTCATATTGCCACCAATGGGAGAGGTGTGTGTGTTTTTTTAAATGGTATGTATTTTTATATTTTTATATTGTAAACAGATGTCACTAAAGGACTGTAAAGCACTACATCTGTAGCACCACTGTTCAGTTATTCATATCAAGGCCTTGTTTCTAACCACCATCAAGACAAAACACAAACCTGCCCTCATTTGCTTTAAGCCTAGAAACATATGGAAAGAGATCCTCTCCATTTCCCCACAAATAAGATTATGCATGGCTTTATATACATTACCACCAACAGATTACCGGGAAGAAAAAAGCTTGTTAATTTCTGCCCCCTACTAAACTGGAAACCTCCTTCTTAAGCCTGGCCTGGGGTAGATACAACTGTGGTTCATTGGGTTTATTGTGCCTTGATGACATCCAAGGTTAGCCTGAGGCTGTGTTTCAGTGGCTCAAGAAGGTTGCTCACCTCTGAAGGCCCATTGCATCGTTTTCCCCCTCAGGCAAAGGATTGGTGGCAACAAGGGACTCTGACACCCTCACTCTGACACAACGATGACAGAATATTCTCTTAGCCTAGAGAGATTCAGCTGCTCTGTTACTGCCTATTTTTCCAGCAGACACCAAAAACTGAAAGACTATGAATTCCTGAAATTCATAAATTCATTCAGATTGTGCAGATCAGATAGAATTCTACAGGATGTGTTGCAAGTGGCCAAGGAAGGCTGCTTCATTGCTGCTAACACAGTGGTTTAACTTCACCCCTGGAGGTGCACTCTATTGTCTCTCGAAAAGACGGGTACCAACAAATCCCACATTTTCCCATTCAATTCCTCATAAACTTTTCCAGTGCTTTTTTTCTTTAAAAAAAATAAGTTTAGGGGAACGCATTTTCCTACTCGTATTGAAATGCTGCCCCTCAATGAGGCCAAACTTAGATTCACAAAATGTTTAGGGGTATGCATACCTCTGTGTCCCCCCAGGAAAAAAAAAAGCACTGAACTTTTCTAACTTCAGAAAGTCCCGGATTTGTTTCTGAAGTGGATTTGTTGAGCCAGGGCAACAGGCGAAGGTGATGTGTTGCCTCTACAGGATGCCTTCTCCAGGCTAAAGCATACCCACCTCTGTCAACCCCATGCTGCCAGACCTGATCTCTGGCCTCCTCGCACCATCTTTCCCACCTTCTTCTGGACCAGCCTTTGCCAAGCCAATGTTTTGGATTACAGCTCCCAACAGCCCCAGACAGCACACCTGTATGATGTCAGAGTGGATGGGACTATAGCCACGCTAACTGGGGCTGATGAGAGTTGTGATCAAAGACATATGGAAGGTCGGTGACAGTCTGGACACATTCCAGTTTGACAATACAGTGGTACCTCGGGTTACAGACGCTTCAGGTTACAGACTCTGCTAACCCAGTAATAGTACCTCGGCTTAAGAACTTTGCTTCAGGATAAGAACAGAAATCATGCGGCAGCAGCGTGAGGCCCCATTAGCTAAAGCTACCTTAGGTTAAGAACAGTTCCAGGTTAAGAACGGACCTCCAGAATGAATTAAGTTCTTAACCCGAGGTACCACTGTACCCTCCTTAAACTGCCGTGCCCAGAACAGCGAATCGTATTCCTGGCGAGGTCTGAGAAAAGCAGAACACCACGCTACTGTTTCCTTGATAATGCTTAACTATAATTAATGCAAACTTCTCTTCCTGGTTTCCTAAGAACTCTTAACCACAGCACAGCAGAGGCCTGCCCAACTTGCAAGGCATCAGCCTAAGCGCAGGCCTTCGTGGTGGTCCACCAAGAGATCTATCTTGTTTTGACTGCTTGCTTCAGACACTTGACAAGGCCGCTGTTCAGGTGGGCCTTCAGCTGTGTGGGTGAACATCAAAAGAGCTCCGTCAGGTCAAGCCTAAGGCCCAGGTGCCCATGGAAATCCTGCAAACAGAACCTCTACACAACTGCAGCTCCCTCACCTGCTGTGCCCACCAGCTGTTCTTCAGAGGCATAGTGCTTCTGACAACCGGAGGTAGAGCTCTATATATGAAACTATCTGAATGAAATTAAGAATCATCAAAGTGGGGTGAGGGAGAAAGATGAGAGAGAGAGAGAGAGAGAGAGAGAGAGAGAGAGAGATGGAAACAGGAGAGATGGAAACAAAGCTGTACCAAAGCTGAACAGAAACAAAGATTCTTCGCTTTTTGTAAGTCATTGCAACAAATGTCAGAGTTCAAGAAGAGTAAGCGTTGCGAGTAGGTCTACAAAAAGTTTCTGCGTCTACCCAAGTCCTTGCTAATTCCCCCCACCATCGTCAGTCGTCTGTGAGCAGAAAGAAAAACCGCTGTGGATACTCAGGAAAAGAGGCAAACATGTTTTTTTTCAAACGATGACATAATAAAATGACCACAACACACATTCTGCTGCTTTTTCACAGGGGAACAAGTTCAATGTACTCTGTGGTGGTAAGTGACAGAGGAAAGGAGCTTGATAATATAACTCAGTTGTTTAGAGCCTACTAAGTTTCCTCCTTCTTTGAGAGTTGATACAGCTCTCACTTTCTCTCTCTCACCATCAAAAACCTGGCAACAGAACAGGAGACTCAAACGAAGGAGGAGACTCTCCTGCTACAAGTGGGGAAATTTCATGCTCCTTCTAGTTTTGCTATGCTGGAGGCAAAATACTGCCTTCATGAGGGCACAGAAGAGTCATTCTTTCATATTCAGAAAGTTGCCTTGGTGCATCTAGTTGAGTGTTGTCTACACAGACTGGCAGCGGCAGCAGCAGCTCTCCAGGGTTTCAGACAGAGGGCACCACTAGTCATGCCTGGGGATTGAACAAGGGGCCTCCTGGATGCTTTGCCACTGAGTTCTTAGAATCACAGAATTGTAGAGTTGGAAGGGACCCCGAGGGTCATCCAGCCCAACCCCCTGCAATGCAGGAATATTTTGCCCAAGGTGGGGCTCAAACCCACGACCTGGAGATTAAGAGTCTCATGCCCTACCAACTGAGCCACCTATGGCCCTTCCTTCCCATTCGCCTGCTTTGTAAGTTCCATGGCTGAGTCTCCTGGCTACAAGAGGGCCACTAAGACTTGCTAGTAAGATGGAGTGAAGAAAGCCAGTGGTCAAAACCTCATGTGACCAGGAGAAAGAAGATCAGGGTTCAAATCCTCATTTGGCCTGCCCATATCAATTGCACATTCCACTATGTCCTAAAAAAGGCTCTGTCAGCAGAAGTTCCATCTTCTACACCACTATGTAAGGTGCAAGATCCCGGTCTACTTTTCCCACCTGCTACAACAATCTACTGCATTTCCCCTTATTATCATAGAATTGTAGAATTTTAGAGTTGAATGGGACCACGAGGGTCATCTAGTCCAACCCCCTGCAATGCAGGAATCTTTTGCCCAATGTGGTGCTCGAACCCACGACGCAGAGCATCATGCTTTGCAGCATTCAAACACTGCCTTATGCCAAGTGAGATCCATTGGGTCTGTCTAGCTCAATAGCTCACGAAGAGTCGGACACGACTAAAACAACTAAACAACAACCGCTCAATACTGTCTACACCAGGGGTCGGCAAACTACGGCCTGTGGGCTGGATCCGGCCCAGTTGCCCTCAAGATCCAGCCCGCAAACGGCGTAGGTTTTTGTTTGTTTCCTTTTTTCGGCCGCCATTTCCCCCCCTGCGCCGCCATTTCTCCCCCATCTCCCTCTCACACATTGCGGCGGCGTCTCCTCCCTCCCTCCTGCGAGCAAAGGCGGGCGCCAGTCACGGCCAATCACCTGCAAAGCTGTTTGAGGCCCTGGCCAATGGGCAGGCAGTGGCTGCGTGTGATCAGCGGCTGCCCAGTCATCGGGCCTCTGCTACCGGCTGGAAGGCTCCGGACTGAGGGAAGGCCTCTGGAGCCTTCCCTCAGTCCAGCGCTTACTCCGCTGCTGGCGCGGCAGCGATCGGGCTTCCGCTACCGGCAGGAGGGCCCCCATCCCACCGGTGGGAGGTGCTGGCAGCAGGAGGCCTAGCAGGCCGCAACACAGTACCAAACTCAGGTGAGGACCTCCCCATCCAAACAATGACTATCATCAGTGGATGTTAGGGAAAAAATTAATTTTAATTTTTATCATATACAATACTGTCTGGCCTAATGGAATGTGTCCTTTTAAAATGCATTGGTGGGTTATTTGTGAGACCTGCCTGGTGTGCATAGGAATCCGTTCATCCCCCCCACCCCAAATATAGTCCGGCCCCCCAGAAGGTCTGAGAGGCAGTGGACTGGCCCCCGGCTGAAAAGTTTGCTGACTCCTGGTCTACACATTGATTGGCAGCAGATCTCTGGGGCTGCAGGCAGGAGAGATGCCGCTGCTGAGGATCGAACCTGGCACCTTCTGCATGCAAAGCAGGTGATCTTCCACTTAACTACGGCCCCTTCCAAAAGTAGCAACAAGAAAGGGAAGCCAGCCCACTGTGTTTCTAATTGTGCTGCAGAGAAAGGGGCTCTCTTGCCTCTGGCCTGGCTGGTGGGAGCCAACCATCCCTCCTTCAACGGCTTACTTGGGAATGCTTTCCCTGCTGGCTGTAAAAGTCAAGGCACTTCCCTTCCTACACAGCTAGCATGGAAACAAACAAACAAACAGACCCAATACTAATCACAGGCTTATCTACAGGGTTGCTGCCTGGTGAGGGTTAAAGAGGAGATCTTAAATTGAAAGTTCTTTCCCTGGAAGGCTGCTGGTGCAGAAGGCAGGGAAGCTTCCTTATACAGTGGTACCTCGGGTTAAGTACTTAATTCATTCCGGAGATCCGTTCTTAACCTGAAACTGTTCTTAACCTGAAGCACCACTTTAGCTAATGGGGCCTGCTGCTGCTGCTGCGCGGCCGGAGCATGATTTCTGTTCTCATCCTGAAGCAAAGTTCTTAACCTGAGGTACTATTTCTGGGTTAGCGGAGTCTGTAACCTGAAGCGTATGTAACCCGAGGTACCACTGTACTGAGTCAGTGTGTTGGCCCATCTATTGACCTTTGTTTCTTAATGGCTCCTGCTCCTGCTCCGGCTGCACAGAAAAAGCATTTGGGTTCCTGAAATTCATTCCAATTGCACAGATAACATATAACTGATTGAATACTACAGAACGGGGCATTAGTGTGTGAAAGCAACTCAGATTCAATGATCCCCAGTTGTCAGGCGCCCTCCTGGTGCCCAGGCATCTTCTCTTGGTTGCAAGTGGTTGAAAGCCAGGTGCAAAATGCGCCTGGCGCCTGGCTAATTTTGAACACCAGTGAGGAACCCATGCTCCCTCTAAATCCCCTCTTCCATTGGCAGAAGAGCCCCACCAAAGATCCACCCAAGCCAAGATCCTGTTCCCAACAGTGGCCAGAGGGTTCTCAGAAGCCCACAAGCCAAGCATGATGGCAACATCCACCAACTAAGAACACCAGAAAAGCCTGGCTGCCAGATGAGTCCAATGGCCCTTCAGGGTCCAGCATCTTGTTCTTAGAGCAGCCAACCAGATCATAGAATAGAATTGTAGAGTTGGAAGGGACCCGAGGCTCACCTAGTCCAAACCCCCTGCAATGCAGGAAGTTAGATGCCCAAGGAAAGCCTGAAAACAGGACCTGATGGCTACAGCAACTCTCCCCTCTTGCGATCCCCAGTGACTGGTGATCAGAAACACTGCCTTTGGAACTGGGAGTTCCACTGGAATTACGTAATACCTTTTTTAAACAACTGGCAGCCACTGTTACATCCTTCTGCCGGTAAATTCTCCAAGGTAATTCCATGTGGTGTGGAAAGTACTTAATTTCGCCACACTCCTGACTGCAGTGCTTCTCCAACTGTTGCTAGGCTATGAGAGTGTCACCTTCCTCAAGTACCCCCCTCCCCGCCCCAAATGTAATAGCTCTTTATCTGTTCTTTGCTGTACTGCTCTCAGCTCCATCTACAATGGGAATTAATACAGACCTTCCTAACCGAGTTGGCCGTAAGCAAAAAAGGAAACTAGCTTCGTACTGAGTCAGGCCAGTTATCTATCTAGCTCCAGCCTGTCCGCACTGACTGGCAGCAGCTCCCTTTCTGGGGAGCCTGCCCCCCCCCCCCGCATGCAGAACCAAGCTCAGCTTTGTAACTTAAGAGCACATACGGCAGTAGAAGACCACTTCTGAAGGCAGCACCAGGTTTTATTGGTTTTAATAGCAGTAATTATTTCCAAAACATTTTAGACAAAGGAGCTTGGAACATAGCCATTAACCCCCTTTTCAAGGTTAGCATTTCCTAGCTCAGCCACAACCAAGAGATTTGTGCCTGCAAAACTCTTGTTCCTGCAGAGACAGACTAGTCCTGCCACCCTTCTGAATGTGTTAAGTTAAGCTGCATATATATTTTTCTACCCACGTTGGAAATGTCTATAATTTGTAAGAATCTGATTTCTCCTCTGGAATTCTGCATGTGTTGCAGGGTCTGGCTCTCTTTCCTAAGAGATGAGGAAAAGAAACCTCTCTGCACATGCTCAGAGGTGACGTCTTCCTCACTCTTAACGTCACACTGGATCTCGCCGAAAAGAGTTTCCTTGGCAGAGACTCTTGGCCGCGATTAAGCCCTTCTTCTTTGGGGTGGCGGCGCAAAGAGGTTGCTAAACTTACGCACCTCCTTCCTTTCGGGGAAACGAAACCGGAGCTCTGTATTCCTTATCACCCCCCACTGCAACAATTCGGGTCAGTTGGAAGCGGTGCAGAAAAGGACCTGATCCGCCAGGGCGGAGGAAACTCCGTCCCGCAGGAGGGCTGGAGTTGTGCAAGAGGCGGAGGCGCTTTATTAAATAATAGCAGAAATGCAACTCCTTTCCCTTCGCCCCCACCCGACCCGCGCTCTCAGCTGCTTCCAAGCCTCCAGCGCCCGCACTTAAAATAGCCCCCTCCCAAGCCCACTGCAGCTCCCCAAAGCTGTTCATTTCATTTTACCTGTGCCTAGATCGTTGCCTCGGCCTGGCTCCGCGTCAAGGCAACCTTTTGCAAGCCGAAGAAGCGCAGACAGGAACCGGGGGGTGGGAGGGGGAAGCCCAGGCAGGCAGGCAGGCAGGCAGGCGAGCGTAGCTTCACCCCCCTCCCCGCCCTCTGCAACCCGCCCAGAGTCCCGCTATCGCTGCCAATTCGCAGAGCAGCGACTCCTCCCTGCCAAACTCCTCCTTCCATAAAAATGGGCGTTTGCCCAGGGCCAGGAGCGTGAAGCAAGACGCACAAACACACACGCCAGCAAAGGGAAGCCTGGAGGCGGGCAGGAGAGATGGGGGGAAGGAGGAGGCCCGATTCGGGGAAAGGAGGGGCCATGCCAGCTTGGGAAGGAAGTTTTGAGCGGGCCGGCCTGCTCCTATTCTCCCTTACAGCCGCTTGACTTCCAGCAAAACAGGGCGGCGGCAGCTTTCTCGGCTCGCTCGCTGCATCCTTCTCTGCATTGCAACGGCGGGGCCGAAGGGAGCGCACAGAGACGCGCTCAGGCATCGCCCCTCTTAGGGTGACTCCGGAGCGTCTCCTCTCTGCAGCTGAGATTCAGGGTACCCCACCAGGTGGCCCTTCCGGGTGTTTGGGGAATCCCTCTCCCATCAGCCCCCAGCTAGCATAGCCCGTTTGACCACGGAGCGTAGTTCCAGAACACCTGGAGGAACAACCAGGCGGACAGGGTGCTGAAAGGCACTGGCCATTGGGGGGAAGGCGTTTCGGACCAGTGGGAGATCGCGTGCGCTCCGTGCAAAAGGTCCCAGGTGCACTCCCTGCAGCATCTCCCGTTACGACAGGTGTGGGGATCCTTTGGTCCTCAAGATGTCTCGGGACCAAAAACATGTGAAAGCCAACGGGCTTGGCCAATGGCAAGGGATGGTGGGAGTTGCAGCTCAGCAACATCTGGGGGGGGCAACAGTTCCCCACACCTGCGGGAGGGGTCTCGGAGGGACCCCTGCCTGAAACTCTGGAGAGCCACTGCCAGTCAGTGTAGACAACATTGAACTAGATGGGCAGACACAGATGGACAGAAGGCTGTTCCTTTTTTTTTTATATATATAATGTTTATTAAAGTTTTCACAAAAAAAAAGAAAAAAGAAAAATTTACATGAGAAAAAAGAAAAAAAAAAGAAACAAAAACATATGTGTTACATTTCCAAAAAAAAAAGGAAATACATTCATTATACAATCATCATGTCCGTTTTTGACTTCCTTCAGCGTCGCTGGCCATCGATCGTAATTATCCGTTTGATACACATTTCATCTATCTTCCATATTGCCACTTATCCCTCCCTTCCTCCTCCTCTCAATTAAGCAATATTTATTAGTACTTACAGAGCCTCTTTAAATCCCGCTAGCGTTGTTTTAACACCATGTTTATTTTCCAGATAACTCACAAATTTCTCCCAATCTTTAATAAATTTCTGATCTTTAGTATATCTAATTTTCCCTGTTAATTTGTCCAGTTCGGCGTATTCTATTAATTTGATTCTCCACTCCTCTACCGTTGGGACCTCCTCCTGTTTCCACTTCTGGGCCAACACAATTCTGGCAGCTGTCACCGCGTATTGGAAAAGTTTGTGGTCCCTTCTTCTCACATCCTTCCCAACAATACCTAATAAAAATGCTTCTGGTTTTTTCGCAAAGGTGTACTTCAACATCTCCTTCAGCTCGTTATAAATCTCTTCCCAGAAGCATTTAATTTTTTTACACTCCCACCATTGGTGAAAGAAGGTCCCTTCTTTGTTTTTACATTTCCAACATTTGTTGTCCAACTTGTACATCTTTGCTAATTTCGTAGGTGACAGATACCATCGGTAGAGCATTTTCATCATGTTTTCCCTCAGTGTCGTGCAAGCTGTGAATTTTATATTCTCTTTCCAGAGCCTTTCCCAGTCCTCTAATTGAACATTATAACCAAAATCCCTTGCCCAATGAACCATCACCGCCTTCACCTCCTCATCCTGTGTGTACCATTCCAACAATATTTTGTACATTCTTGACAGATTTTTGTACTCATTATTTATTATCTCTTTTTGAAAGGTTGACTCTTTCGCTGCATAACTCCTTTCCTTCAACTCCTTTTTAAACATTTCATTTATCTGAAAGTAGTGCAACCAGTCATAGGTTAAGGCCTTAATTTGATCGTAGGGTTTTAGTTTCCATTTCCCTCCTTCATTACAAACCATTTCTCCATAGTTTCCCCACTTCTCTCTCATATTTACTTTCTTTATACCCATCATCTCTAGCGGGGATAACCAATGGGGAATTTTTGGTTCTAGTATATTTTTATATCTTTTCCAAACCTCTAATAAGGCACCTTTGAAAATATGATTTGTAAAGTTTTTGTCTGCCCTCTTCTTGTCATTCCATAGGTACGCATGCCACCCCACTTTGTTGTTGAAACCTTCAAGATCTAATAATTCCGTATTTTCCAGCTTTACCCATTCTTTTATCCAACATAGGCATGCTGCCTCATAATAGAGTCTCATGTCTGGAAGGGAGAAGCCGCCTCTTTCTTTTAAATCCGTTAGTAATTTAAATTTAATTCTAGGCTTCTTCCCTTCCCAGACATATCTCGAAATTACTCTTTGCCATTCTTTAAACATTTTGGTACCTTTAATTATGGGTATATTTTGGAATAGGAATAACAATTTGGGAAGTATCATCATTTTTACCATCGATATTCTTCCCCAGAATGATAACTTCATTCTGGCCCAAGTCTCTAGATCTTTTCTCACACCTTTCCATACCGGGATATAATTGTTCTGGTATAAATCTATGTTCTTGTCGGAGAGCCAAATTCCTAAATACTTAATTTTCTTTACAACTTCGATCTCCGTTCTTTGTTGTAATAACTCAATTTTATCTCGGTCCATATTTTTTACTATCATTTTAGTCTTCTTCTTATTCAATCTAAATCCTGCCAACTCTCCAAATTGTTCCATCTCGTTTAGAATTTCTTTTATGCTATCTGTGGGTTCTTCCACGGTCAATACTACATCATCGGCGAAGGACTTACTTTTGTATTCGTTTTTCCCCAACATAATCCCTTTTATTTGCTTATTTTGCCTTATTGCATTTAATAGAACTTCTAGAACCACAATAAATAATAATGGCGAGAGTGGACAACCCTGCCTTGTGCCTTTACTTATTTTTATATCTTCTGTAATGATGTTATTTACTATCAGTCTAGCATTCTGGTCTGTATAGATTGCTTCGATACCGTTATAAAATTCTTGACCCACTTCCATAAACTTCAGTTTTTTTAACATAAATTCCCAAATAACGTTATCAAAAGCTTTTTCTGCATCCACAAATATTAAGGATGCTGGTTTATCACATCTATCGGACAGATATTCTATAACATTTACTATATTTCTTATATTATTTTTTATTTGTCTGCCCGGTAGGAAACCTTGTTGGTCTTTATGAATGATCTTTATCAGTATCTTCTTTAACCTCTTTGCAAGGATTCCCGCAAAGATCTTATAGTCTGTATTTAGTAGCGAAATGGGTCTATAGTTCTTAACTTGTGTTAAGTCCGACTCTTGTTTTGGTATTATTGTAATAAAGGCTTCTTTCCATGTTCCTGGGATGTCCTTTTCTATTAAGATGTTATTCATTACTTTAATCAGTGGGACCATCAGGGAATCCTTCATTTCTTTATAGTAACTCGAAGTAAATCCGTCAGGCCCCGGAGCTTTCCCTCTCTTTAACTCTTTTATGGCTTCTTCTACCTCCTCTTTACCTATTGGGGCATTCAGTTGTTCTTTTTCCTCTGTTGGGATCTTCCTTATCATTTTTGTCTTTCAAGTATCTCTCTATTTTCTTCTTATTGTTCCTTTCTTTATTCCTATACAGTTGTTTGTAATAGTCCACAAAAGCTCTTCTGATTACCTTCGGTTCTGTTGTTTCTTCTCCATTAAACTTAATTTTGCTAATTGTATTTTGTTCTTTTCTTTTCTTAACTTGCCAGGCGAGCCATTTTCCTGGTTTATTAGCGAACTCGAAGTTTTTCTGTCTTAATCTCTTAACGTTCCATTCAACTTCTTTGTTTATTGTCATCGCGAATTGGGTTTGAAGAATCTTTATTTCCTGTCTTATCTTTTCATTATTAGGTTTTTTAATCAATTTTTGTTCGTAGTCCATAATCTGTCTAAGAATCTCCTTGGTCCATTTCTCTCTATTGTTTCTTTTCCATACATTTTGTTGGATAAGGAGGCCCCGCATCACCGCCTTACTTGCATCCCACACCACACTAGTCCTTGTCCCTTTATCCATATTATTCCTAAAGAATTCTGTTAGGTTTTTTTGTGCTTTTTCCACGAACTTTTGGTCGTCCCATAAATTATCATTCAGTCTCCACCTGTAGGTTCGTTCTTCCAAACCTTTGAGTTCCATTTCTATTGGGCTGTGGTCTGAGAGCACCTTCGCCTGTATTTCGATTTTTTAATTCTTGGGGTTAACTCATTTGAAACCCATATTTGATCTATTCTTGAGAACGATTGATTCGGTTCCGAATGATAGGTGAACTGCTTCTCCAATGGGTTCCTAAGCCTCCAGATGTCAATCAAATTGTAGTTCTTCATCATCGTGAAAAAGGTTTTAGGTAATTTCCCCTCTTTGTTTTTAATTTTCCTTAATCTGTCCAGTTCAAGTGAGACCACACCGTTCATGTCTCCCATTACTATAATTTTCTGGTCCATGTATTCAAATAATTTTTCTTCAAGCATTCTAAAGAATTCTGTCTTATTCCCGTTTGGTGCATATATCCCAACGATTATCATTTTTTCCCCTTGCCAGGTTATTTGGGCCGCAATCATTCTCCCTTCTTCATCCTTAAATAGTTGGTGAGATTCAATTTTGCTTTTGATATATAAGACCACACCTCTTTTTTTCTCTTTATCTGAGGATATAAATTCGTTCCCTAACCTTTTATTGATTAACACTTTCCTATGTTTTTTGGCAAACGAAACGAAACGAAACGGAATTGAACATATTTTAAAAAAGAAGAACCTGGACATCATATGCCTACAAGAAACACACGTGACAGAAGGCTGTTCCTAATAGCAGAGCATGTGCTGACGTGCATGTAGATAGCTAGAGAAAGGCTCACTCCATCTCTTAAAGACAGAAATCTGTGGCAAAGATGAGTCATTCTTTTTTTTAAAGTCAGGTTTTCTGAGGTTGGCAGAAATTAAAAAGGCAAACAGCACAACAGGGGGGATACAGTTCGTACTAGAGAAGTGAGGGCAATGGACCCTGTAAAAATGGTGCAGAATTAGATCTTATCAACTAGAGAAGGTTAATGGGCTGCTCTTTTTCAAAGGTACAGACCAGCCTAAGAGTAGAATGTGTTGTGAGTTGGGGGTGGTTAGGCTGTATTCCATGAGTCCCTTTCTAATTCCTGGATCTGGCAAAGATTCAATTGCTGGAATAATCAGGGCAGCTTGTTGGTGAGGCAATGGCCTAAGTATGGGTCCTTAAGGTAACAAAGGAAGTGGCTCTGTGCCAGAGAGCAAATAGGTGCTCCCCCTCCCTCAACTGGCTGGTGGTTAGAAGGGCAAAGGCCAGAGTTGTGTGTGCAAACTAGCAGCTAGTGGCAGGCAGAAAGCCTGTGAGGGTGAATGCCTGGCTTCTGCTAGGATCCAAGGCTGTGGCTATGGGAACAGACCTTCTTGGGGTGTAGTAGGCTCAGGTTGTATATAGGTGTAAATAAATCATATCATAAAACCACCAGTCTCCACTGTTCCTCACACCAAGGCAGGCTTCCTCACTCGGCCCTCCAGATGTTTTTGGCCTACAACTCCTATGATCCCTAGCTAGCAGGGCCACTGGTCAGGGATGATGGGAACTGTAGTCCCAAAACATCTGGAGGGTGGAGTTTGAGGAAGCCTGTTCCAAGGAAACCAAACCCTGGGTAAGGTGTCTGGAACCCCCTGCAATCTCGCACCACTCAATATATTGGGGTAGCATGCGATCTATCTAAATTACACAGTACCTTTTTTAAAAAAAATGGGTGGGAACCAAATATTTATAATAAAAAATATTTCAGCAGAACTGGTACCTTAAATAAGTCAAGCCATGAAAGGGGGCAGGGGTACAAAGAGAAGAATAAACTAAGTAGGTCACCCTTGACCACTCCATTCCTTGCTAGCAAAAGGCAAGGGTGTAAACCTTCAAAAAGTCATTTCTAATGGCTCACAATTGGTAAACTTGCCATTAAATGTTCCAGAAATTAAATTGCGGCCTTTTCTCCCAGACATCTTTATGAAGAGTCTGCTCAGCTGGCATTGGTAACCTCTAGGTTAAAACTACTGGAATGCATTATACGTGGGGCTGCCTTTGAACGCAATTCAGTAACTTCCGCTGGTGCAGAATTCAGTGGCAAGGTTGCTTACCAGGGCAAGATGGTCTGAGCACGTAACACCAGTCCTGGCCCAAGTACTCTGGGCCCAATCCACAGTGCTGGTTTTGACATATAAAGCCTTAAATGGCTCACGACCCCAAAACCTCAAGGACCACCTCTCCTCACATGAACTGACCTGGACAATGCGATCATCATCTGAGATTCTTCTTGTGTCCTCTCCCCAGGGAAGCTCACCTGACACATCATGACATATTTTTAGGTGCCAGGTGAAAATGTTCCTCAATAACCAGATGTTTGGCTGATTAAACAATCTATGGCCTTTTAAATGTGTTTTTGGGAAGGGGCTTTATTGGTTTTTATTATGTTATTTGGTGTCCTTATTTTGTATTGTAAACTGCCCTGTGGTCTTCAGATGAAGGGTGGTATATAAATCTAAATTAATAATAATAAAATAATAATAATAATAATAATAATAATAATAATACAAGTCATACTGAATAGCTTTTTTTAATACACAAGCAGGCATTGCTGTGTATTTATGAACGTGAAGATAAAGTGCTTAATAAATAGATCACCGCAGATGTAGAATAAGAACATCCAAATAATGCCACTCCAAAGAGAAAAATATTGCAGAGAGGGTTGTCTTCAGCCTTCGGACGCTATCAGATATTGGCAGTCTTTGGGTTTCCTTCTGCCTCCATCACAGGTTCCTGTAGGCCTGCCCAAAAAAAGATTCAGACTGAAACTATGCCTTTGGAAGTTTAGCAGTTATATTTTAGAAATATTGATTAGAAAGTTATGAACCCCTTAAGGACAGAAGCCTTCTGTCAGGGGTAGGGGCAGGCTGCAGAGCCCATAGAATAAAGCAAGCTATAAATCAAGTGCTTTAAAAGGGTTCACAAAGTTATTAAATCCCCATTTGAAGGGATAGCCATCTTCCCAACAACACTATGTCAGCCAATCCACACTAAATTCTGGTGCCATACAGAGTGCATGTACACCAAGCAGAGTGCTGAGCATATCAGCAATTCCAGATTACTTCTGTGTGAGAATGTTGCAAGATAACCCCTAAGAGAAACATGCTTTCCTTACTCCCAGTTGGTAGTTGGGCCTGAACGGAAGTAGACAATAATAATAATCTACCAAGTCTGTAAGTGTGCATATTTTCACTGTTTAACACACTCATTCTTTAATAGGAGGAGGCAGGGGAGAGAGATTTGCCAACAGGACACAACAGGGGTGCTCATTTACCAAGCAGTAACTTGCCACAGTGGGGTATGCATTCACTCTTTACTGAAGGTACTAGTGATCAGCTCACCACGTGTTGAGAGAATTTTGCCACACCTGCGCCCAGATGTCTGGGAAAACAGGAGTGTGGTTAAACTTTCTTTAGCACCCGATGAGAAAAACCAGCTCAGGAGCATCTGCAGCTCAAAAGCGGTTCCAGTACATTTTCAGTGGTAAACGTGTCTTAAAGCAGCCTTCCCCCAGCGTGGGTGTTTTGGATTACAACTGCTGCACTTGCTGGGTGTTGGTGAAGGCTGCTTTAAGGCTCTACTACGCATGTCCTCTGGGACTGGGACAGTTGGAAGGTATCAAACCCACATTGTAAACATAGGAATTTGCACCATCTTTCTGTAATCTTATCAGACTCATGGCTTTCTATGAATTTAATATTTGCTTTTTCAGATTCAAATCTCAGCCTGCACCCCACAACCACAAGGGGAGGGGGGAACAATTTGCCAACACTTTCCCAAGCAGGAATGAATGCCGTATATTAAGAGACTCCAAAAAGCTGAAAGTTGGTGATGGACTATATGGAATTGGCGGAAATGACTGGCAGAATCCGAGACCAGGGAGAAGAGTCGGTGGAAGAAGACTGGAAGAAATTTAAAGACTATTTGCAGAAATACTGTAAAATTAATGAATGTTAAAATGATGTTGGATTGAAAATAAGTGGTATTGGTAACAAGGTTAATAAGAATATGCAAATATGGATTGATAATGGATGAAAATGCATAGTAATAATAGGTTTAAGATATAGAGTTAAGATAAATGAAAGAGGGTAAGGATTTGCTGAAGTGATTATGTAAATGGGAATACAAAAAGGGGAGGTGTGAGGTGGTCAAGGAAACAAGCAAATGAGTTTAAAGATATTGAAAAATGGATTTATTTTTAAATTTTTTCTTAGCAATTTGTTTTTTGTATTTTCTTTTTTCCCCCTTTTATGTATTTTTTGGTAATTCCTGTATTTTCTTGTTATCTTTTTTCTTCTCTTTTCTATGTTTTCCTTTTAGTTTGTTAATTCTTGTTTTAATTTTCTCTATTCTGTAAACCTATGTTTTTTGTAAAATGCTAATAAATATTTTATAAAAAAACAACAACAAAAAGCTGAAAGTTGGGCACCGTTAGTACTTACTCTGCATGCTGTAGTCAGTCATCAGCAAAGGGAAGCCACTCAAATTCTGCTTCGGTGCTGTGGAGGGCAGCAAGTCACTGGCAGGAATACTGCTAGCAAGAGGTGTCATTATTCCAGCATCTTCTTTTTCCAGATCAAACACACAGAGAAGGCAGACTGGGGGCGTAACGCCAGGCCCTCTAGGGAATAAGTCTTCTTCATTTTTCAGGTAACTCCTCAGCGCCCCACTGTGGTGAATGGCCTCGTTCACGGGACCAGACCCAGTGTGTGGGCTCCTTTAACATTATCTAGAAAAAAGGAAGCCTGAATCATCCCAAAAGAGAACTATGTTCGGAAAACTTTGGGGAAAGAGAACCGAACATTTTGTGCCATGTAACCTGCCATATAGCATAGAGTCAAATCTCTGGTCCATTTAACTCAGTATGGCCAGTGAGAGGGTGTGGCCTGGAGGGTCAAATTCAGTCCTCAAACCTGAGGTCATCGCTGATTGTTAACAGCTCTCCAGGGTTTTATTCTTACAAGCAGGGCTTTTTTCCCAGGGGAAACTCGCCAGAACTCAGTTCCGGCACCTCAGGTGGTACCATTGCCATTCTAAGAGAAAGAGGGATGCGTTCATGGTGCGTTCTGGCACCACTTTTTTCTAAAAATATAACACTGATTAGAAGTATTGTCTACATGCACACGCCGCTGCCCATACCTTCATTTTTGAAGACCTATTAACATGATCACCAGAAAAGGACATTAGCCTGCTGCTTTTTTGGTGGTCATCCTGCAATTGTGGAATAATGTTCCATACAATGTTAGGCATGGCTTATGCCTGGATAGTTTTATACAGACTTTATTAACATTTTTTTTTTGTCTTGACTGTAGAGCCAAATTGCAGCTAGGGATCTGCATACCCATTACAACTTTAAAGCACTTTTTTAAAAAAAGTCTGGGCATTGTAGTTTACCCCACGGAGCTACAATTCTCAGCAAACTAGAGTGCCCACAATTATGTGAGGAGAAAGTTCATTCTTTGAATGTGCTTTAAAGGTAGTGTGTATACACAGCCTGTGTCACCCGGTCATGGTAAATACATTATGCTGCAATTTTGATGTTTGATTGTTACTTTTAATTATATGGGATTCTTTTACTGAGTTGTTTTAAAGATCTTGCTGTTGTATTTCATGGGAACTGCCTTGGGGAGAATTTTGTTCTTGAAAGGCGGTACAGAAGTTTGCTAAATTAAATAAAAATACAAGAGACTTTCCCATTCGTACCTGAGATGCCAAGGACTGAACCTTGTGACTTTTGAATTTCCTTCAGCCATATCGTTTCTACCCACCATCCCAAGGAAACAAATTCCAGTAGATCCCCCAGCAGGATGAGAGGATTATTCTGCTCTCCCTGCCACCACTAGTGCACCCAACTTCATTTATCTTAACACACCAACGCCAAGAACACTGCAAGTCAAGCGATCTGCAGCTAACCTCGTCACAGCAGCGTCTGCTAACAAATGCTCTGTACTTCATTTTGGGCCCAAAAGCCATCCCGCATTTTCAGGAACTGTGGGAAAAGCTTCCTCCAGTTGTCACCAAGTGCCCAAGGGAAGATCTCATATTTGTAGTCCTCTGTGTCTTCTTCCATGTCATTTGCTAGGTACCTGTAATCAGGACAAAGTGGTGTGGGGGACAGTGGAAAGCCTCCAGAATTCCTTCACAAAGCAATGGACGGTCTTCAAGCAGCAGAAGGAGTTCACCAGAGAAGTTATGTTCCAGCTTATAATAAAGTTTCAAAAACTATGGGGTCAAAAGTTGCTCACCATAGCCGATAGCTTTCCTCTCCACCATCAAGGGTGGCCATGTGTTCTACAAATAACAGCCCTCTATCTGAAGTGTTGTCTGGTTCAACTCACAAAAAAAGCCCAAGAAAAGAGAGTAGGAGGAACCTTGAAGTTGCCCCTCAACAATTAGCACCTGTATAACAGGTTAAGATTGCAGTCTTGGGGCCTAGATGCACATGACACTAATTGGGCTGCCCCTGATCATGTTCTACAACAACCTCATTTGCAAAGAAAAAAGAAAAAAAAGATCACCTGCCATCATCACCTTTAGGAAAAACAAAAGGTCTACTTGCTTACAACAGGAGTTTTCTCTAAACCTGTTTGCACTTTGGGGACAGGTGATTTTTGCTGCAACTGTACTGATGGAATTTGGGTGAGAAGGAAAGTTTAGCTCCCCTCTCCCCATTATTACAGTTTCCAGTTAGAAACAGGGGTCCTCTGCACCTGTAACTAAATTGTGACTGGGAGAAACGCAATTAGTTCCACATGTTGTTAACTTACAGTGAACTAATATAGTAACCTTTCACCCCACTTTGTAAGAGGTGTTCTGCTGCACTAATAAATATGATGAATAGCGAGTATTTGGTGACATGGACTAAACTCCTAGCCTAATAAACATTACAGGTCACCTCCCCACACGACCGAACCAGTAGAAGAGCACCAAAATAAACTTACAGAGCTATGAAGAGATTAGTCCGTGTGTATTCCTCCGTATGCAGGCCAGCACGTTTGAAGTACATCATAGTCATAGCTATAAGATACTGAATAAGACAGCTTAGCTTTAATAAAGTCTATAGCAGACCACAATAATAATTTAAGAGATGTGAAAGGAAGGCAAAAGCATTAAGAGGGTAGAAAAGTCAGCTACAAGACATTCCTCCAACAAGAAGCAAAGAATCAACATTATGCCCTGCTTTGTTGGTTGGTTACTACACAGGAAGGTTTTATCCAGAGTTCAGTCAGAGGTTTGTGGTTGTTGTTTTTTCACTTTACCAATCTTGATTGCAAATGGGCCTATCGCTATGATACTGTCTGAATGAAATTTAACTCCTGAGTTAAAAAGCAGTTCTTTATACAGCCTCCCACAACCTGGTATCCACTAGATGCTCTTGACCATAACTTCCATCAGCCCCAGCCTGCCATGATTGGTTGGTGCTAATAGGAATTGCAGTTGAAAACACCTGGAGGCACCAGGTTTTTTGGGGGGGGGGCGGGGAGGCTACAGATAGTGAAGCGGGCAGTTTTGAAAATGGATTATATTTATTTATTGAATTCCTATATCCCACCCTTTAGCATCAAAACAATATCAGGCTAGATGACATACTAAAACACAGATAAGCTAATCAGATTAAAAAACAAAACAAAAACACTACCATTACAGTCTACAATTAAACATGTAAATTGTCCCATCTGTCACACCATTAAAATGGTTACTACTACTACTAATGTGTAAGTCATATGGAAAAGATGTGTCTTCTGCTGGCAGCAAAAATTAAATAGTGATGACGCCTGCATGACTTTGGGGTTGAGGGAGGCTGTTCTGCACCCAGGGCACTACCCCAACAAAGGCTCTATTCTGAAACCCCAAATTATGTTTGACAATGGTACAAGCACAAGAAAATCTGTGGTGGGCCTCAAATAGTAAGCAGGTGTGCTCCTTCAAACAGCTGGGCCCAAAGCCATTTACCGGTAAATCTTTGTAAGTCAAAGCCAGCATCTTGACTTAGGTTCAGTAGTCAATGGACAGCCAGTGCAGATTTTTAAGGACCAGTATTGCACAGCTGCACTAGTCAATACCTTGGGGTCTGTAATTCTCACTAGGTGCAATCTCTAAATTGTTTTTACAGGCATCCCCATGTACAGGACTAAATGGGAGGTTATTGGGGCATGGACACCTGTGGCTAGGCTCTCTCTATCCAGGAACAGCTGTAGCAACCCACCACCAAAGCCACTTGAGTCTCTAGAAATTGTAGCGTCAAGGAGTACCTGCAGACTATGCACCCAATGTATCTGGGGGAACTGCAAGCCTGTTCAGAGTAGCCTGCTCACCTATTTGTTGAACCTAGGAAGCAGCAATCACCTCAAAAATTTTGGGAATTCAGCTTCAGTTTATTGGTCTTCATCTAGCCTGTCACTGTCTCAAGACACTGATTAAGTACCTGTACAGCTTCTCCAAATTCAGACAGCACAAAGACAGACAGAGCTGGGCATCAGCATACAGATGATGCTTTCCCCCCCAAATCACTGTTCCCAATGGCTTAATATGCATGTTTAAAAGTATGAGATATGAGAGTTGCTTTTGGTGGAAACTGGGATGCAAGCCATGTGGAGCGGATTGCTTGAATATTTGTTTCAGAGGTGAGTAGATCTGCTGCCTGCTGTATGGCAGCTCATTTACTTCCACTACACTCCTGCTTGAATATATGTAAATAAAGCAATTACTACAAAAATGCTATTAACAGTGTTCTTCTAGTAACTGCATTGATTCCACCCCTCCAGCACTCTCACTGAAAGAAGCAAACCAGAAACGTTGTCGTGAAATTTCCCTCTTTGCTTTGGCATTCATATAATTAAAAATTGGAATGCCATGCTGTAATACTGAAAGTGTAGGGTGGAGGACTTCGGGGGGGGGGGGGAACCTACCTTATCTGAGATCCTGTAGCATGTATCCATTGAAAGGAATTCTTGTATCAAACTATCCTCTGATGAGAAAAGAAAGCAAAACATGTTTTAATCCATATCATTATTTGTGGGCTATCTAAAGCTTTTATAACCAACTGCCTCATGCAGCTTCAATGTATATTTATGGTACCTGAGAAGCACTGTTTATTGTTACATTCAGTCAAGAAGCCATTCTGAGCAATCAACTTTCCAAGCTTAACTACATTATAGACTAAAAGTGGACAGTTTTCATCTTGCTGAGAACTGCACCAAAGGGCAAGAAGTATCTAATGAAGCTCATGAACAGGACAATTTGTAGGAGTCGTTGGGAAGTTTTGGGGGAAAGCTGATGGTATTTTCCCTACTGGCTGCATTTGCACATTAACAGAAGGCTATGGTTTTGTTTAAGTATGAGTATGGTTTGTTGAACAAACCATGAGCTCTCTTGCACAGACAAGCATGCTGCAAACTGATTCTCCAATGCTTTTTTTGTTTTCCATCTGCCCTGGCCTTTCATCTTTGTAGCTTGGGGTGCGCTGGCTGAGCCATAACATCTGATTTCAGACATAACAGCAAACCAAAGTTAAAACAACCAGGGTTTCTCAGCACAGTGTGACACCAGAAGACAAACTATGGGGTGCCTCCAGACTACCAGTATTTTGTGTAAGGGATTTTAGGTTTACACAATTAAAATGGACTAAAAGAACTCCATCACCCTAGTAGAACAAATCCACTTTTAAAAAGAGAATGATTTTTTTGCAGTTAGGAAAGTGAGAAACATATTGAGGCAAGCAAATGATTAACAAGATGTATAAACACAAGCAAATCAGGATGCATGTTCAGTAAAGAGTAGATAGAATTTAACTTCATTGTACAGTGGTGCCCCGCAAGACGAATGCCTCGCAAGACGAAAAACCCGCTAGACGAAAGGGTTTTCCGTTTTTTGATGCGCTTCGCAAGACGATTTTCCCTATGGGCTTGCTTCGCAAGACGAAAACGTCTTGCGAGTCTTGCAATTTTTTTCGCTTTCCCCCCCTTTTTCTAAGCCGCTAATAGCCTTCTAGCCGCTAAGCCTTTAATAGCCGCTAAGCCGCTAAACCGCTAATAGGGTTGCTTCGCAAGACGTAAAAACCGCTAGACGAAGAGACTCGCGGAACGGATTATTTTCGTCTTGCGAGGCACCACTGTAAAAGCTTTGTGCAAATAAATTGGTATGCATGTCCAAGCAGCAGCTCACCTGGAAGAGTCCATGGTTAGTCTGCTGGGAGACAGTCAAACGCACACCATTTTGCCTAAACAAGTAATGACTTAGCATTGTCTGCAAATCAGGCTATTGACTAAGAACTGGGCAACATTTTTACTATACCCATTTAAAATTTGGCAGAGCTGCTAGGGACAAGAAAGTCTGCATGCTACCAATCTCTGAACAGGACTGTGGGGTCAGGTATCTCACCCAGGAGATTGAAGAAGGCCTCTTGTTCTTCTCTGTGTAGAAGCAAAGGTGGTTGCTGTGAAGTTTTCAAGGCTGCTGTGGTATTCTCTCTCTCAGGCCCCTGTGCATCACTGCTGAGTACCCCAACACCATGTGTGATGCGCTGTCGTCGTCTTGTGCTCCCTGGCTTCACCCCTGTGGTGACCTCAGGAGGGACACAAGTGCTCTGGTTGTCCCGCATTTTTCTTCTCAAATTGGAACAACAGAGGCTCAAAAAGAACCTTTCTGGGGAGGAAATGGTTTAGATTCCAAGTTACCAATGAACATAAAATGCTATCTTCCCTCCACTAAGAATCTGGGACAATTATGCATTATAGGACATGTTATAAGAAAAAAAAACAGCTTCCTTTCCCTTATGGGGTATTCTGGAGCCCGTACAGAGTCCTTAAGTGGGTTCCGTCTCGGTAGGAGAAAATAACAGAGGCCAACCAGGGTATATTGAGAAGCAAAGCCTGATCGTTATTGCAAAGAAATAAACTGTTGCAACAGGGTCCCCACTCACCACACGCAGGAAGGAGGAGAACCCAGAACAATGGTGTGCAAGCCCTTATATAGACTTTTGAAATTGCCCACCCTGTAGCCCAAGACCAAGCCCACAAAACATCATACATACATCACAGAAGGAGGCTGTCTGCCAAGATACCTGATAATGGTCACTGATTGCATTACCTAGGCAGCCTGACCATTCTTTTGTGATGGTAAATACTTTAGTTCCTGAATCCAGGTCACAGGCTCACCCTATTCATACATAAATACATCCTTAAGACAGGATTTGTAAGCAAAAAGATAATGGGAAGGCTTTCCCCCACTTGCCTCCCTTACTGCAGGGGATATATTTAAGGTCAATTTGGGAGAGCGATGGCTTCAGGATTGCTCTCCTGTACCATTTATACTTGTACATTTATGAACATTTATTTTATATTTGAGACCTTAGAATTCTTATAATAGGCACGAGGACTGAAAATCTTCCCAGATGGGATGTCACACACCCTTTTCTGTATAAACGGTATACAAGTCGTAAATTCCTGTTAAAAGCTTGCAAATAGTTCAAGAGAACTGGAAAAACCAGAGGCTGAAGAGGACATGTGTTCCCATTTGGGCTGTCTCCCCAATGCTTTGGGCTGAGAATACACATACAAGCAAGAACTAGGAAGACTTAAGTCATTAAAACACAGTTGCTAATTCCCCGAGATACTAGCAGGTTGTATCACAGAAAAGGCTGGTTTTTTTTATTTATTTCAATGTACGGTAAATCATTTCCCAAAATTGCAACACGAAACAATTTACAGTATTTCATACATTAGAAGTACCCTGTGCAACTTTTTCCAATGCAAGCTTTGAGCCCGGTTTTTATCACTCCTGGAGTTTAGAACACACATGTGACATGGGCACTAGGAATTGTAGCTCTGTAAGGGGTAAACTACAGTTCCAGGGTTCTTTGGAAGAAGCCATGTGCTTTCTGCTCAGCCATGGTCTGCAGCACAGGGCAGAAGCAACTGCTGCCAGCCACACTCTATTCTGTCTAAAGTAACATTCCTGCTTATATCACCCACATACCCAGAGGTTTAACCTGAGCCCCAGCTAGTGGGCCAACATACACACTCATTTCTGGAATTTATTATGAATACAGGGACTCAAGGACTCAACACCACTTTGATATTGAGAGTAGTGATTAGTAAACCAACCCTATCTGGTTCAGCTCCGTCAAAATGGAGGAAGCAAAATCCAATGATGTACCTAGCCATGACCTAACGTACCTCACTGCACTGGACAAGGCAATATTTAGAAGTTGGCAGCAGTAGTGCTGCTGGGCCACAGGCATACATAGAAGCCACTGTGTCCAACTTAGTGCACAGGTTCTAGATCTGGAGGATAACCAGTTACCTAGTTGCCTAAAGTAATCTTCATACATACTCAGAGGTACTCCTGTTGCTACTACCACCAAATGTTTCTGGAAGGGCACTCCAGATTTACAAGTAATTAGGAAGAGAGGAAGCTCAGGATTTAATCTCTTGACTGCACCAAACCTTTTAGTAACACCTGTAGGTGCTGCAGCATCCAGGTTACCAGACTTCCTGCATGACACACACTGTTTATTATGTTTTTAAGGGGCTTGAAGGCTTTCTTTAGCTGTAACAGACTGGCATGGCTATCTTGCTAGAATTACTTCTTATCCACTGATTACCCCCCACTTTGTGGGAGTGATAAACAAGCCATATTGCCAATGGCAGGGAGAGAAAAAAATAGCACCACTTCTTAAAAATGTGTGACCAACAAATTATTGAACTCCACTGGGACTATTATTGGCGGGGAAACCCAGATTTCAACCACTTTCACCACATTTTCTTTCTATTTCAAGATGGGGTAAGTGGAGAGAAAGAAAAAGGCAATATTGCAAAACAAAAATCAAAATCCTTCCAGATTACCATTGTTATGTTCTTTCACTGAAGTCTGTCACACAGGTGATTGGAGTTTCCCAAGTACTTTAAGAGGAGCAAACAAGACCTATCGATAAAAAACAGGTAGCATACATTGGTGCTGAAGATAGAGCCCCAATTTCTGATGGGTCAAGTATTGGTACATGTAACCTACTGATTTGAAACACAGTGAAGAAGCACTTCATTCTTGTAAACTCTGAATCAGCCACAAATTTAAGTAATGGGCTTAAAATTTAAAAAGGTGCACCACCCAAAATTAAATGGGTGGCAAAGTCTATTAGCAGGGAAGCAAGGATTTTGCTGAACTCATTAAAATATAAATATATTGTGATTAAAAACCAGGGGAATCAAAGGAATAGTAAATAGTTCAGAGCAATACACACACTGTACACAAACACATATATCTAGCATTTCCAAATGTTAAAAAATTCAAGCAGACTCTAGTCCGCAAGCCATTAAAAATGGTTAGGCCTTCAAGATACCACAAGCCTATCTACTGTTTTTGCAGCAAGAGACTAACACAACTTTCTATGGGAATACATCATCCTGCTACACACAATTATATTACACATTTTGAACTGCAGATTGGGATGAGGGGGAGCAGTTCCTTCACTACCTCCATTTTCCTCTCCCCACCCAAATCCTTCCTTTAGCTCAACCTCCTGCCCAAAGACAAAATGCCAAGAAATTAAAGCTTTTGGTCTGTTTGTGGACCTTTTAAGTTTGCCCCCAATTGAAAACAAACCAAAACCAGACATATATGGCCTTTGTAGTGGATTTCCTTCCCACTCTAATTAAACCAACATGAGCTTCCATGGTTTTATTTCGCGGCTTATTTTACAAACAACCCTGTAAGGAAGCTCGCTTGAGGGGGTATGCGGCATGTGCCCTCTGGGGGAACTAAAATGCCAAAAAGAGGAGGAACGATCAACTTCTCTTCTGGGGAACTCAAGGGCGAGTTGACTTTGAGGGAAACACACCCAAGAAAAAGAAAGTGGAGACACCCCCCCCCCGCTTCTCTCCGAAAAGCCCCTTCCCTCAAAACACATTTTCCCGCCTTTTTCTCTGCCTCGCCTCCCTTCCCCCACCCTTGCACCTGAACAGAGCAAACCACCCAGCTCGCAAAAAGCCACAGGTGGGCGGAGCACCACGCTAAACGCCGTTTCACCTCACCCCACCGCCCGCGCGCGGCTTTTTTTATAGGCTCCGCCGGGGATCCTGCTAACCCAATCGCCGCCCGCGGGACGGACGGAGGGAGGAACAAAGGCTATTGAACATCCAGTCCCCGCGTGCCCTTTCGCGAAGCTGTCCGTCAAAGGTTCGAGCCTCCTTGACGGGCAGTAAATCACTTTGCGAGGGTTCTGTGCGCGCGCGGGGGCGCGCTTATTGGCGCGGGGGGTGTGTGTGTGTGTTTTGCGAGGCGGATGGAACGCGGCAGGGTTTACTTCTGAGTAAACAGGCATAAATAAGGCTGCGCTCTTGCGCCCGCTTGCCTGGGCGTTAGGCTCCACTGAGATCAAACGACTGCCGCATGCTTCTACATCGCCCTGCAGGACTGCGCTGCGTAACGGGGGTTAATTTGGGGGCTTTTCTAGTAGCACAGGTGGCGGCGAACCCTTCCTAGCAATCACTAGGGGCTGCGGCTAATAATGGGGTTGGTTTTTTAATTAACAAAATTAAAATAAACATATATACCTTTAATTTTTTTGGGAAAATGTGCATTTTGTAGTGTGTTCAAATGTTTTTTTAAAAAAGGTATATTTGTTTATTTTAATTTTGTTAATCAAAACACACACACACATTTATATTGCTCAGTGCAGTAAACATGCACTAACTCAGCTACATTGGTAAAGATAAAGCGTTTTATCTGCGTTATAACACTGTGACACCAGATGGCGATGTGGAGTCCCGTCTTTCGCCAACGGGATGCCCCTGTAGGAAACTTACAACGCGTTTAACTGAATCGCTTCTTTGACGTGTTGCCTACTCAGCTGTAGATTGGTAAAGAAAGAGCATTTTATATATGTTTGTGCATTGTAACACACGGCGACACCAAGATGGCGCTGTGGAGTTCCGTTTTTGCCAATGCGGTTTTCTCGTGTAAAGTTTACAACGCCTTTTTCCTGAAACGCTTCTTCACTGGGTCTAGAGATCCAGCCATGGTTTCCAGTGCTGTGCCAACACAACAAACCTGTGAAGTAGGCTGGGCAGAGCGTGGCTGACTCAAGCCCCCTCCGCCCATTTTATAAAGCAACCCTGTGGAGATAGGTAGGAAGACCGTGACTGGCTCAAGGGCCCCCTCAATTTTCTTCTCTGAAAAAATGTGTAAAGTAGACCAAGCAGAGATCAGCTGCCCTCCTTGCACGTCATAGAATTTCAGAGATCAGAAGGGACCACCAGCAACTGAGCTATCCCAGGCACACCCACATTCTCCTCACAGCAAACCTCATTCCCTTTGGGTAAGCACCCGGAACCCCCAGAATCTCGCACTGCTCAGAGGTTTGCAACAATATTCACAGACCTTCTGAAATACACAAAGGGTTGAGGCAGGCTATTTTCAATTACAGGTAGGTCTTGGAGAGATCCCTGCCTCAAACTATGGAGAGCCACTGCCTGTCAGTGTAAACAGTACTGTGCCAGATGGGACAATGGCCTATCTCACTAGATTATTCTGCATGATCATGTTATAATATTGATTGATTGGATCGTTGTACTAATTGCAAAAAGTAGCCCGATTAAAAAGTGACAGAAAATTGCACTGGAAAGCACAGGATAGCAACCACTAGCTGGCAAAATTGTACAGCCTTGAACATATCAGATATTGGACATAGTCTCCTGTGCATATCAGATAACAGCTGGTCTGGAAGCTGCCACTCACAGCCTCACCTACCTCACAGGACTGTTGTGAGGGTCAAACAGGGTGGAAGTATTACATATATTGCCTTGAGCTCCTTGGGAGAGGAGGGATATATGTGTAATGAAATCACTAGTTGCAAAATGGAGGATCAAAATCAATGAAATCCAGGTGTTACATTTGTGGCGGAGATTTAACTTGATTACCAACCCCCTCAAAATCATTCATTTTCTCTAATGTTCACACAACAATCATATGTAGGAGCAGCCTGAGGCAGAAGAATTAAAGCGACGTGGCTAAGGTATGATTTGAACCCATGACTTAAGTTCTAACTACTCCCCCCCCCCACTTTTTCTTAGACCGCCTTCCCGCTTAGCAACGGCTGTTCCATCCCAATTGGCCCCGCTGGGAACATTTATTTGATTGGAGGAGGCTCCAGACTTTGGACCAATCACCGGGAGCCACGGGACTCTCTTTCGCCTGTCCGGTGCTGGAGGACAACACCGAGCGGATCTGTTTGGATTGTACCATGTGAAGACTGGAAGGAGGGGGGGAGACTGCGAGGAATTAAAGGACTACCCTCTTCGATATGAACCTCTCTCGAAATACAAGTTTTAATCACTCGACGAGAATGAATCTACGACTCTCCGGTCGGGAGGCTGTGAAACAGAGCGGGGTCGGGGAGAAAGTAGATGGCTGAGGAAAGCGTTTGGTAGGTCCCGAGCGGAAGTGAGGTATCAGCTGAGCGTCGGGGCTTCCGGTTAGGCAGAGAAGAGAGGAGTTGGTGCTGGTTGAGGAGGGCGCAGAGGCTTCCGGGGCTGCCGGGATTAGGTGAGTCGTTAGGGTAGCGGGAGAAGGTCGCGGGTGGCTGTCAATAGAGAGTGGAGGGAGGTGGGCCTAGGCCCAGGCAGGGCTGGGAGGCAGCTGTCATGGTTCTCGGACGCAGGCGAGGCCTTCCCCCTCCCCTCCAGCCCTGGCACCAGCCTCCAGGTGAAGCTACGTGGAAGGGTTGCAGTTCAGCAGCCTAAAGCAGGAACGGGGAGATCTGACCCTGCTGACGTGGCTGGACTCCTGCAGCTGCCACCATCTCTGGCCATTGGTCCTGCTAGCTGGGGCTGTTGGGGGTTGCAGCCCAGCATGGTCTGAAAGGCCACAGCCCCCTCTTCCCCAGTCCCTGCTGCTAAGCGTATTCGCAGCCAGTGTTAGAAACTGAGATATGAAAGCTAGGAGCTGAATGGCACCTTAAACCTAGGTTATGGGTGCAACAACAGAATGTCTAGGTGAACTCTTTTTTTATCGCAAAAATACAAAGCTGGAAATGAGTGAACTGCACCTAAAATATTATGTTCATTTTTCACGTGCTCTGGTCCTTCCCCTGCCCACCCACCCCTAATATTCTTAAGAGAGTCTCTTCTCCAGTCTTCAGAGAATAGCACAAAGTGGGAGGCAGAAAAAGTTCCTCCTTTCCTTCCACTCTGCAGTTTTAATCTGAAATCATGGGCGCAGTACTGCACCCAGAGCTTGGAAATTGCTTGCACTAATGAAATTCCCTGTCACAAAATGCACCTAGAACAACGTGAGTTTCAAACACTGTTCCCAGCATGTGGAAGGCCCCATGATTCACTCCTCTGCCTGAAACCTTGGAAAGCTGCTGCAAAATCCAGACATTACTGAGCTAGATAGACAGAAGGGCCTGATAAACAGGCAGCTTCCTGGATGCTTCAAGGAGGTGGGCAAGTTAAGGAACACACATAGTAGACAGTTTAAATTTATTGTGGATGTGGCTTGTTAACTACATAGTCAAGTATGTATTGTACACGTGTACTGCCACATGTGTTGGGGAGAAGTAAGACATGGTGGATTGAATTTGCCTGCTACTGTTTCTTACAGGTTTCCATTGTAAAACAACAAAGTTCTGTGGTTTATCCTTTCTGCCACCCTCCCCACTGGGTGTGCCCTCTTCCAAGATACTGCCTCCTACCCAAACAGACATTTAGCTGTTTTAGTTTCTTTCCAATGAAGTTTTTTGTTTTGCTGAAATACAGAATGAAATCTTGGAGTTCTTCTGAGCATGCTGACAACTTCCCTTTGGTTTCTGCAAAAACTGTAATCTGGCTCACACCAGCTTAGTTTGCTTAAGAAGTAATTGGTGTTACTTTACCTTGCTGTCATTTACTTATGTAATGTTTAAAACCTTGTGTGTATATAAATGCAGGTATAAACCGAAAATAGTGTTTTGATTTAAACTTTTTTTTATACACTCAAGGTGATATACAGCATGTGGTAATACTTAATATTTATATAGGATTTTCTAGCTGTAAGCTTTACATCAACTTTATAAAGTAAGCTAGTATTAGTATGGGTACACATTGTGGCTGAGATAAAGTGTTTTTGCAAGAACCAATGAGGAGCTCATGGCAGATGTGAAATTTGAACTGAGGACATCTTGATTTGTAGCTTGGTCTCTCAGCTGATAAAGTATAGTTGTACCTTGATTGTTGAATGCCTTGCGACTCAAATGTTTTGGCTTCCAAACACCTCAAACCCGGAAATGAGTGTTCCAGTTTGCTAGCGTTCTTTGGAACTCGAATGTCCAGTGTAGCTTCCACAGCTTCCGATTGAGTGCAGGAAATTCCTGCAGCCAATTGGAAGCTCAGCCTTGGTTTTCAAAGGTTTTTGGAAGTCGAACGGACTTCTGGAACGGATTCCGTTTGAGAACCAAGGTATGACTGTACATCTGTTTTCAGTTGATGTGCTTTACTAATATAATCATAAAAACAGTGACAGCAGAAAGGAGAGAGGAACTGAGGCAGGACAAGCAGCAGTGGAATCTGCAGTTGTTTCTGTTTCTTGTATTTCAGTTTAGTTACAGTAGAGTATGGTGACAAAGGAGTCTCCAAAGGTTTCATCGGAAAGGTGGGCTTTGAAGTGATGTTTGAAGGAAGTAGGAGAGGTGGCCATGCATGGAGGTGTTCTGGGATGCAGGGAAAGAGAAAGGGAGAAAGAGTCAAGTCATTTGAAGGGAGCAAGACACCTTCCGATGGCTGAGGTTGGTGGATCCAGTGGAAGGACAGTTACAGTTGGGATATAAGAGCAGGCAGATTAGGTGGGTAAGGTCTTGGAGGACTTTGAAATTAAGGATGAGAAGTTTGTGCAGAATCTGCAAGTGGACAAGAAGCAAGTGGACTGTGCTTACCTATTTAAACATTTTTGCTGCATCTATCTATTCTGAAGGTTCAAAACAGTTGATAATCATCCTAAAATAATTAAATGAGATGGACCAGTGCAGTCCAGCTAGAAAAAGAAAACTATCTAACATGCACAAACGATAAACGAACACTGACCCCAAAGGCCTTCTTAAATAGCACAGTTCCTGCTCTCAGGCTTGCACTGAAAAAAGGCAATACAAAAAAGGAATAGAAAAAAAGAGGCAAGGAAGCAAGCTCAAATTCTTAATGTTGTACAGTTCTTAATAATAACCATAATGTTGGAATGTAAACAGACTGTTTATAAGCTTTGGTGAGCCTCTGAGAAATAGTATGGCAACTAGACTTTTTTTGGAAGTGGCTGCAATGTAAGTGGAATGGCCTTGCAAGGTGGGGCCATGGCCTTCTGGAGCTTAGCTGGGATTTGCCAGCTTCTTATCATTCCCATCATGGTAAATAGATAATGGGAGACCTGTTGATACTGTCAACCCTAGAGCAAGCAGCCCTTACAGTTCAGTAAGTTCTGAAAGCATCAGGGTGGGTGGGGAGCAGTGCAGTCTGGTGAAAACAGCAAGTGGAGGTGGCAGTTCCTCGCTGCAGCTTATCTCCCTCACAGCACAGCTGGAAAAGGAAAATTGATCAAAGGAGGATTTCAGTGTTAGGATTCCAAAATAGAATAGCTTCCTGTATGGCAGTGATCTGAGTGCTGGTCTGATTCAGCAGGATGAGTACATATTGGGGTGATCATTATATAGTGTTTAAGGGTGCTCAAAACATTTCATGTATATTTCTGTACTCCTTACAAGAACTCTGTACGGTAATTCAGTTTTTTAAAATAAACACACACACACAACCTGCACTCTAAGGAACAGGGTGATCAGCTGAGACAATAATCTTGGTCTAGATGTTCTGTGACAGGAGTGAGATTTATGCTAAGGTCTTCCTAATTCATGCTTTTGGCTGCGATCCTATGCAGGAATCCTATTTGAGAATAAGCCCCACTAAACTTGATGGAGTTTATTTCTGAGCAGACAAAAAATCATGAAAGGTGTGGAGAAAATGGGTAGACATTTTTGTCCCTCTCATCATGTTAGAATTTGTTGAGAATTATACAGCGAAGTGGATTGACAAAAGATCCAGACCAGGTGGAAAGTCAAGACCTCATACTCTGCACATATAATCAGTTTGTGGTACTTGTTGCCACAATAGGCAGTGTTGACTTTTTAAAGTGATTAGGCAAATTCTTGAAAGGGAGCAGGCAGTGTCTGTCCATGACTTTGATGACTTGATGTTACCTGAGTGAATGAAGATACCTTTGAGTTCTGTATGCTGGGGACAGACATGGGAGGCCTGTTGCCTTCATGCCGTGCTTGTTGGCTGGAGACATCTGAAGAAACCACCTTGAAACCAGGGTATTGCACCAGGTGAACCCTTGACTGGATGCAATAGGGCCCCTATTCTCTCAGCAAAGATCACTGTCTGAGCTCATCGTTTGTTTGTGTCTACTGCATACATTGAACTTTCTGTGACAGTTCCCTTTGAAAAAGCACAACTTCACAGAAGGAGTCACCAATCAGTTACTGATATCTATTAAATTGGGTGTGAGTCTAGCACCTGGAGGGTCACAGGTTCCTCCAGCCCTGCTTGAAATATATAACTAATCTGAAGTGGGTGGGGGTTGATATGTATGGGTTGAGTTTCCTTCTTCCAAGAACCATCTTACATAGATTATTAATTCTGCTTCCAGGCTTGGCCTTCATTTCAAATTGCAGCACAGAATCCTCTTTTGCCTCTCCATCTGAAGGTGCCAACCTTTAAGCTTTCCCTTGCTTCTGTGATGTAAACACAGGTTACCGTAGCTCAGCTACCTTTTCCCTCTTGCTATGATGACCCATAGGGCAAATTACCCCATTGTTACTACCCAGTCTGTTGGAGGGTGACAAAACTTTGTCTTCAACACAGTTACCAGGTGTGTGAAATGAGAGGGAGGTATTGGTATCTCCTAAGATAATGACAGACTATCCTAATAAGACTCTATATACTGATAGCTCTTGCCTTCCCTCTCTTCAGCTGAATGTTTTCCAACTGGTCAGGCCAGATGACAGGGGAAAGAATGAAGAACACAACAGGTTTTCATTACTTTGTGAAAGGGTGTGAGGGGGAGTTCTCTAGATTTATGGCAGAAGATAGCCAGAGTGGTGTAATAGCTGGAGTTAACACAGAGCAGGGAGACGGGGGTTCAAATTCTCACACAGCCATACAGCTCACTCAGCTCATGGAGTCAGCAACCACATCTTAGCTTGACTCTCGGGGTTGTTGTGAGATTGGGGAGTGGGATGTGCGTGTGCTGAAAATCTAAGAAAGCGGCACATTCTGATACGGAAAAAGTTTTGTTTCCAAAAGGCTCATGTTCTAGAATGTGCTAAACCAATCTGCTCCTTTAGGGTTATTCTTTCCCAGATTTCTGATCTTTACTCCAGCAGCTTTTGGCACTTGGAGCTATCAGAACAGCCACAGTTAGAGATGTGTAACCGCCAGACAACCTTTATAGTGAGCATTCAACCTGATTTGTTTACAGAGAAATTAGATGACAAGTGTTAATCCTACACTTTCCAGTGCATCCTCCTATCACTTTCCTTAATTTAAATAGTCTGATCTTTTGAGGGAAGGGAGTTTGTTTCACAGGAGCCCTGTGCAATTCAAATGAACTTCTGGACTCTTGTGCAGTGAGTAGGTAAAGTCCTGGCGGGTTGTGCTCTGCATTTTCAGCTTTGAGCACAAAACCATGTCAGATCAATCCTCTGCTTTTCCTTCAGTGGGCAGCCTGGTTTATACACATTAAAAATAACCTGCAGGCTTCCAAAGTGAAATTCCATGGTGTCTGCCTTTGTGGCTAGCTGTAAATATTTCTGGATCAAGTTTGGTTGCCCGGTTATATTCCAGGCTTTGCTGCTGGAAGTATCAGTTGGACTCTTTGGCAAGCAACCTTTTAATCAGCAAATAATCTTCTCTGTAGGTACACCAAAGCCCTTATAACTAAGCTGCTACATTACAGTGTATGCCATGTCAGTTTTGATCCTGCAAAATTTGTTTCAGCCCCACTTCACAACTGCCACATTTCCTGGTTAGCATAACTCAATGCAGGCCTCACACAAGTGGAGACTATAATGGGACACAGAATTCAGCATGTAAAGCAGGGATTCTCCTCCTTGTAGTCCTCCAGGTGGTGTTGGACTGCAGCTCCCACTGCCTCTGACCATTGGCCCATGCTTGTTGGGTTTCCTCATTCCTGATCTATTGTTATTTTTCTGTAGCAAAACCAGGTTTCCAACCCTCATGGCTTCCAAGATAGGAAGCACCTGGGCAGTGTTTGTTAAAGTCATAGAAGCTGGAGGAGAGAGTGGGGTGCAGGACTTGGTTTTGGGGAGAGGAGATAGATGTTCCTGTGCTCTGCGTATCAGTGGGTTTGAATCGGTAGTAGAAGCAAAATCCACAACTCGCGTCCCTTTGCTTAACCCTGCTACCTTCAGGGCGGGGTTTTCCTTCTGTCAAAGTTAAAGAGTTTAATTCCAGCCTTGCACATTCATCCACATGTGTTCCAAGTATGGAAAGCATTTTATAAGCCAGCTAGCCAACCCCATGCCCATGTTGCTAATTGGTGACTCTTTCATATACGGTGGACACTCGGGTTGCGAACGTGATCCGTGTGGGATGCACGTTCGCAACCTGCAGCGTTTGCAACCCGGAGCATTCGCAACCCGGGTTGTGATTCGGCGTATGCGCAACCGCCAAAAGCTGGAAGTAGCCCATTCCAGTACTTCTGGGTTTTGGCGGCCCACAACCCAAAAAAATGCAACCTGAAGTGGCTGTAACCTGAGGTATGACTTTATAAAAAAGCGTTTCTGTCCAGTTGTCATGAGGCAGCTCTTGCAAGCCCTAGGTAATTGGCTACTTGCAATGCCATAGTGTAGTACGTGTCAGCAGAGGGTTTGGGCACAGTATTTCTCGTAAGGCTTCTGAGAATAGCAACATTAATGCACCAGGCCGTTACTATGCAAATTGGGTGGCTTGTCCTGTTTTGCCTTATTCACAAGCTGAGGCAAGCAATGGCCCAGTCTTTTGTCTTCAACCATTTTTTCTCCTCTTACACAGGCTGCTGGACGCTGGGCTGGGGAGATGTTCCGAACAGCCATCATGATGGCTGCCAGCCTGGCCTTGACCTCTGCAGTGGTGGCGCACGCCTATTATCTTAAGCACCAGTTCTACCCGACGGTGGTGTACCTGACGAAGTCCAGTCCCAGCATGGCGGTGAGTCTGCCTACCCCAGTTGCTGCAGGGAGGTGGGCATAATATCAGGTTTGATCGCATGGCTGTGGCTTTAAAGGGTCTCCATTTGAAAAAGGAAAGGTCCTTTGAGGAAAGGTGGAATGAACTGGATACGTTCAGCCCGGGGAGAGAAGGCGGAGAAGACATAAAAGCACACTCCAGATACCATTGCTGAATTTAATCTTTGAAGTTTGTACAGTGGGAGGAATAATCAGTGCATTCAAGGATGCTTAGCCAGCATCTTTTCAAACCCTGGGCCTCTGGCATATGATCATCGTGGCTTTCTGAAACCAAACTTTGGTTCATATAATATGTAAACTTGCTCCCTCTGTGCAGCGCCCCAGAACCCAGAAAATAATTTCAAAAAGGACCTAAATAACATGAACCATAGTTCAAGTCTAGCTAGCAATCCTGGATCTTTAAGGAGCCACAAGCAACAGTCCTGAGTTTGCGTGGCACAGGAAGCCAAGCTTAGGAGTGGCCTCTGTTTGTTTTTCTTTCTTTGTGCTAGCAGTTGAGGCAGTGCACAACAGCCCAAGGTTATTGCGCCATGTGAATGCTGCCTTGTTCTCTGCTGCTCAGTAAATGCAGGACTAGCTCAAAGGGGCTTAAGTTATAAAGTGGTAGATTATGGTTGAACATTAGGAGAAGCTTTGTAGTGAGGAGAGCAGTTTGATATGCAGTTTGTCCCTTTTCCATTGTGTGCAGTTTTTGTTTTTATTTAGATTGTAAGCTTGTGGGTAGGGACTGCCTTGTTTTGATTGTATGTAAGCAGCTCTTGGAGTCTTTTCCGCAGAAGAGCAAGAAGCAGATTCCCTGAATAAATAAGTTATGTCAAGGGGTTCTCCTTTGCTGGACATATTCAAGCAGAGGCTAGGCTGCACTTAGGACAATTGAGGATGTAGTAGGTTTTTGAACTTCTGGCATCAAGCAAAGCGCTGATCCAGATGACCTCACAAGAGTTCCTTCCTGCCTGAGACTCTGGAACTCCTGCTGTCCAGGACTGTCTACCTTGGCTGCTTAGGTCAGCTGCAGGGAACCCATTTGGTTCAGTAGGCCAGATCTTTCTTACCCTCTGCCCTGCCCCCTGTGACCCAGCTTTGTCCCACCCACCTGTCAGTCATTTGATGTCATAATATAGTCAGGTGGTTGCTCCCACCCACCTGTCAAAAGTTTGCTCACAGGTGTGTTTGGGGGGTTGGGATTGGAGAGATACTGAGCAGGATTGAACTCCTTGCTCATCAGATGACATTTTGGGAGTTTGTTCTTGCTTTCTGATGTCACATATGACATTGGGTATGGAGCAGATGAGTGTGGTTTGGGCAAATGGCCCAGTGAACCAAATGGAGAGGCCTGGCAGGGAAAATCTGACCCAGGGTAGAGGTTCTGCACCCCTGGCCTAGACTGACTCAGGTTACATGACCCAGGCTAAAACAATACCCAGTACAGGAACTTGGAATGAGGAGGAAAGGCTGCTTTCTCTTTCTGTGGTGGTATTCTGTGGTGACTGAGTTCACAATAAAGTTTTCTAAATGCAATTACTGCACTGTTGCCCCATCCCAGCCCTCAGTGGAGTTTGGCAGAGTAAAATCTTTGCACCAAAGCAACATGTTGATTCCAGGTGTTCTTCTTGCCCTGCCAGGGTCCCCTCAAAAAATGGTCTCATCAAAGCTGCCATCTGCATTTCAAGGGAAGTCTTCAATGTAAAGCCTTATTTAGACCTACATGTGTAAGGAATAGAAGAACCCAAACCAGGGGTCAGCAACCCGCGGCTCCGGAGCCGCATGTGGCTCTTTTACACCTTTGTCGCGGCTCCGGGGCGGATACTAGCGAGGGGAGGAGGCGCATTGTGTGCCCCGACTCTCCCCACTGTTTTAAATGTCGCAATGGTTTTGCGGCTCCCAGTTTTTTTTTCTTCGGTCCAAGTGGCTCTTTTTGTCTTAAAGGTTGCAGACCCCTGACCCAAACAATCTGCATATAATAGAGGTTTTCTGAGATCCAGGCATAGGGCATCTGAAATATAGAGCTCACAAAATATTTCTGCATCACATAGTAAAATTAACCAGTTTTGAATCTGGGGCTTATGCCCCATGTGTCCTTTGGCAACCAGGAGCCTGGAATGCTTCCATCTGCAGTTGTAGGTTTCTTCGTTGGGGTTTCCTGTTACATACATGCATAAAAGAATAATTTGGTTTGGGAGATTAGGAGGAGATGCAGAGGAACCAGAAAGAAATCAAAAGATATTCCCCCACCACAGAGCTCAGCAACACAGTCTATCCTGTTAGCTTCTGAGGGGAGGATTGTGGGCAGCAATGAATGACACCTTTAAGTTTTGTCTGGCCTGCACAGGGATGTTCCTAAAAATGATTTCCCACTCTGCCATTTTTTCTCTCCTCCTTGCTATGTCAGGTGCTGTACATTCAAGCTTTCGTCCTGGTGTTCCTATTAGGCAAATTCATGGGCAAAGTGTTTTTTGGACAGCTCCGAGCAGCGGAAATGGAGGTGAGCCTTGTTGGGTGCATGGTTGTTGTGGGCCTTGTGGGAGGGCACACATGAAATGCTAAAACTAAGAGCTAGAAACTCCGCAGACCCCTTTGCTCAATCAGCATCATCCTGTCATCACAGAGGAGAAAATAGGTTTGGCTTACAATGGGGGATCTGTATCAGTCATCTCTAAAGGGTGCTGTAAGCTTGCGGGGAAGGATTTTGGCATCATTTCCTAGAGTTAAGTTGTAAATAGCTTGCATTTCTTTACCAGCTAATGTGTCCTGAGTTCTTTAAGTTTTGGCTGTAGTGGCACAGCAGAGAGGATTTTTGAGTACAATGAGGAGAGAGACAAGATGTTCAGTTACATTGCAATCAAACGTTCTGAATGATAGATCTTTAATTCCTGAGCCTTTGTACATTTTGGTAGCCGGAAGGCCTAGAAACACCATTTTGTTCACATGGAACTGGAGAATTTCACATCTGTGCCCAGGCCCCTGGCTTCCCTGCCAGCTGGCTAGATTTCTACCTGTGTTGTTTAACTACGGACCCACAGGTATCAACGCTGTCAGTAAGCCTAGCTGGGGAACCTTTCTCAGCCCAAGGGCTGCCTCCCCTCATTAGCAGCCTTCTGGGGGCCACATACTAGTAGTAGAAGGAAGGACCAAAGGTAAAAAGCCCTTTTTATAAGGGAATTTTTAGCCCACCCATCATCATACAACCCCAGGGAAGTTTTTAATGTGTGATTTTACTGTATTTTTGGTTTCTGTGGAAGTCGCCCAGAGTGGCTGGGGAAACCCAGCCAGATGGGCGGGGTACAAATAATAAATTATTATATTATTATTACACTAAAATAAAAACCAATTTATAAAAGCAGATAAAATAAATGGTCAGAGAGAGACAATCTCAATTCCACAGTTGCAGCAGTGATGGGATTTCTAACGCACGCAGCCCCCCAAATGGCAGCAGTGTTAGCTAGGAATCCAGGCAAGCAAGATATGTTATCACAATTCAAGAGCAATTTTCAGTGAGGCAAAAACACTTGAGGAGGGCATAGAGCAGGCTGCTGAAGGGTGTGATCTGGGGACAGTTGGAAGAGAGGCCCCAGAGGCCTGAGGGTTCCCACCCTTACTTTGGAAGCATAGCAAGGAGGGTGCCTCTTCTGGAGACGACTGCATTTGTGGGGGACAGATGGGCCCAGGATTAGAGAGAGCTCCTTAAATCAATCTCTCTCACACAGCATCTGCTTGAGCGGTCATGGTATGCAGTGACCGAGACCTGCCTTGCCTTCACAGTCTTCAGGGATGACTTCAGCCCCCGTTTTGTGGCCCTCTTCACTCTCCTCCTCTTCCTCAAGTGCTTCCACTGGCTGGCTGAGGACCGTGTGGACTTTGTGAGTATGGTGGCCCCAAGGTGCACCACCTGGAGGAAGGGGTAGGGTGGGCTGAAACGGTTCTTGCCGGTCAGACGCACGGTGGCAGTGGGAGAAATAAAATGGTTTCCTGAACAGTTCAAGCAGCAGCCCAGTTTGGCGGTTCTTGTATGGTGGCTCAAAAGCAAGGCTGATGTGCATTCCTAGGAACACCTGGGGCTTTGATAGTTTTAGGTATATTACGCTTGTATATCTTAAAGCATTTTTCGATCAAAGTAAAAATACAATAATAAAATCACATAAACATTATTTAAAAACAAATTTAACAGTACAATCATATCATTGGAGCTGCTCAAAATGCCTAGGAGTGGGGGCGGATCACCTATTTGCCTGGTGCCAAAACAGTGACAAAATTGGGTGCCAGGGGGGCCTCCTTGGGGAGAGCATTCCTTTAAAAATGGGGCTACTGCGAAGAAGGCCCCAGTCTCTTGTCCCCACCCTCTGGACTAGGATTTCTGAGAAGCTTCTCAGCTTACCTACCACTAGTTTTCTTCCAATGGAACCAGAGGGTTGGTGAACCACTTCTCAGTTCATGCAAGGCAATGGTGGAGGCCAAAAGGCTTGCATTATCTCTGCATCCGAGAAGGAGAAGGGAAGAGAGGAGGACGTCAACCCCAGGCTTGCTGTACCTTGTTCCTGCTGGTGCATGCCACACACTAAGTCAGCCTAAGTCCACCTGGTGCTTTCCAGGTGATTTGGACGTATGCCGGCTGGGTTGATGGGAGTTGTAGTCCAAAACTTCTGGAGGTCACCAGGTTGGCAAAGCTTGTGAATCATGGCTTAGCATGGCATGTGACACAGTAAGGGTGAAAGGAAGAGCGGATGTTGCAAATGTGTGACGCTTATCAAAGTAACTCTGCACAGAGGTTTCTGAAGTTGGGCAAAATGGTGGCTCTTCCCATCAGCCTCACACACCAACCCAGGCCAAGCTATGTTAATAGCAGGGTTATTCCAATGCATTGGATTCTCGGCACTAGAATCTCTTGTTAACAACCAGTCTTGAGCAGGGATTGGAGGGGGGGGATTTGTAAGATTCCAACACTAGTTTTAAGTCAGGGATGGGGAACCTTTGGCCCTCCAGATGCTGTTAGTCTCAACATCCCTGACTGTTGGCTATGTGAGGTGCGGTTGATGACAGGTGCAGTCCCAACAAGATCTGGAGGGCCACAAGTTCCCCATTTCTACTTTAAGTGCTTCCACCTTCAGACATTTCTTTTCTACAGGGATCCTTGTGAATTCTGGACATTTGCCCAGAATGCAGAACAGCCATGCTCCAACCTGAGTTCCAAGATGTGTCGGCAAAGCACATGTTCGATATAGAGGCATACATGAGTTTGGCCAGTCAATAAAAGTTGCTGCTTATCTTGGGTGATAAGACCACTTAATCTTGCTCCTTTCTCCCCTGTCTCTCTAGATGGAGAGGAGCCCAAACATTTCCTGGCTCTTCCATTTTCGCATTGTCTGTAAGTACCTGCCTTCCTTTCAAGGCTTTCCTCTTCCACTGCCCGGCTGCTTCCAGTCCTTTCTCAATGAAAGAGGGACATACCTGCAGTTGCCCCAAATCTAGCCCATTTTCTTGCAAAGGTTGTTGCCCACCCACCTGTGCTGAGTGCAAGTGTAGGATTGGTTAACGATCCAGCTTCCTGAGGCAGAGAGAGAGGAATGAATATGCAATTACTTCACAGGAAGAATATGGCAATTATTTCGATTGCGTGTGATTTGGCTTAGTTCCAATTTGTTTTGGGGTGGGGTGGGGTGCATTCCAAAAGCGCCCTGGGAAAAGATGTGGTTTTCTTCCATTAAAGAGGGGAGCATATTGCCCTGAGGTGTTTTGGGAGGCCATGCCAGGCAGGAGGGGCAACAAGAGAGGGCAGCGTTGTTTCAGGGAGCAACAGGCCTTTGGAGGGGGAAGTTGGTGGCGATATATTGGAATAGAAGAGGAGGGAAATAACTGGCGAGGAGTGAGGCCATAACAAGCTCTGCAAGAGAAGGGCAAAAAGTTTGTGCTGGATCTGGAAATCGGTGGGAAGCAGGCATAGGGATTTAAGGCTGACCAGCTGCGGATATCTCCAGGACTTCCAAACAGGCAAATTTGTACAAACCAGACAGCGTAGTTCAGGGCTTGCATTCAGAAATGGGAAGTCATTCCTGGTGTTTTATTCATCTATTTGGTTTTATTTTTAGATGCTTTTAAAATGTTCAATAAACAGGGCAGTTTGCACTAAAAACACCCAAAACAGTTAACATGCAAATTAGACAGGTCCAGGCAGTCAAATAGGTACGTTTAAAAAGAAAGAATCTAAATTCTTAAGGCGAAGTACCTTAAGGCGGCAGCAGGATGTGGAGGTTTCATAGCTGATTTGCTGAAACAGGAGTTCTTGCCTAAGAAAACTCATTCATGTGCTCTGCCAAGAGTTTGGCGGGATGAGCATTTTCCAACTGTTAGACCCTTAGGCCTGATGAGAAGAGGGTTGAGCTGCTGGCATGGGCCCTCTTCCACAGCTGAGCCTCAGCTAAAACTTTGCCCTGGTGAAGGCTTTGCTGAAAATGCTTCACACCACTTCTGCTGGCAGAGCAGCAGCTGGTCAGCTTGTAAGGCTTTTGTGGCTTTGCGCAAGGGTGGAATAATTAGTAGGGAGGATGGCGGAAGGGGAGCCTGAGTAAAAGGAGCTTCCCCGTCAGACGCTTTGTGGTGTGGAGGGTGAGGGCGGATTGGCATTCGGCACAGCTTTAAGCACTTCCTTTGGGGGGCTCTGCAAAGGAAGCAGTTGGTTAAGGAGGACAACTCCAGATGACATTTGCATGCAGGGACTGCAGGAAATGTTATTTCATACTGGCATTTGCATATAGCTCACTTGGGTGCTCTGACACAAAGCCCTACGTGGCCACTGTCTGTGGGACTTCCCATTGTCTCAACCTGCTCAAGCTGAAATGCAAATGATTAAGCGGTATATATAAATGCCTTAAGCAAATAAGTGAAGAACAAGGGAGCCAAGGAAGAACGCTTGAGCTGCTGGAGAAGGGCTTGGGGAACCTGAAGCCTTCCAGATGTTGAGGGCCTGCCATCTCCCTTCAGCCACAGCCAGCATGGTCAGGGGCCAGGGATGATGGAAATTGTAGTCCAACACTGTCTGGAAGGTCACAGGTGTCCCCATGCCTGTGCTGGAGTCGTTGGTGCACAGCTGGTTATTGCTGTGGTGGGATTCCTGGAGTTCTGGGCTGACTTCTGCTGTAACTGCTCTTCTGTTGGGGATGCCTTGGGGTTTTCTCTTAAGATGCTGTGAAGTGTAATCCCCCTTTGGCAGGCTTTTGTAAATGTTGGAGATAAATGGCAGCAAAGTACAAGAAGTACAGTCTGTGGTGCTTCAATTAAAGCTGAGGTGCCTGCCAAAAAATAAAATAAAATAAAAGACAGTGACCATTTGCAAGCACAGTAATTGGTGCTGAAACGAGCAGGGGCTTAGCACAGCTGAGTAAATCAACACCCACAGTGGGTCAGCAAACCATTTCTCTATTCAGCATCTGAGGATCCGAACTTTTTGGTAAACTACATTTCAGCTGCTTGACACCAGATTTTCTCTTCAAAGTTTGTTTTCAAGGGTGGGCCACCATGAGGTCAATATCAGCGTGTTCTAGCAGGTTGAATGTTCTCCTACTGGCTTCTGAATATCACCATTTCAGAAAGCTTATGCCGTAGTACATTTGCTAGTCCTTTCCTTTAGGTGTCACAAGACTGTGTGGGGTTTTTGATGCAACAGGCTAATCTGGCTAGCCTTCTAGAAATGGCAAATCACTCTTTCTCTCTCTTCCTCTTTTTAGCTCTGATGCTGCTCCTGGGCATTCTGGATTTCCTGTTTGTCAGCCATGCCTACCACAGCATCCTCACCCGGGGAGCCTCCGTCCAGCTGGTCTTTGGCTTTGAGGTGATTGGAGTGCGCTTTGCGCTTTGCATGGAAGTCATTGCTCACAGTAGCTAGCAGAGGTTTCTGACAGCCTTTGATGACACAGACCGCAGATTGCAAAGAGGAGAGCAGACCAGCAGCTGTGAATGACCCTGGGAAGCAGAGCACTGGGTGGGGTGGGGAGATGTAGCCATAGATTTCAGCAATTCAGAAACTCCTTTTCTCATGCAAGTCAATAGAGCGGCTCTTGTTCAATAGCCTGGTGTGAAGAACTAAGCTCAGTCAGTAGAGCATGAGACTCTCAGTCTCAGGGTCGTGGGTTCGAGCCCCACCTCGGGCAAAAGATTCCTGCATTGCAGGGCTTTGGACTAGATGACCCTCATGGTCCCTTCCAACTGTACAATTCTGTGAGTCTAAGAAGACGGAAGACTCTACAGTCATGGAGATGTGTATGTTCATGGGTGGGACACACTTGCCATACACCAGCTGCCACTGTATACATTCTGAGCGAAGGAGTGTTTTTAGAGTTGGAGTAAAGACAGACTTAATTCAGATTAAAAACAAGAAAACGGACAGTGATTTAGATTGCTTTTAAGGAGGTAATTTCTAAACGAGTAGGGATTTAAAATTCAAAGCAAGGAGCTTTGCTGGATTCCAGAGAGAACTGTGTCAGAGTTTGAGGGGGATCTGTGGAAGCTGGTCCATTAGTTCCCACAGGGCAGCGGCCCACGAACCTAAGCCACCACCCACCTGCTTGCTTTCCTGCTTACAGCCAGTCCAGGGAGTGGCCTTGCCTGTTGGATTCCTCCTCCTTAGTCCCAGGGTTGCCCTTGCAGAACTCAGGTGGGGATGAGGAGGATTGGGAGAAAGGTAGAATGTCAGCAGCTCTGACTCCAGCTCCTCTTGGGCTCCCTGCCAGTCCTAAGGGACATCAGCCTCTACTGGAGGGGATGCATTGTAGATCCTCTTCATGCTGATACTTTGGCTGTTGCCTGCTGTGTTGAGCGTCTTTTATTATGCTGAAAGCATAGGAAGGTATTTGCCACCCCTGACGCTGCCCATCCTTTCAGAGAGAATCATACAATCATAGAACTATAGAGTTGGAAGGGACCCCGAGGGCCATCTAGTCCAACCCCCTGCAATGCAGGAATCTCAACACGTGGTCCCCCATCCAATTTGAAACCACACGACCCTGCTTAGGTTTGCAAATACGCTAGCAATTTTATTGCTTCACCGAAGTCTCATGGAAGGCTGTTGCTTCATGAATGCATCCCAGTTAATCCCCATAGCCAGAAACAAAGAACTGCAGGAAGGGTGAGGTATGTGTCGTAGGTTGGAATTGCATTGCTTGTTGGTTTAACTTAATTGCTTGATGTGAGTTCCTTGGCACTGCCAGCTTTGGATATGGTGTGCCTGGCTTGACATGGCTGCCCCCATGTTGCCCTCAGGGCGGATTGAACCTTGAAGCATTGATGTCTGGTGGGAGCAGGAAAGAGGACTCCCGATCCATGAGCTGCTTTGGTTTTCTCTGGGAAGCGACAGCAGGATTAGGGAGATGTTTGCCAACCAATGCCTCGTTCTGTCAGTTGACTTGGTCCTCTTTCTCTTGCTGCTTCTTTCCCACAGTATGCTATCCTCATGACGATGGTGCTCACCATCTTCATCAAATACATCCTGCACTCCATCGACCTCCAGAGCGAGAACCCTTGGGACAACAAGGCCGTCTACATGCTCTATACAGAGCTCTTCACAGGTGATGGGGGAAGGCCTGTGGGTCTGTGGCAGAACACCTGCTTTTCATGCAGGAGGCCCCAGACAGGGATGGGAACGGCCCCTGCCTGAGACCCCGGAGAGCCTCTGCCAGTTGTTGTAATACTGAGCTAGATGATCCCAGGGTCTGATTATGTAAATCTTGTCATGTTGTAAGCCGCCTTGAGCACTGTTTTAACTATGGAAAGGTGGCATACAAATAAAATGATAAATGAATGAATGAACGATCAAATATAAAGCGGCTTCCTAGGTAACAGGGGCCTCCTGGCCAAAGAAAGCAGACAATGGGCTCCTACCTTGGAGTTATTCTTCTGCCCCGTGGTGGTCCTTGGTGGGGCTTGGCCGGGTGGGCACAAAGCAGCCTCTCTGCACATGCCAGCCATAAAAGTAGTAGTAATAATTTTATTATTTGTATGCTGTAGCCACTCTGGTTGGCTTTCAGTAAAATATAAAAACACAATAAAATTTCAGACATTAAAAACTGCCTTCAGGGGTGCCTTCAGATGTCAACAGAAGGTCGTATAATTGGTTATCTGTTTGACATCTCACAGGAGGGTGTTCCACAGGGTAGGCGCCACTACCAAGAAGGCCCTCTTCTTGTTCCCTGTAGCTTCACTTCTCGCAGTGAAGGAGCTTCCAGAAGGCCCTCAGAACTGGACCTCAGTGTCCTGGCTGAGCAATGCTGAGTGGAGACGCTCCTTTAGGGCCAAGGCCATGTAGGGCTTTAAAGATCTGCCTTCTCCTGGGCCTAGTGGCAACTCCTCATGGAGAAATCAAGGCAATATTTTTTTTGGGGGGGGGGGCGTTTGATTTGTGACAGCTGAGCCAATTCCCTGGTGAGAAGAGGACATGGAGCATCTGTGGTTTGGTTGCCGGGAAGGATTTGCCTCTTGGCAACATGAAGGTTTACGTGCTGGCTTGACCCCCGCTTTCTTCCTCCGCCTCTTCTGCAGGATTCATCAAGGTCCTCTTATACATGGCCTTCATGACCATCATGATCAAAGTGCACACCTTCCCGCTGTTTGCCATCCGACCCATGTACCTGGCTATGAGGTGAGATGTGGTTGGCATCGTCGTATGCGCGGGCTTGCGAATGCATGTGTCAGTCTGCTTGTAGGGATACACATGTGTAGGAAATAAGTCCTCTGGCTTGAAAATAGCCGGAGTCTTGGGAGAGGGGAGGCACTTTGGGCCAATGCCATTTGAAGAGAGATAACGTTCATGCTTGGGACGCGGGTGGCGCTGTGGGTAAAACCTCAGCGCCTATGACTTGCTGATCGCATGGTCAGCGGTTCGAATCCCCATGGCGGGGTGCGCTCCCATTGCTCGGTACCAGTGCCTGCCAACCTAGCAGTTCGAAAGCACCCCCGGGTGCAAGCAGATAAATAGGGACCGATTTCTAGCCGGAAGGTAAACGGCGTTTCCGTGTGTGGCTCTGGCTCGCCAGAGCAGCTTCGTCACGCTGGCCACGTGACCCAGAAGTGTCTGCGGACAGCGCTGGCTCCCGGCCTATAGAGTGAGATGAGCGCACAACCCTAGAGTCTGTCAAGACTGGCCCGTACGGGCAGGGGTACCTTTACCTTTACTTTACCTAACGTTCATGCTTACTATCTGTCGCATCTGTGGAAGCAATGAGGATGGTGTCCTTAGATCACCTGCTAGTGCTTTTTGCCTCTTTCATATCCCACCTTTTCTCCAAGGAGCTCAAGGTAGCAGACATCAATCCCCCCCACTCCCCATTTCACATGGGGTTAGACCTCAGAGGCAACGACTGGCCCAAGGTCACTCAGTGAGCTTCATAACCAAGAAGATGGTTTGAGCCCTGATTTCCCAGGTCCTAGTCCCACACTCTAACTACACCACACTGGCTTATGAAAGCACCATTTTACAATTTTTTTAAAAAAAATATTTAGAGAATAAACCAACATCAAGAAACTCACCTTTCTCATCAGCCGGGGAAAATGCTTGTTTCTCTTGAGTACAGCATCGTATGCGCCTGGAACAGCTAAAGCAAGGCTGAATTTTATTAAAACAAAAGCACTTGTTTGCTGGTGTGTTCCCAAATCACCTGTACAGTGGTACCCCGCAAGACGAACGCCTCGCGAGACGAAAAACTCGCAAAACGAAAGGTTTTTTCGTTTTCGAGTTGCCTCGCAAGACGAATTTCCCTACGGGCTTGCTTCGCAAAACGAAGCTTGCCCCGGGGACAGCGGGTCTTCTCTTTTGAAGCAAGGGGCGGCGGGGAGATCGCTTCTCCCCACCGCCCCTTGCTTCAAAAGAGGTCTGCCCCCGGACCTCTTTTGAAGCAAGGGGCTGCGGGGAGATCGCTTCTCCCGGTGCTCCGAAGCGGGGTGGGGGGGGCGGGAACACCTGCCCCAGCCGCCGGGCTTCGTAGCGCTGCTGCGAAGCCGGGCGGGGGGGCGGGAACACCTGCCCCAGCCACCCCGCTTCGGAACGCTGCTCTGAAGCGGGGTGGGGGGGCGGGAACACCTGCCCCAGCCGCCGGGCTTTGTAGCGCTGCTGCAAAGCCGGGCGGGGGGCGGGAACACCTGCCCCAGCCACCCCGCTTCGGAACGCTGCTCCGAAGCGGGGTGGGGGGGGCGGGAACACCTGCCCCAGCCGCCGGGCTTCGTAGCGCTGCTGCAAAGCCGGGCGGGGGGCGGGAACACCTGCCCCAGCCACCCCGCTTCGGAACGCTGCTCCGAAGCGGGGTGGGGGGGGCGGGAACACCTGCCCCAGCCGCCGGGCTTCGTAGCGCTGCTGCAAAGCCGGGCGGGGGGCGGGAACACCTGCCCCAGCCACCCCGCTTCGGAACGCTGCTCCGAAGCGGGGTGGGGGGGCGGGAACACCTGCCCCAGCCGCGGGCTTCGTAGCGCTGCTGCGAAGCCGGGCGGGGGGCGGGAACACCTGCCCCAGCCACCCCGCTTCGGAACGCTGCTCCGAAGCGGGGTGGGGGGGCGGGAACACCTGCCCCAGCCGCCGGGCTTCGTAGCGCTGCTGCGAAGCCGGGCGGGGGGCGGGAACACCTGCCCCAGCCACCCCGCTTCGGAACGCTGCTCCGAAGCGGGGTGGGGGGGCGGGAACACCTGCCCCAGCCGCCGGGCTTCGTAGCGCTGCTGCGAAGCCGGGCGGGGGGCGGGAACACCTGCCCCAGCCACCCCGCTTCGGAACGCTGCTCCGAAGCGGGGTGGGGGGGCGGGAACACCTGCCCCAGCCGCCGGGCTTCGTAGCGCTGCTGCGAAGCCGGGCGGGGGGCGGGAACACCTGCCCCAGCCACCCCGCTTCGGAACGCTGCTCCGAAGCGGGGTGGGGGGGCGGGAACACCTGCCCCAGCCGCCGGGCTTCGTAGCGCTGCTGCGAAGCCGGGCGGGGGGCGGGAACACCTGCCCCAGCCACCCCGCTTCAGAACGCTGCTCCGAAGCGGGGTGGGGGGGCGGGAACACCTGCCCTAGCCGCCGGGCTTCGTAGCGCTGCTGCGAAGCCGGGCGGGGCGGGGGGGGCGGGAACACCTTCTGAAGGCGGGCGGGGGGCGAAAGTCTTTGTCCCCCCTGCCTGCCTTCCCAGGGGCTTTTAAATCGCCCTGGACAGCGGAGAAGTCCTCCGCTGTCCCGGGGCGATTTTAAAATGCCACCCGCCAGCATTTTAAGATCGCCTGGACAGCGGAGAAGTCCTCCGCTGTCCCAGGGTTTTTTAAAATGCTGGGGGTGGGAAGAAAAGCCCTTGTGTCCCCCCCCCCCCCAGCCTTCAGAAGAGGTCCGGGGACAGTCTGTCCCCGGACCTGGTCTGAAGGCGGTTTCCCTAGGAACGCATTAATTGATTTTCAATGCATTCCTATGGGAAACCGTGCATCGCAAGACGAAAAAACCGCAAGACGAAGAGACTTGCGGAACGAATTAATTTCGTCTTGCGAGGCACCACTGTAGTTTATTACTGCTAGGTTATGATTTTTATAGTGCAGTCTATGTACGTGGCATTTTATATTGAGCAGGTTTGACAGACCTGTGCCCCATGTGGCTGAAACTGATACAGGGAAACAGTTAAGGGGGGGGGAGATGGAGGCAGGTAGGGAAAGAACACGCAGTGATTTCAGTCTGCATGTGTTTTGGCTTAATTACATTAAATAATAGGGACTAGGAGGATGAGGGAGCAGCATCAGCAAATGAAGCAGGAGAAGGGAATCCCAGGGGAAAGGATTTAGAGCCATAACATTCAGAGCAGCTATCTTGGACAGTATCAGGAGTCAGACACACAGGTTTTCAGTAACTAGGCAAGATGTTAACCCAAGGGTGTCCTGACCAGTATTCTCTTAAGATGTTTTGGTAAGACTTTTCAAATCAGCGGTCGACTTGATTCTTGTGTATGTCCATCCAGGCAGTTCAAGAAAGCTGTGACAGATGCAATCATGTCCCGCCGAGCTATTCGCAACATGAACACCCTGTGAGTATTCACTGGGAAGGGGGTGAGGGCTGTAGAAAGTGGTTCTCCTTTCCAAGTTTGGGTTGCTGAGGTAAGGGGGGAGGGCAGAGCTTTCATGGTTTGCCGAAGCCTTAAATAAAACTCCATAAACTGGACCTTGCGAAAGGCAGAGAAGAAGGTCCATGATCTTCTGCAATCCTTTTCTTCCTCCCCAGGTACCCCGACGCTACTCCAGAAGAACTGCAGGCCATGGACAACGTGTGCATTATCTGCCGGGAGGAGATGGTAATGGGTGCAAAACGCCTGCCTTGCAACCACATATTCCACACCAGGTAGGAGCCTGGCTGATACTGTACTGTAGAAGCTTGAATGTATGAGATGGGTTTTATGCAGCACTGAGACAGTTCAGCTGGTACTGTTAAGCCTAGGACTGGTGGTCACTGTCCAGGGTCCCGAGCACAGAAGGTAGACAAGCGAGGAGGGCCTGACCTTGTTGGCGCTGAGCCTTGAGGGCACAGGATAGCATCAGTGGGGGAACCCTTGCTGTTCTGCTGGAGGAGGATGGGGGAATGCTTGCCAGTGGTATTCTGGGGAGTGCATTTGCAAACCCTGAATAAGTCAGTGGCTGGTGCCTGCCTGCTCCATTCATTGTGTGCTGTATTTTAGGGTAATGGAGCAACCAGGCCTAGTGAATGAAGCCTCCACCCCTGATCAGGGGCACAGAAAGCAGCTTGTGGTCCTTGTAGCTGGGACCTCTTTTTAAAAATCGCACTGTTAGACTCTTTGTGTTATTTGATGCTTTCCCCCTCCCCTGCTGCCTCTTGATTGGAGGATGCAGCTTGGGCCTGCCCAAAGGAGAGCTTTCAGTAGGTAGAGTGCTAAGCCAATAGTTGCGGCCCAGCCACTCGCTCCAACCAGCTTGCCTCTCCCTTTCCACAGCTGCCTGCGATCCTGGTTCCAGCGCCAGCAGACCTGTCCCACGTGCAGGATGGACGTCCTCCGAGCCTCCCTCCCCACTCAGTCGCAGACGCCCCCTGAGCAACAGGAGGGAGGGCAGCAGCCGCCGCAGCAGCATCAGACTCCACTGATCCCTCAGCCGCCAAACTGTAAGTCTGAGCTGCAGGGCGAGTCATCTCAGGCTGGTTCCCAGGAATTAACCCCAGTATACTCCTGGCACCAAGTGACCCCGAGGAACACCAGAGAACAGGTGGTGCTCTGGGGTTCCCACAGGCGCCACAGTAATGTGGGGAGCTCAGCACTGTAGCTCCCACAACCGGGGTTGTGAAAGACCCTTGGTGTTCCTTTTGCAAGGTGGCTCCTAATCTTTCTGAGTTTATCTCTCTCTTATTATTATTTCCTGCAGTTCCCCAAGGCATCCTGCCCCCTTTCCCTCCAGGGATGTTCCCGCTGTGGCCGCCCATGGGCCCCTTCCCTCCAGTGCCTGGCGTCCAGCCCCCCAACAATGCAGACAACGCTTCAGCAGCCACTCCCTCCACCTCAGGAACACAGACGTCAGGTGAGGCATCCCCTGAAGGACCACAAGTTCCTTGTCCCTGCTATAGGGAGCATCCTTTGAACTGTGCTCCTTGGGCTCCCTGAGTCAAGTATGTTGGCTCCCACTGAGTGCAGCCCAGGAAGAGGAATAGACTTGTGCGAACTTGCTTTAAGCTTGTGGGGCAACCATGAGGTTTACGTTGCCGTCTTCCCCAGCAGGCGCCTCGAGGCCCAGTGGCGATTCAGCATCCGGATCAGACACCGCGGCCCCTGCAGGGACGGTGCCTGGTTTCGCCTTCCCTCCGCCTTGGATGGGGATGCCGTTCCCACCTCTCTTTGGTGAGTCTCAGAAACCCAAACACAGACCCTCCTCGTGTGTGTGCATCTCTGTGGATGGCAGCCTGGCTGGGCAGAGGAGGCAGGCCATACCAGTGGCTGCTTCTGTGTGCCACAACATTAGCCTCGCTTTTTGCTTATAACAGTGGGATTTTGGGTAATTGTTAAATTTAAATTTAATTTAAAACGCTTGTTAAGTGCTATACAGAAATGCAGAATAAAAACCAGTAGAAAAGCATGAGGACAGAAAATCTAGTAATAACAGGATCCGAGCTGTAACTAATTGTAATAATTTGGGTATATACATTTTGACACAATTTTGTTACTATATTCAGAAACGTTTATCTGTCTGTAGTTTTGTTTTTATTTATATATATTTATGTAGTTGTTGCATGTCGTATAATGGAAACAAAGATACACTGTGTCTTAGTACCACCATATTAAACAGTTTAAAGATGAAAATGAATAAAAACCTACGTGATATCTATATCTATCTAATCTATCTATCTTTTGGGTCAGAGAAAGTCTGCGCAAAAATAAATGTCTCCACAAGGTGTCTGAAGCACTTGATGGAGGCAGCCGCTTCATGTATGGCAGAGGGAAGGGTTTTTCACAGGAAGAAATACCTCGTTTGGTCTGTCCTGATTCTGATTCCATTGTGGCAGAAGGAAGTGCATTCCGTGGTGCTGGGCCAATGGCAAAAAATGTCTGTTTTCTGGTCATTAACCTGTGATCCTGTGTAGGGTGTGGTGCCATGAATAAGAGTTGAGTCCTATGCTATTTTTCTAGAAAAAGAGGTGCCGGAACTCACCACAAACACCTCCCTTTTCTCTTACAATGGGAATGGTGCCGGAATTGAGTTCCGGCTGGGGAAAAAGAAAAGCCCTGGTTGTATCCAACATTAGTCCACTCAGAGAAGACCTATTGAAATGAATGGGCATAACATTGGACGCTGACCATCATTTTCACAGATGATCTGAATGGTATTAGCTGTCTGTGTGCTCTAGGGTCTGGCTCCTTGTCCTGCCGATCTCTCTCTCTTTCGCTCTGCGTCTTGTCTCATACGCACAGTGTTCTTCCTTCTCCTAAAGGTTTCCCTCCGATGCCGGTACCACCATCTGGGTTTGCTGGGCTGACAGAGGAAGAGCTGCGGGCCATGGAAGGCCATGAGCGGCAGCATTTGGAAGCCCGTCTCCAGTGCCTGCAGAACATCCACACACTCCTTGACGCTGCCATGCTGCAGATCAACCAGTATCTCACTGTGTTGGCAACGATCGGGTAATCTCCCTGGTTCTCTCCCTGCTCCCCAACAACGTTTTGCTGCAGCAGATCTCGATTCTGCAACTGAACTGCCTTGAGACAAGCCTTCGTTTCCTTAAAGTAGGCGGGCGTTGCATTGAATTGGAGCAGTTACTGTATTTAGAGGTCAACAGGCTGGTTGTGTGTCCTGGTGCGTGGGTGGCTTTTGGTGGTCACAAAGCCTAGTTAACAAGCCTAGTTTGTCCCTGCAGATGTTGCTGAACTACAATTCCCATCATCCCAACAAGCATAGGCATATGGACTGGGGTGATGGATTGTAGTTCAGCAACATCTCCAAGGCCAGAGGTTCCGCTCATCTGCCCCTGAACTACCCTAATTTCATTTCCTACTCGGATGTTCTCTCCAATAATAATAATAATAAATTTATTTATTTATACCCGCCCATGCTGGCTGGGTTCCCCCAGCCACTCTGGGCGGCTGCCAACAGATTAAAAAATCAAATATTAAAAAGCTTCCCTAAACAGGATGCCTTCAGATGTCTTCTAAAGTCTGCCCGCAAGGGTGAGACTGCTTGAATTCCACAGGAAAGGGAAAGTCTTAAGAGTGTTGGATTAGCTTCAAGAGTTCAGCTTCCTACAAAGCCAGAAGGCTGACTAAATGAGAGCCAAGGACTGGGGATGTTGCCCCTTCTCCATGAGTAGCAATAGCAGACTAGATTGTGCAACTTAAGTAGAAGTGGAACCACCACTGACTTTGGCTATGATCTGAAGAATTTGTGCTTGAGCTTGCTTTTCCCTCCTCCCTTCCGTTCCTTTTTCCTCTGCAGCATGTCTTTTAGATGGTGAGCCTGAAGGCAGGGACGATTTCTGTTTTCCGATCTGAGAGCCTTTTTGACTAAGAGGGCAGAGTATAAACATTGCTAGTAATAGAAGTATAATGTGTATTCCGATATTATTATGATGAACCAGATTATTTATACGGGCCTCAACTTTTGACTTCTCTTGTTGCATAAACTTGCATTTTCTAGCTCTCCCCCCAGGCTTATGGTAGTATGTAAGCTGTTAGTTTCCTCTTAGTCTTTTCTTCAGCCACTGATGTGCAGACTGTGTTGTGTGCATCTGATGGCAATCTGTTGTTCCTAGTTGATTTTTTTTAACCATTTGGTTTCCTACATCTATAAAATGAGAATTGAAGTGGGAAAGCGGTATCATGTCCAAGCCCAGCTAGTACGTCACAGGTTGCCTGTGTGTGTGTGGATGAGTGTATGATCTTGACACAGTTCTTGCATTTTGCCTGCTGGATCTCTTACCTCTCTGTCTCTCGCAGGACACCCCGAACTGCGCAGCCACCAAGTGCCCCAGCTGCTTCAGCACCCCCTTCGGAGACCCCCAGCCCTGTCCCTGGCACAAGTGAACCCGCCACCACCACTTTCCAGTCTGCAGACAGCACCTCTTCACCTGCAGAAGAGAGAGACGTGGCAGATCAAGCAGGTAGCCAGAGTCAATTGGAGCTGAGATGTTGCTTTTGAAAGTGGGATACAGTTGCGGGCAGCATGCCAGGATCCCCAGCTTTATTAGCTTAAAATCAGCAGAGCATGAGACTCTTAATCATGTGTTTGAACCCCACATTGGGCAAAAGATTTCCACATTGCAGGGGGTTGGACTAGATGACCCTAAGGTCCCTTCCAACTCTACAATCTGTGATTCTATGATTCTAACACATTTTACTTCTTTGAAGCTGCTGGGTTTTGGATTCCTGGCTACTGGTTCTCTTTAGCATGCTGCTGATGCTAATGAAATGTTTAGTGGGGGTATCACAGAAGTAACATAGCCCCCGCTTTCTGCATTTCGACAGTCAGGACTTGGTCAGCCTTGGGGAATGCGGTGGTTCAAGTGCACCAAGGGTGACTTAGAAAAGATTTGGCCAGGGGGGTAAGGATGGAAAGAATTGCCCTGATCAGTGGACAGGGGAGCCTGTTTCAGGTGCAGGTATGGGTGTAGAATGAATGGTTTTTATTTTAAAATGGAATAATATTTGCTTGTTTAAAACATTTGTATCCTGCTATTCCTCCAACAGAGTCCAGGGAACATAGCAAATAATAAATGTTACAGCCCTGCCATAAATAATAAAAAGGCAAAGGTACCCCTGCCCGTACGGGCCAGTCTTGCCAGACTCTAGGGTTGTGCGCCCATCTCACTCTATAGGCCGGGGGCCAGCGCTGTCCGCAGACACTTCCGGGTCACGTGGCCAGCGTGACAAGCTGCATCTGGCGAGCCAGCGCAGCACACGGAACGCCGTTTACCTTCCCGCTAGTAAGCGGTCCCTATTTATCTACTTGCACCCGGGGGTGCTTTCGAACTGCTAGGTTGGCAGGCGCTGGGACCGAGCAACGGGAGCGCACCCCGCCGCGGGGATTCGAACCGCCGACCTTTCGATCAGCAAGTCCTAGGTGCTGAGGCTTTAACCCACAGCGCCACCTGCGTCCCCACGCCATAAATAATATAAGACTATAAAATAAGACAACAAAAACAGCAATGAAGTTAGGAGGAGAATGGAAATAGACAACCCCTAAAACAAATTGTACTACAACAATTTCCAGCTGAGTTGAAACAACAAGTATTTGATTTACTTAATTTTTTGTGTAAACTGCTTTGAGGGTTTGTTTTTTGCATTCAAGCAGTATATAAATTTTATAAGACACACACACAACACACTTTGAACTAAAAAGACTAGAAACTTGATGCTGAGGAACGCTACCTCCTTGTGTGTTTGTGCCAGTTTTGGCACAGACCCCCAAAATTGTGGTGTTTCTCCCTCCGCAGATCTGTCCCCAGCAGCAGCCGGTGCCAAGGCCTACACAGAGCCATCTGGCCAGGAGCAGGATGGAGCTCAATCTTCCCCAGAGGAACCAGACACTGCAGAGCTGCGCAGGCGCCGACTTCAAAAACTGGAATTTCCTCCTTCCTCCTCCCATTGATGTCCCTGCTGCCCCCTCCCAGCCTGTGCTATTTCTTTCCCTTTTCCAAAAAAAAAAAAAAAGAAAAAAGACGAAGAAAAGCAACATGCGGTGAGAGAAAGGAGACCTGGATGCCTTTTACTTGCGCTACTGAGTGCTGATGCGATACACGGCCGCCTATGGGGAGGGGGGGCCACACTTTTCTGCAGGACCGGAGAGGGTGGGAGGGGGATGCGCCTCCAAAACTTGACTCTGCCTTGATTTCTAACTCTTAAAAGAAAGTGACTGTCCATCCTACAACATAGACCAGTCTTATTCTGACCCCCTCGCAGAAGGACAGCAATGCCTCTAGTTCCCAAGTCTGTCTCGTCTCAGCCAGACGGACTCTTACACCACGGGAGCAGCCTGAGGAAGGCCCTCCTTCCCTTTTGCACACCTGGCTGAAAGGGTTTCCCCATCAACAGTTTTGGAGGGTGGCTTCTCCTGCGGGCAGCTTGTTTCTGTTTGTTTAGTTCTCCATTTCTGACTCTGCGGCGGGATTTTTAGGTGGGTCCTTCGCTGGATATTTCTGAGCAAAGCAGCCTTTTCAATTTTGGGGTGGGGGCGTGGAGGCCAACTGAATGGAACATATGCTTGACATTTTTGTAGATGCTTTTTCACAGTAGCTGTTTTAAGGCCACAGCATCCCACCACAAGGTCTTTTTTACCCTCCCAAACAAACACACACACCCCCTGGGGAAACGGCAGGTCGCCTCAATGCTTAATTTTGCTGGCTCTCTCTGAGCTCAGGTTGAGAGGAGGCATATTCTTGGCAGCAGAGAGTGTGAGTCTGTAGCGATTGCTCTCCCCTCTCTCTGTGGGCATACGGCTTGCGATTTTAAAACTATTTCGTACTCCCTTACCTGACTTTTAAACAAGGATTCCTCCAAGCAGCAGTAGATGGAGAGGAGGTCCTGGGGTCCTGCTGTGAGAGGGTTACAGGGGAAGATGGGATGTGCCCTCCGAGGTGGCCACCCGTCTACCTTGCCCCTCTGCTGCTTCAAAGGGCTAGAACCAGGTGTTAGTTGACTTTCGGCTGCAGCCTGTGTGGGCCTTGCAATGCCTAATCCAGAGTCCCAAGTTCTGAGCACGCACAATATGTGGCAGGCTGTGGGTGTAATCCTGAGAAAGTTAGAACAAATGTAAGCGCCATAGGACATCTGATAGCATCTGAAAGCACGTTGGTTAAGTAGAACGTCAGCCACCGAGTCCTCCCAGTGGTGGTTTGCGTTTCCAGTTCTGGCACCCTCTTCCTCTGCTTCCATTAATTCCAGGTTTGCCTGCTCTTCTTTGCAGCCCCTGTTCACTCTCTCTTTTCCAAATGCTCAGACCCAGCAAATGCTTATTTGAGAGTCGCCACAGGCAACAGGCCCTCCCCTTCCTCAGCTCCTGAAGCTGCCGGCATTGGGGAACAGGCCTTTTGAGACGTTCCTGCCTGTGTCTGTCGGGCTTCATTTCTGGGAATAACAACGCCTCCTTTCTGGCGTTTTCACAATAATGTCCATCAGCTTGTGGATCCCAGCTACGCCTAATCAAGCTGTCTGAAAGGCAGCAGGGAGAGGAGCAGAGCCTGTGATGGGGCTTCCCTTCCCAAAGGCAGGGCCCCCATGTTAAAAGAACAGGCAGTTTTCAGAAACTAATTGAGAAAAGCAGTGTGTGCTTTTCCCCTGCACTTGGGACCCCCATGCTGTAAACAGTCTGAAACTGTCAGGCTCCCTCTGGGGTCCCTGCTCCCCTGCAGGGTGGAAAATATTGTCCTGTCCCTGAGATGGTGCCAAGGGTCTCCGCCCCTTCTCACTGAAACACCCCATGCTCCCAGCAAAATGCTGAATTGTTCAGCTCATGGAATATGAAATCCCACCTCCTGGCAAGATGCCTGCTTAATTCTGTTTTCATTCCTGGGACACCACCTGTAGGATCATCTATATTTGATGCTAGACTGCCTCAGATTTCTTCTTTTTCAGAGAAACTGGGCCATCTCCCTGTAACTTCCAAGTTGTTTTGGGGTCTGAGTTGTCCCACTTCAAGACAGGTTAGGGCATTGTGACATGCAGTATTCACGTTTCTTACTCGGCAGAAGAGGAAGAAACCAATCAGTTTAGATTTGAGGTGGTGGTTGTGGGAAGAGTCAATGGGAAGGGTGGCTTAAAGTATTGATTTCAATAAAAGACTTTGATCACGGTTCATGTTAGCTTCATCTTTCCAAATTTTGGAAAAGCCTTCTGAGGGTAGTTCTCCCTTTGTCCTCTCTGCTCAGTAAAACTAAGGTGGATTTACAGAATTCGCAGATAGGAGAAAGTTAGCACGTGCCACGCTTTGTAATAAGGTGTCCTAAATCTGACACAGTGGGCACATCTCTGCAAACCACCTGCCCCTTTGAGGAAGGCAAGAAGCAATGACTGACAACCTCCTGTCCACACCTCCCCTGCGAATCCAATTTTGTAACATTGGGAGGAGAACATGGCTCCCGTCTCCTTTTGGAATGTGCATTGGCAGTATGTGGCTAATGTTAAGAAAGTTGGCATACATCCCCCAGGAGGTAGAATGTTATGCTCTAATTATAGCATTGAAAGACTATCTGTAGTAGAGCAGTTTTGGACATGGACCCTCGTACAGCCTTTCTGTTTCAGGAACCTCTACATGTGCAAATAATAATAATAATCCTGAATCAAGTACATATCACCATCTTGGAAGATGTCCAGTGACCTTGTCTTGATGCCTGGCGAGAGTTTTTTTGGGTGGGAGAGCTTGCTGTGGGTAGCACAAGGCAGCCGGGTTGAAATCTCACCCTTCAAATTCCTTCCTGCCCTTTCTATGCTGTGTCCTGCTAACCCAGGGCTGTTATCCATTACCCCCCCCCATTTCCCACATTGTGCTGTGGCCTTTCTGCCAGTACCCTTCCTTATACTTTTACTTTTCAAGGAACCCATATTACAATGCTTTGGAGGTGTGTTACATGTAAGCCCAGAGATGGGGAACCTGCCAACTTTTCATGTCTTGTTGGACTTCCAACTCCCATCAGCCAAAGCCGGCAGTCAGGGATGATGTGAGTTGTAATACGGCAACTTTGGGAGGATTGCCGGTTCCTCACTGGGGTATAATTACTAGAGCCTCTTCTCTTAAGGGGGCAGGCAGGATTGATGGTCTGACCCCATCAGTTTAGATTCTGCCAGGGGGTGCAGTTGGTGGCTCTCCCTTCCATTTGCTATGCGGGTTTTGCCTAGGCCTAGGAATGAACCTGAGATCAAATAATGCCATTGTATAGCACTTTGAAGCAAGCTCGGCCACCTGCTTTTTCAGTGAGTGAATGCCATCGCTCAGGTGTGCAATGGATGTGTTCCCTTCTGCAGCAGGAAAGGGAAAATTTAGAGGAGCAAAAAACCAAGACACACACACGAGTGACAGCACCTGTAATTCAGGTGTGGGGAACCTTTCGCTCTCAAGATCAGTGTTTCCCAAACTTGGGTCTCCAGCTGTTTTTGGACTGCAATGCCCATCATCCCTAGCTTGCAAAGACCAGTGGTCGGGGATGATGGGAACACTAGTTCAAAAACAGCTGGAGAACCCAAGTTTGGAAAACGCCGATCTAGATGTTGCTGATGTCCCTGCAAGCAGGTGGTGACTGAGAGGATGGAAACTCTTACTCAGCAACATCTGGAAGGCCAAAATTCTCCAACACCTGCTGTAAACAGAAGAAAAGTTGGCAGAAAGGGTAGAAGTAGGGGAGAGAGGTGTGCTTGCGATTGCTGTGTCTTGCCAGTGGATTTTCCTTGCTCCTGGCACTGCACACAGCCCGTCATGGAGGCTGTGATTTGAAATGGAGGATTTGTTTCCACACAAGTGACCCCCTGAAGACCAACAGGCATGCAGAACCTGTGATGTCGCTGGACTCCAACTCCCCATCTCTCTGATCAGTGGGAGGTGGAGCCCAGCAACACCCAGAGGACCGCAGGCTCCCCTATCCCTGACTTACAAGGAGGCTTTGAGTTTTTGTGGCCTGTTTGCAGCTGCTCAGCATATTATATTACCCATATGATTCCCTCCCCTCCCTTTTTTAAAAAAAAGCTTTTGATTTTGTGTACACTTTCTCGAGAGCCAAGTGGCCTTTTCCCCCACACCTCCAAAAACACATTTGAAAGTGGCCAGATTGTGTTACCTTCCTCACAGCCTCTCCTGCAACTTTTCATGGGTTTTGGAACAGATAATTACATGCATTTTAACAAAGCAGCCTCCCAGGTTTGACTTCTGCATTCCGGGTCTTAACCAAATGAGATGGCTAGTCAAAGGGATAGCGGAAATCCTACAGCTGCTGGATTCCCCCTTTACATAAATAGTGGGAGCGGGAAATGGTATTTTGTAAAAGCGGTTGCCATTTTGTTGTTGTTTACATGTCATATTCATTGGGTTTTATCCAATGCCCATCATGGCTCTGAATGGATCAGCCCGAGTATGACCTGGATTAAACCTGTAATACGTCATTTAAGAAGAAGAAAAATCTGTTTTCAAATTGTGTCACCTGGGAGAAGGGACTTGCTTTGGGAAGAATCTATACCTCTGTTCTCATTTCTTATTTTTAACATCAGTGGTGTTCAGTTGGCTCAGGGTCCTTTTGAATGCCACAAATAATAATTACTATTTTTGTCAAACTTGGCTCCTTTAGGAGTTGATATGAACGCTGTGTGTTAACATGGAGGTGAAGGAGGTTCGGATGATAATTTAATTTTTTTGTAAATATTGTATAATTTTTAATAGCTTGAACCGTGTATATACGTCAAATAAAAACTTGCATTAAAAATGGTGTGCTATCTGTAATTCTGTTGTGCAGAGAAAGGGTTTTTCTCTACCTCCCGATACTAAGAGCTGAAGGTTGGAAGACTTGGGACAGACAAAAGGAAATCAACCCATGGCATGCATGGTTTTGAAACAGCATTAGGCAAATTCATGAAGGATAAGGTTCCCTGTGGACATGCTTCTTTTTCCTTGGCGATCACTGGTAGCTGAGTAAGATTGTCTTCCATGAACACGGTTTTAACAGGGAGTCTGTGCCTGTGGAGGCCAATTCTGAATCCACACGTCCTTCTACAGTGGGGACAGAGGTTTCTGGATGGGAGTTGATCATGGGAGGGTTTGCCAAGCGTGTCTTTCTCTTAGCACCTTTCTCCCTTTCGTCCCGAGTTCCAGCGTCTTGAAAGCCCGTGACACCTTTGGTAAAGGGTGTTCTCAAATTGGAGCACTCGCAGGCCAGTGTTTCCCAGTTATCGGTGTTTATACTGCATTTTTTAGATTTGCCTTGAGAGAGTCTTTGAACCTCTCTTGTTGACCACCAGCATTACACTTTCCATTTTTAAGTTTGGAATAGAGTAGTTGCTTTGGAAGACGATAATCAGCCATCCACACATGACCAGTCCAACAAAGTTGATGTTGAAGAATCATTGCTTCAAAACTGGTGATCTTTCTTCCAGTACACTGGCATTAGTTCACCTGTCTTCCCAGTGATGTGTAAATTTTTTCAGAGACACCATTGATGGAATCTTTTGAGGAGTTGGAGATGGCATTTATAAGTGGTCAACGTTTCACAAGCATACAGCAAGGTTGGTAGTACAATAGCTTTGTAAACAAGTATTTTGATTTCCCTGCGAATATCAAACACACTCCACTTCAATTGGGAGAAAGCTGCACTCGCATAGCTTAGGTGATGCTGGATTTCGGCATCAATGTCTGCCCTTGTGGAAAGTCCAGGTAGGAGAAGACCTGCCTGCAGTCTGATGGTGAGAACCAACTGCAAGTTGTTAGATTCCACAGGCCTTTCGCCTGATCCAGGAGGTTTATTTTTATTTTATTTATTTATTTTCTTTATGTGCCGCCCTTCATCAAAAGATCTCAGGGCGGTTCACAAGATAAAAAATACAAAATAAAAGCACAAATAGTTAAAACAACAAAACAACAACCTCATAAGAGGTGCAATCAAAGCACCTGTGGCAGCATTTTTTTTTAAAAAAATATGTTATTTTTTATGTTACTTCTACTTCAGTCAGTTATTTAAATGGGCAGTTGCCCAAAACACTTGTGGGTGCGGCACCATGATTTTAAGTCTGAGGGCCACATTCTCTTCTGGGCAAACACCCAAGGGCCACACATCATGGGTGGGCCAAAAGTAGATTTGTTTATTCTTGTACAGGAAGCTTGCTTCTAAAGACTCTCTTCCACTCAAGAACCGCCTGCTATTCTATGGTATACAACAAATAACTTCTAGGAGACGTGACCGTAGTTTATTGTATTTGCAGTGCCTCATGTTTTTATGGTTATTGCTGCTCTTTTTGTTCCCTTTGTGAATGGTGCCATGGCCTTTGGCTAGTGCAATAAAGTTTATGATGATGATGATATTGCAGTGGTTCAGTGAGAGGGTGCGCCCTGGGGAACTTTGCAAGGGCAAGATAAAGAGGCTTTGGAGGGGGGGCGGGTCTCATTATGCTCCCAGGGCCTGAGGAATCCTCCCCACTGGCTTACCGCGTGACGATTACTTGGAAGCAATTATCCACTTCACTTTGGCACAGGTTTGCAGCCCTAACCCCCCCCCCCTGAAATCTAGGACTGCTATTTGCAGCCTGAAATAAGAGGAAACGTGAACCCAGGAACTACTCGACAGCTGTCTGTGTTTGCTGTCTGAAAGCCACCTCCCAGCGGTCTACTGAAAGTGAAAGCAGAACGAGAAGTTTCTCGCATGAAATGGCGCCTGTTTTTTCCTGCCGGCTGTGAAGACCGAGCAGCAGCAGCGACCCAGGCCGCGGTGATCTGAGCATGCACAGATCCCCACTTGCCTCGGCTCTCTCCGGCCCTCCATCAAAGTCAGCTTCCAGAAGACCAGCAAGGCTGAACATCACTGTAATCGGGCAGGTGAGTGCTCTCCGCCCGGTGAGCTGAAGTTCATGGTCCCAGCTGAGGACTCTGGGGGACTTCCTGACATTTGGAATCTGGCCAGCAAATAAAAGATGAGGGTCACCGAGCATACACAGAGTGCATTCTCCCTCCAACACAGAGCGTTTATTGTCCAGGGTTGTTGTTGTCGTCGTCGTCAGTCCCTCCTTCAGTCTTCTCTCCCGCCCCACAAAAATGTACAGTATCAGCAGCCTGGGACCAGGTGCTTTGAGAGACAGCCTGTCCCCAAGGGCGTAGCCAAGATTTTGATTGTGGGGGGGTGGGAGGACTTGGTTTGGGGGGCAGGACTTTTGTTAGAGGGGGCAGAACCTACGTGATTGGTCCATTAGTTAAGTATTTCTATTGTTTTGCTTGATTTAAGGGGTGCGTGGAGTTGCTCGCCCCCCCCCGCTACGCCCTTCCCTGTCCCCGCATAGTGTTACTGAACTGCAGTTCACATCAATTCTGACTGCTGGCTATGCTTGCTGGGGCTGATGGGAGTTGTAGTTCCGCAGTATCTGGCAGGCCAAAGGTGACCCATACCTGGCTTAGATCATCTTGGGGTATATTTTGCTCATGGGACTGGACCCTACAGAATATCACAGTGCTGGGTCCCGATGCTCTGTGGAACATGCCACATGTGGAAAAAAGCAACCTCCACCTGTTGCTTCAGAAGTCATGTTTTTGAACTGGCTTCCCCACCTGACCCATCAGATCAGACCCCATTTCTCTGTTTTTCTCTCTTTTTATAAAGCGTTTTTTACTGTTATCATGACGCTGTTTTCTTGCTTTCGTTACTGCTTAGAGCAGTGGTTTCCCCCCTTTCTTTTTACTTTTTAAATATTTTTATTCATTTTTATCTTTAACAATTATCATCACAAATAAAACATACTCATATACAGATAGCACTCTCTGAATCCCTGGGCTTCCCTCCAGCCCTCCATGGTTTCCATCATTATTCTGTTCCAACTGCACCTTGTAATGTTCTCCATATTTTCTTAATACTCGATTCTCACCATAGTTCTCGCTACATTGCAAGTGTTTCTTAGAATCCTGCCAAAGTTTTTAATTCTTTACAGTGTTCTTTTAAGTAACTTACAGATTTTCCCCATTCTTTATTAAATTCATTATCTTCTTGATCTCTGATCTTCCTGGTCATTTTCGCCATTTCAGCATTTCAAACAGTGGGGTGCAACTCACTTCCAGGTGGGTCTGAGCCATAGCTGTCAACTTTCAGATTTGAAAATAAGGGATCAGCAGCCTTGAAAATAAGGGATCAGCAGTTTCACCTGTCCCGGGGACAGTCTGTGGGATATCTAAGAATCCGGGATAGCAGCGGGAAGCAGCGGGAAACAGCACTGGAATAAGGGAATTTCCCACAAAAAAGGGAAGGTTGACAGCAATGGTCTGAGCGCCACAGGCTGCACCCAGGTCTTTCTTGCATGCCTGCCTTGCCCCCTGGCTGTGCCATAGCCTTTTGGTTGGTCCAGTACAGTTCCAGACATGGGTGTAGCCAGGATGGTGTGGGGCAGAACTAAGCTATCTGTGATTGGTCAGTTAGTTAACTATTTTTATTTATTTACTTGATGTGGGGGGCAGCTGCCCCCATGGCTCCAGAAGCTCCTCACATCCTCCCCACAGATGGCAGGGACACAGAAAGATTTTGAGGGGGAAGGGCCTGGGGAGGTACTAAGGAAACTGTGAGGTAAAAGATTAATATTTATTGCTATAATAATTACTGCTGCTGCATAAGGTGGAATTAAAAAGGATTAGAGAGGAAAATATCCATATAGGAGGAAGAAGTAAGTGTAAAAGAACCATGGAGGCAGGATGAAAGAAATTGGTTTTGGGGGGCTGGGGTATAAAGTTCAAGTTGTGTATAAAAGGAGAATGGAAGAAGAAATTACAGGTGATGAGCAGTGGGTTTTTTTCTAGAAAAATAGGTCCCGGCACTCACCATGAAGTTGCTACAGTAAGTGCCACACTTTTTCACAACAAAAAGAGGTGCCGGTACTATGTGCAGAGCCTCTAAGATCAGCGACCTGAGGAAGTTATATTTCCCACAGTAAATGTATGTAATTAGCTGAAGGAAAGCTGAGTTGTTAAACTCCTTGCCGCAAAGATGTGGGAAAGAATGAAATGTTTTCCCCATTGTCCTCAATTCCCTCCGCACTTGCCGTTCTCTCTTGCCACACCAGTGCGCCGTTCCACACCCTGTGAGAATCACTAGTATAGCGCCTTGGCAGCAGTCATGCCAACTTGAATAAAATGTTGGGGGGCCCCAGGTAAGCCCAGTGCACAGTCCCACCATTTGAATGGCAATGCCCATTCACTTTGGACAGCCCAGACCCCTCAAATATTTTATGGGGGTAGTGGAGGCAAAGGGACCTAGGAATTGGCTCCTATGTTATGCAGTGAGATGCTTGGCCAGTCATTCTTGGTTTTAAAAACCGGAAGTGTTAACAAACAAGACCCCCATTTTCACCTGTGAAAAGCTGAGCGCCATGTGCTTGCAACGTGAAAAGGAAGAAGGAGCCCCAATTAGTACTACAGTGGTACCTCAGTTAAGTACTTAATTCGTTCTGGAGGTCCGTTCTTAACCTGAAACTGTTCTTAACCTGAGGTACCACTTTAGCTAATAGGGCCTACTGCTGCTGCCGCGCCGCCAGAGCACAATTTCTGTTCTCATCCTGAAGCAAAGTTCTTAACCCGAGGTACTATTTCTGGGTTAGCGGAGTCTGTAACCTGAAGCGTATGTAACCCGAGGTACCACTGGATTCCAACATTGATTCCCCCCCCCCTTTTTCATTGTCTCCCTTTCAGTCTTTAGTGAGTGGCATCATAGCAAGGTGGAATCCAAAATGGCTGCAAACTGCAGAGGTGTTGTAATAACCGAAGGTAAGCTTGTGTCTGTGAGTGAGTGACAGGTGGACTGCTGTCATCAGCAGCAGACTGGCAATTGGGAGTAAGGAATCACACCGAGTCAGACCATAGCACTGTAGAGCTGGAAGGGACCACGAGGGTCATCTAGCTCAGCCCCCGGCAACGCAGCGATCCTGCCCACAGCCGGTCTATGTAGCTCAGTACACTGGCTGGCAGATAGGGGACAGTCCTAGCCCTAACCTGGAGATTGCCAGAGAGACCTGAGACCTTTTGCATGCAAAGCAGATATTGTACCGTTGTGCTGTGGCTTTCCTCCTGATATATATACATGGTTCAGCAACCCAACATATGAGTTGCAAAAGACATTATTTTAATTATGTAGAAATCTAGTACCAGTTCCACTATTTGAGACTGGATAGTTCTGATTAATCTGTTCAAGAAAGGGCACTTGGGTGAAAAAGCCCTTGAAAAGTTGCAGAAAAGTTTGCTTGTTGTTCACTGCCTTGATATTTTAGGATATGGAGGAGGGAAAAACTGTGTGTGTGTGTGTGTGTGTGTGTGTGTACACAGTGGTACCTCCTTTTTTGAGCGTCTCGGAACGTTTCGGTTTTCGAACGCCAAAAACCTAGAAGTAATTGCTTCTGTTTTCGAACGCTCCTCAGAAGTCAAACGGCTTCCACTGCGTGTTTTTCAGTTTTTCCAGTTGAACCTGCAAGCCAGCCCTTTGCGCCTCGGTTTTCAAACGTTTCGGAAGTTGAACGGTCTTCCGGAACTTATTACGTTTGAGAACCGAGGTACCACTGTATATAAAATGTACTGGTGTCTATGTGGCTAAACCACCACATTTCTAGGCTTTCAGGAGTGTTTCTCTGAGGATTCCAACCCCACGAAAGCAACTTCTGAGTCTTGGCTGCGTTCATGGCTGCTGTGCTGTCTCTTTTCAGGGGACCTGCAACGCTTCGTCAAACACTTAGAGGCTTTCGCAGAAGGCCAGCTAAGGAGAGTCACAGAGTATTTCCACCCGGACTTGATCTACGTCATCGAAAATGACATCGCCCTGGTGGTTCAGGAACTGAGGAGCAGGAAGGTCATTACACCTGAGCAAGCCCAGGTAACAATGCTTTGCAGGTCCTTAAAAAAATGTATGGTATGGCGGGGGCTGCAGTTCTAAGGGAACGGTGGACCCTCAAGAACACAATCCCAAATGCAAGGAGTGTTGGGGGGGGGTTTGGCCAATGCAACCCCCATCCTGCTCTGGCCTAAGGAGGGAACTGTGGGGCAGAATAGCCACACTTACCCAGAAGCCTCTAAATGGCAGTCGGCCATAGAAGACCGTCGTATTGAGAAAGACATATTCTGCAAACGGCTAGGGAGGCTGGGGTTAGTGTTGCATTCCGTTTTTTTCTTTTAAAGTTCAGACAAATTCATGGAGATGGAGAACTGTCGGCAGCCATTGGCCAAGGGAGCTTAATAGAACTTCCATTTCAATGGCAGTATACCTGAATATCAGTTGATAGGAACAAACAGCAGAGGAGAAGGGCTGCTAGCTTCATAAACTAACTGCAGGCTTACCTGAAGCATTTGGCTTGGCCCTAAGGTGAACAGGACGTCGGCGTAGCTGGGCCCTTGATCTGAGTGAGAAGATTGCTGTATTTTCCCCCTGCTAGCTAGCTAGCTAAACTCCTGTCTTCTGTGTTTTGTTTAGATCTATGAAAAAATAGAGAAGCACGAGGATTCAACCGCAGCAGCAGAGAAGCTAGTTGCTGACCTTGCCAGTAACAAGGCTTTGGCGATAGGGCTTTGGAAGAGTCTCTGCGCTCTGAGGCGCCACTGGTCCCATCCCAACCTTGAGGTGATGGTGGGGGAAATCACCCGCAAAGGTAATATATTGTCCCCTGCTCCCTGAGTAGTGAGAATTTTCTTTTTGTTTTGTTTTTAAGGTGTTATTAAGGTGTTACTGTAATGGGACACGGGTGGCGCTGTGGGTTAAACCACAGAGCCTAGGACTTGCCGATCAGAAGGTCGGCGGTTCGAATCCCCGTGACGGGGTGAGCTCCCGTTGCTCGGTCTCTGCTCCTGCCAACCTAGCAGTTCGAAAGCATGTCAAAGTGCAAGTAGATAAATAGGTACCACTCCGGCGGGAAGGTAAACGGCGTTTCCGTGCACTGCTCTGGTTCACCAGAAGCGGCTTAGTCATGCTGGCCACATGACTTGGAAGCTGTATGCCGGCTCCCTCGGCCAATAAAGCGAGATGAGCACCGCAACCCCAGAGTCGGCCACGACTGGACCTAATGGTCAGGGGTCCCTTTACCTTTACTATTGATATATAAAGTCTTTAACAACTCGGGGCCAGTTTGCCTGAGCTTGCCTTTCCCCACGTACGCTCACTCAACTGCTTCAGTCAGTGGAATTGGCAGTCCTAACAGCTGCTGTGTACAGTCAAACCTCTTCTCACATCCGCCTCCACTTGTGTCCATTTTGCCCAACGTCCACGGCAAACCCAGAAGTAACCAGCGGGTTTGTCGCCATTCGCGCATGCGCAGGAGCGGACAATCGCTGCCTGCGCGCAATGGCGCCTCTCCTAGCGACCCATTTCGACCTCAGGACGGACCTCCAGAATGGGGTATAAATTATTATTATTATTATTATTATTATTATTATTATTATTTATTCAACTGTCAGCTTTGTATATGCCATGTGGCTTAGACGATGCCAAATTCCATTTCCAAATGTTTTGCTTTTTCTCTTTTTTGAAGATCAAGCGCTACTCAAGGAGATTCTCCTAAATGAAACCGGACACAACCTTGCCCCGGAAATGAAAGGTACCTGATAGCAAATAAAAATAGTCCACCAACACTTCCTGTTTTCCATTGAACCAATGCAAGGGAATCAGATTTTGGTCAGGCATGGGGCACTCGGTGAGCAGCTCCCCCTGCAACCTGAAAGAAGTGGAACGTGCCAACTCAGTGTTTTCTTAAGCTGCATCTGATCTTGGATGTTCTGGGCAGAGTGGTGGGCCTTGCTTACCTTGGAGTCAGCACCGCAAAGCACCATGGAAATCTCAGGGTTGTGCAGTTATTCCTTTCTGCATTGTGGTCCTACTTTATACAGCCGTACCTTGGTTTTCAGGACAGAATGCATTCCGGAAGTCCGTTTGACTTCTGAAATGTTTGGAAACCAAGGCACGGCTTCCGATTGGCTCCAGGAGTGTCCTGCAGCCAGTCGGAATCTGCGCCAGACATTCAGCTTCCGAGGCAAAGTTTGCAAACCGGAACACCTACTTTCGGGTCTGCGACGTTCAAGTTCTGAGTTGTTCGTGAAGTAAGCTGTTCGAAAACCAAGGTACAACTGTATAAGGGAAAATTGAAATGGGATGTGCAACTCTTGTCTTTTTCTGTCTCTGTGTGAGATGGTAACTGGCAGTTAAACCTGTCCACACATAGAAGGGGAGGTTATTTACCTCTTAATAGTCATTTAATAGATCTCTATTCATATGGGAGGGGAAAAATATTTGTATTTGCTTTAATTTTGCTCTTGTTTTCAATACAGCAAATCCTTTTCTTACACAGGGGTTCAGTTTTGGGTGGCCACACGTTAATACAAAAATTCATAAAGCCAGGGCCCCCTGCAAGTTGGGGGGCTGCTTGGCCGCCTTCCCAAAGCCCAGTAAGCGCTTGCCCAGCTTTGGGAAGGAGGTGGGAGGAATCTAGAACCCTACCAGAACCCTCCTGCCTCCTTCCCAAGATCAGTCGCAGCTTTGCACAGGTGGTGGTGAAATAAATGGAGACTAGGTTTCCATTGCAATCATGGCCTGAGACTGCATAAGTAAAATAAGCATAAAACAAGGCTTGCCGGAACTCAGGGTGAAGCTTGTGGCCCTCCATCCCATTTTATCATCACGGTAATAGTATGTGGTAAATACGGCAAGAGAGAAAGTGAGAGAAAGAGAGTCTAGCACAGGACAGGTGTCTACCAGCTCCATCTGGTACGCCAGCTGAGACCCTACCTGCCCACAGACAGAGTGGTGCATGCTCTAGTTATCTCCCGCTTGAACTACTGCAATGCGCTCTACATGGGGCTACCTTTGAAGGTGACCCGGAAACTACAACTAATCCAGAATGCGGCAGCTAGACTGGTGACTGGGAGTGGCCACCGAGACCACATAACACAGGTCTTGAAAGACCTACATTGGCTCCAGTACATTTCTGAGCACAATTCAAAATGTTGGTGCTGACCTTTAAAGCCCTAAACGGCCTTGGCCCAGTATACCTGAAGGAGCATCTCCACCCCCATCCTTCAGCGTGGACACTGAGGTCCAGCTCTGGGGGCCTTCTTGCAGTTCCCTCACTGCAAGAAGTTAGGTTACAGGGAACCAGGCAGAGGGCCTTCTCGGCAGTGGTGCCCGCCTTGTGGAACACCCTCCGACCAGATGTCAAAGAGAAAAACAAATACCAGACTTTTAGAAGATATCTGAAGGCAGCCCTGTTTGGAGAAGTTTTTAATGTTTGATGTTTTATCATGTTTTTAATATTCTGTTAGGAGCTGCCCAGAGTGGCTGGGGAAACCAGCCAACAACAATTAGCACAAAACACCCAGGAAGCTACATGGATAAGTAGGGATTTGAACCTGGCTCTCCGTGGTCTAAATGCAAGGTTCTGTTGGTTTTGCTTTACTGGGCCAAATTGGACATAATGATGAACCATGTGGCTTATTGTGACAGGAGTGACCTACCGAAAGCCATGCGCTTACATGCCTCTTTCTCCCTTCCCCTCTTTCCAAGGATCTCAGTTTTGCTTATGTTTTTGATTAACATTTTGTCTGTACCCTGAGCTGTGTTTAATCCAGTGTTTCCCAACCTTGGGCCTCCAGCTGTTTTTGAACTACAATTCCCATCATCCCTGACCACTGGTCTTGCTAGCTAGGGATGATGGGAGTTGTAGTCCAAAAACAGCTGGAGGCCCAAGGTTGGGAAACACTGGTTTAATCGTTACTAGTGTTTGTGGCAAATAGCCCAGTTCCATAACAACCCATGCTTTTCAAGTTGCCCTGTTACAAACCATAGTTAAGATTAACCACAGTTTCTTGGATGTGGTGAAAGAGCAAGCTGAGGGAGCAGAACGAAGGTTTATGGCGATTTTCAAACCAGCTCACTGGCTCTCAGCGTTTCTTGTAAGGTTCATCTACCAATAGCCGGAGATGCTACAATCCAGGAAGTCTTTGCCTATTTGATCTCCTGTTCTGCTAGGCTGGGCCAATTCAGTGAACCCTGCAATCTTTTTCTTCTGTCCAGCTTGTCAGGATGAACACAGACGTATTCTGTTGGAACAGACCAAGTTGCTGAAAGAAACCGGCCAAAGAACACGGTCCGAGGGGCAAAGTTTCCCCATCCTCAACCGCTATGTGGATATAAAAATAGTTGCTGATGTCTACTTCAGGAGACAAACGTTTCAAGAACATGAGGCACTGGCTGCTGCTGGAGAGCTGAACGAATATCGCCTCCGCCACAAGATGCAGGTGGAGCTGGAGCGAATCACCCCAGACCGGCTTTTCCGTTGGTGCTATCGATCAGGCCGCGCCCCCCACTTTGTGATGGTGAGCGGTGTAGCCGGGGTTGGCAAGAGCACCCTAGCGCAGAAGTTTGTATTTGACTGGGCCACTGGAAAACACTACCAGAAATTCACTTTTGTTTTCTTCTTCAAATTCCGAGACCTCAACGCGGTGGGGGAAAAGACCAGCCTAGAAAGCCTGATCCAACGGGAGTACCCCTATTTACACTCTAAACTTGACACAATTCTACAAGAACCCCAAAAATTGCTGTTCATATTTGACGGTTTGGACGAGAGCAACAGTAACCTTGACTTGGGCAGGAAGGCAGAATTTTGTGCCCAACCAGGAGATGTGAAACCGGTGGGGGTGATTGTGGCCAGCCTGCTGAAAGAGAAGCTTCTGAAGGGCTGTTCCGCCCTCCTGACCAGCCGGCCAAGCAATCTTGCCCGTTTGGAGAGAGGGGTCCTCCACAGAGTGGCCAGTATTGTGGGCTTCCTCTCCCAGGAAAGAGAAAAGTACTTCCACAACTTCTTTGGAGAAGCTGCGGTGGCCAAGGAGGCTTTGGCCCATGTCAGGGAGAGCCAGGTTCTGTACACCCTCTGTTACAATCCTTCTTACTGCTGGATTACTTGCACAGCCTTGCAGCCTTGCTTCACCTCTGAGGCCGGACAGACACATCCCCTTCCCAAAACGGTAACTCAGCTCTTCGTAAGCTACATCAGGCATGTGATGGTCAATCACACCAAGGAGCTCCCTGAGCGTGAAAGGGCATGGAAGATGATGATACAACTTGGCTGGCTGGCTGAGTATGGCCTCCAGCATCGCACTCTTCTGTTTGATCAGGCGCAACTGGAAGCGTTTAATGTGGATTCATCTCCCCTCGTCAAAACGTTCCTGGTGGAAAACATACAAAGTGCCACTTCAACTCCTGTCGTCACCTATTCTTTTGTCCACCTCACTGTCCAAGAGTTTTTTGCTGCCCTCGTCCATTATTTAGACTTCAAGGAGGGCAATTTTGGATACATAATGGCAGCAGTCCAAGAAGCCCAAGGTGGGGAGTACGAAATTTTTCTTCGCTTCCTCTCTGGCTTGTCTCAGTTTGCAACCAGGGCACCGTTGGAGGCTCTTCTGGGGAAGTTCTCAGCAGAGACCGCTAGGCAAGTCATTGACTGGATCCTGAAGACGGACTGCAGTGATTTCCTCCAAATGGAAAGGCCTCTTGATGGGAAAAAGAGGACCTTGAATTTCTTAAATTTGCTTTTCGAGGCACACAACAAGCTCCTTGTGTGTGAGGCATTGGGAGGTGATGGTGATGCCTCCATGGACTTTTCGGAACTGTATCTGATGCCTGTGGACTGCGTCATCCTTGCTTATGTGCTGAGTTGCTGCGGTAAGATTGACCTCCTGAATCTTGATACGTGCTTCATTCAGAACGAGGGACTGCAGAGGCTCAGCCTTGAGCTGCACAGAATCAGAGAACTGAGGTAAGCAGCTGAAATGCAATTCATGGCTGATGTCAAATTACAAGTGCAGTCGTGCCTCAGATCCCAAACGCCTTGGGAGACGAACGTTTCAGCTCCCAAACAATCAAAAAGCGGAAGTGAGTGTTTCAGTTTTCGAACGTTCTTTTGGAAGCCGAACGTCCGACGGGGCTTCTGCGGCTTCCGATTGGCTGCAGGAGTTTCCTGCAACCAATCAGAAGCTGCGTTTTGGAAGTCAAACATTTTGGAAGTCAAACGGACTTCCAGAGCGGATTTTGTTCAAATTCCGAGGTATGACTGTACTTTCAAGGTTTGATCAAACATTCCAAACAATTGATGGAGCAGCATTCACATTGAATTTAGTCTTTGGACCTTGCTAAATCTGCCCAACCCAACCCCCCCCCAATTGAAACAGCCCCTGCAGAAGGATTGGGGCCCATGGTTCCAACTACTTTAAATGGGTATGTTGCAGACTTCACAACGAGTGTTATTTAGTATTCAGGCATCTGCCACAGAGCCAGGCTAGGCCTAGGGCATCTGAATGTACCTGAGACCTGACAAGGAGTCTTCCTATCCAAAGGTCCCTGCGGTCAGTGACTAGAGCCGAGGGCTGGCACAGGAGCGGGAGACTGAAGCCAGTACAGTGGATGCTCGGGTTGCGAATGTGATCCATGCGGAATGCATGTTCGCACCCTGCAGCATTCGCAACCCGCGCCTGCGCATGCACGGGTTGTGATTTGGCGCTTCTGCTCATGCTCAAAGCGCGATATAGCGCTTCTGCGCATGAGCAACTGCCAAAACCTGGAAGTAACCCGTTCCGGTACTTCCAGGTTTTGGCAGTCCGCAACCCGAAAAAACACAACCTGAAGCGGCTGTAACCCGAGGTATGACTGTGTTGGGATCAAAATCGGCAAAAGTTTTTGCCTTTTCTACAAGGCAGCAGATGCAGAGACAGGCAGGCTCCAAGTATTCATATTAGGCCTTGCCAGTTCAGAAGCTTCATACAGTCTGCCAGTTGCGAAGGTTGAAGGTGGTTAGGGGAAGCTATGACTCTTAAAGTGGACTAATAGTTATGCAAATGTATTGTGTGGATGTGGCCCTTGCCTCCCTCCCTCTCTGTCCTTTCCCCATCATGGCAGGTGATGTCTGTTAGCTTGGGGGCAGGGGAAGGAGGGGGCTGGAAACCATCCAACTATAAAGGTAAAGGTAAAGGTACCCCTGCCCATAGGGGCCAGTCTTGACAGACTCTAGGGTTGTGCGCCCATCTCACTTAAGAGGCCGGGGGCCAGCGCTGTCCGGAGACATTTCCGGGTCACGTGGCCAGCGTGACATCGCTGCTCTGGCGAGCCAGAGCCGCACACGGAAACGCCGTTTACCTTCCCGCTGGTAAGCGGTCCCTATTTATCTACTTGCACCCGGGGGTGCTTTCGAACTGCTAGGTTGGCAGGCGCTGGGACCGAACAACAGGAGCGCACCCCGCCACGGGGATTCGAACTGCCGACCTTTCGATCGGCAAGCCCTAGGCGCTGAGGCTTTTACCCACAGCGCCACCCACGTCCCTTCTACCATCCAACTATAGCAGGTCCCAATTTTGATGAAAAAGCCTCCCAAAGCAGCTTCCAAATTATCAGTGAGAGGACAGTCCTTTCCTTCAGTCCCACAATATAAAGGATGTGACACAAGGAGGGGGGCAAGGTCTAGAGTGACTACTAAATGCTTTTTGCATTCCTGTAAATTCTTTCTCCTTTCACAGGCTTTGCAATAACGATCTGAGCAATCCATCCACAAAGGAGCTTGTTTCTATCTTGAAACATAAAGAGTGTCGACTGGAAATCCTGAGGTATGTTTGTTGCAGCTACTGTAATGGGCTATTCCTTACCAAATCCTCACTGGGTCTGCACTGGAAGAGCCAGAAGGTATTTGGGGAAAGGCATCCTTTAGCAACGCGGGTGGCGCTGTGGGTTAAACCACAGAGCCTAGGACTTGCCAATCTGAGCTCCCGTTGCTCGGTCCCAGCTCCTGCCAACCTAGCAGTTTGAAAGCACGTCAAAGTGCAAGTAGATAAATAGGTACCGCTCCGGCGGGAAGGTAAACGGTGTTTCCGTGTGCTGCTCTGGTTTGCCAGAAGCGGCTTAGTCCTGCTGGCCACATGACTTGGAAGCTGTACGCCGGCTCCCTTGGCCAATAAAGCAAGATGAGCGCCGCAACCCCAGAGTCGGTCACGACTGGACCTAATGGTCAGGGGTCCCTTTACCTTTATCCTTTAGCAAATGTTCCTGACTCAAAACTAAATTGGAAACATTTTGCTCTCGTGCCCTTTGAATTCTGATTCCTTTCACAATCTGTTCTGTTGTGAGTTGTGGGCGGTTTTGTTAGATAACAGAGGTGGGTGAATGTGTAAGCTTCGGTTTCTCTTAGTTTCTCACAGGGTGGATTTGATTTAAATCAAATTGATTTAAATCACCATTTAAATCACTAGGCAGTAAGACTTGATTTTATAGAAAGTTCTTTATAGCAAGTTATGCCAACTGGATCGATGTCACGATCTACAAGAATAAACCATAGAAAAAGTTCAGATTGGCAGTCGTCATTACAACGATCTTTGTCAAAGCCCAGCAGTATTCCACATTCATTTATTTGTTATCAAGACTTGCCACTTGCCACTCAACGCTTCACTACTTATTTAATAATACATTTTCATGAAACAGAAAAGTATAGGCGATCAGGTACTTCTGGAGGCATGAAAGAGAGAAAGAAGCAACAGCAACGTTGGGCAGGCACTGAACTGTTTCCCACAAGCCACAACCTCCTGCCCCACACCTGATAACATAAGGGGCAGGTATAGATACAGCTGTATGGGGGGGGGGAATAGGTCACTTCTACGTAACTGTCAGAACTGCTCACCGGGGTGGGGTGGGGGAGTTCAGGATCCAGCCTTGCAGAATCCAGAGGTATTTGGTCCCTAGTAAATGAGTTTAGGAGTCCAGCCTTTAAAACAGAAGAAGAATTGAGCAGTTCAGAGACACAAACTCCATGTATGTACATATTTTCCATCTTCTCTTCTTCATTTCCTCCCTTTGCTCTTCCCAGCTTGGCAAAGAATGCGCTTACTGGACAGTGCTGTAAAGACCTGAGTTTGGCGCTCTTGGAGAATTGGACCCTTTTAAATCTTGACCTGTCCAAGAACAAGCTGCAGGATCAGGGCCTCTCTGACTTACTGAAGGTGTTCAGAAGTCCGGAGAGCAGGATACAGAAACTAGTGTAAGTGTCAAAGCAACCACCTCAACGTATGCAGAGTATTTTAAAAGATTTGCAGGTCACCTGTACATTTCCAGAGGCTTTGCTTCAACCTTTCTAAGATGTTTATTAAGAAAATATATGAGCAGCCTTCCTGTCAGGTACTGAAGGTGATGTTCCTAACCCCTAAGCCAAACAATAAAAAGCCCCACTGAATTACCAAGGTGGAATCTGCACACATATAAAAAAACACACTGTGGAAATGCTTTAATTTTTTTTTTAAAAAAATACATTTAATTTTGCAAAGCTCACTTTCGCCATCTAGCGTCACAATTTACATTGCACTTTACTACACATTTAAAACGTTTTATTTGCAGCTGTATAGCTGAGTCTCAAGTTGATTTTTAAAATGAAAATACATTTTAAAATAGAGAATACTGTACAGGATTTAAAAAATCAGTCAATCAGAGTAGCTAGCAACTGGAAAATACAAAACAAAATACAAATCCAAGTTGATAATATGTTGAGTGTGTAAGAGTCAGCATAGATCATGTATTCCCCCCCCCCCATTTTTTCAAGTTTTTAAATTGGGGGTCATCTTATACACAGATAGTGCATACAGGGGACTGGCAATTGGTTGCTTTCGCAAGCAAGAGTTGTCAGCGGCGATTGGGCGGGGGATTGGTGGCTGCGGCTGATTGGCAGCTGCTGCAGTAATTGGGTAGTGATTGGTGGTTGCTGGCGGTGACCCTGCATACAATTGGTGGCTTCAGCGCCGTGCGAGATTTTCAGCGTTGGTCAGGCGGGTGAGCGATTTTTGGCAACCCCCTCCCCCAAACAGAAAGCTCAGCTACTCGTGGCAATCCCCCCCCCAGAAAAGCTCAACAACTCTGGGTAATCTCCCCCCATTTTCTTTATTTGAGTCCCCAAAAATAGGGGTCATGTTATACCTGAGTGCGAGGCTCTGAAGAGGTTGGAGCACCTTTTGACGTCTTTGCATCCTCTGCTGCAGAATCCAGGAAAACGCCTTGTCGGATGGGTCCTTTGAGGCACTTTGCTCTGCTCTAGCCGACAACACTAGCCTCAGGTATCTGGACGTGAGTGGCAACCCTTTCACGGATATGTGTGCTGAAGATGTGCACACTCTCATTTTGACCTGTCCTGCTCTTACAGAAATCAGGTACCATCAGGCCTCACTCTTCCTAAGTGTATTCACTCCTAAGGGAATTTAAACTTCTACACCTTGGAAGTTTGGAGGGGTGGCCAGCCTGCGGGAGGGCCTTTCTGTGGTGGCCCCCTTCATTTGTGCATTGTTTGTTGTTTTCTGAAGATGCAGCTGTATAACCTGACCTCCAACACTACAGATACATATTTTGATAACCCGCCATATTCTTGTGGCTGTAATTTGTTTTAAATTGTTGTGACCTGCCCTGGGACCTTAGGCTGAAGGGCGGGTAACAAACAGTCAAATAATAATGGTGATAACGATAAAAACGACTGCCTGCCTTCCCAAAAAGATTGGGCATTTTGCGATAGGGGAAATGATAGGAAAAATCACTGTGATGTTTGATTCGAGGCAACATCATGCCACCTCCCTGCAAAATGAATTGTGATGAATCCTCAAAAAGCAGGTTGTCAGGAAAGTGCCCTTTCTCTTGCCTTTATTGAGCATATGTACTGATTTGTTTGGGGGTGGTTATAAGACTATGATGTGGGTGGCGCTGTGGGTTAAACCACAGAGCCTAGGGCCTGCCGATCAGAAGGTCAGCGGTTCGAATCCCCGCAACGGGGTGAGCTCCCGTTGCTCGGTCCCTGCTCCTGCCAACCTAGCAGTTCGAAAGCATGTCAAAGTGCAAGTAGATAAATAGGTACCGCTTCGGCAGGAAGGTAAACGGCGTTTCCGTGTGCTGCTCTGGTTCGCCGGAAGCGGCTTAGTCATGCTGGCTACATGACCCGGAAGCTGTACGCCGGCTCCCTAGGCCAGTAAAGCGAGATGAGCGCCGCAACCCCAGAGTCGGTCACGACTGGACCTAATGGTCAGGGGTCTCTTTACCTTTTTTATATGACTATGAGGTTTCATCATATATTTACATGTCTTCCCTTTATTCATTCTTGCGGCACTTTGAGTGCATTTCCCCATCACTTTCCAACCTGCACTCATTAGAAAGAGCATGTATGTTTTTCTAGAGCGACAGAGTTCTTCAGTCCTCTTCAAATGTGCAAACCTAACGTTCCCCTTTGCCATCTTCTACTTATTTTTTTCCTTTCCTGAAAACAGCAATTATTGGCAGTCTACCTGAGTGATAATAGTCATAGCTACATTTGTTGTGTTTTTTCTAGGTTAAACTTAAGTGATATCAGTCCAGCGATGGAAAAAGATCTGAAAAAGCTGGATGGTTGCAGAGAAGGCTTCAAGATCCACATTTAAAACTCCTTTTTCCCAATTATTCTTTATCAATTTTGTTATGTACTGAAGTTCTCACCCTGGGCCAGCAGGGGGATACTGTAGATAGTTTTCACTCAGGTCCACATATGCAAATAAGGGATTGAAAGTGACGTTCAGTGATTGGATAGTTACAGAAAGTGGTTACAGTTGCGTTGTAGTGGAGCTGTATATTAGCAGGCTGGCTGAACCCTTCAGTTCAGTTCTGTTCTGGCCTGTGAATAAACAAGAGCTGTCTGAAGAATTGCTATGTTGTCTGATATGTTCACCCACAACTTAACAAATCTTCCAAATTATTACTCTTGCTCATTCTTGCTCTGCATTGCTCCATCATACTCCTGGTCTGATCCAAAAATAATTTTAAATAAAATCCATTCAACCTCAGTCAAGGGGGGAAGGCATAATAAAACCATGTGAAGGAGAACAAGGGCTCTGATCCAAAATGCACTAAAAAAAATTAACTAGAAGGAAAAGACCTACCAGGAAATATTGAAAGGTGGCCTCTCTGGTATGGACGTTTCTCAATCAGGGCACCACCATCAAATAAGACCTCCCTCTAGTGGCTGCTTGCTTAAACTTCAGTTTGCTAAAAATTTGTTTTCCGTGTTCCTCAATCACTTGTTTAATCCTGGGTAATTGCTCACTGAAATTCATGCTTCTAAGGAATATGAGTATATTTTGCCATGATCTAAATGAAAAGTGAAAGATTTTACCTGATTATCTACAGTTTTAATGCACTCTTCTTCTCTCAAGTTACTTTCCGATTTGGTTTGCTGTTTATAACCTTACATTTGGTCAGGATTCACCCACTCAAGAAAAGGAAAAGATACAATAGCCCTACTCTACTTGATACGCTGCCCTTAGTAAGCTTTTGGAGAAAGCTAGTACCCGGATGCGGGTGGCGCTGTGGGTTAAACCACAGAGCCTAGGACTTGCCTGATCAGAAGGTCAGCGGTTCGAATCCCCGCAACGGTGTGAGCTTCCCGTTGCTCGGTCCCTGCTCCTGCCAACCTAGCAGTTCGAAAGCATGTCAAAGTGCAAGTAGATAAATAGGTACTGCTCAGGTGGGAAGGTAAACAGCGTTTCCGTGTGCTGTTCTGGTTTGCCAGAAGCAGCTTAGTCATGCTGGCCACATGACCTGGAAGCTGTCTGTGGAAAAACACCGGCTCCCTTGGCCAATAAAGCGAGATGAGCACCGCAACCCCAGAATCAGTCACGACTGGACCGACCTAATGGTCAGGGGTCCCTTTATCTTTACTAGTACCTGGATGTCTTCATGTTCTGTCTTGAAAACATGCCTAATTATTCCTTTGCCATCATCTGCTCCAGTTCCTGTATTGGTTTCTACAGCCACAGCAATATTCCTTAGCAGAAAGAAATTGTTTTCATTTAAGCGGATTTTCATCGCTGCCAAAAAAATATGACACTGGTTAACATTTTTAATAACAGAGCTTGTTAACAACAGCAATAAGTAGCAGGCTTTTCAAGGCCTGCTTTGTGACTCAGTCATGTCTAAAGAAAAGCCAGAAAGCCGCTACTATTTGAGTGCCAAGCCTTCCACACTCACGCAATTTCCTGATTCAAACCTTTCCACCGCAAGACACTTCCAGACTCTCAAATTCTGTCTTTCACCCTATGATGTAGAAGATGCTGCCTCGTGCAGAGTTGCACATCATAGTAGTCACACCTCTGGAAATGTATACTTTACAGTCATCCTTCCTGTGAATATGGCTTAACTGCCGATGTCACCCCAGCCATAAATCCAGGAGAGACAGCAAACACTTCAAGGGCAGCAGTGGGGAACTTCCTTCAGCTCAAGGGCAACATTCCCTTCTGGACAGCTTTCGGGGTATGGGCAGGGGGTCACATGGCAGTACAGAGGCAAAAGTGGACTAAACAATGTAAACATTTGCCTATGTACACGAGGCTTGTTTTTACACACTCACGCCCAACACAAACTCCTTGCAAAGAGGCAAGGGGCATTCTCAGTGTTCAAGACCACATTGCAAGCAGCGGGAAACCCTCAAGGAAAGCGCAAAGCGGGGACAAGCGAGAGAGGTGTCTCCTGGGGAAAAGGCCAGAAGGCCAGATAGGGAGGCGAGGACAGCAGCACTCAGGCCCTGGACCTGCAGTACCCCATCATGGCTTCAGGAGATCGTATAATAACATTCAGGATGATCTTCAGCTAGAGAGAGCCGGGTAGATGGGCAAAAGAACATGTTTTCATTGTCATTTTATTTACAAACTGCGTTTTTCACAGATAAATATGGTCAAAAAGAAGTTCACCGAAAAAACAAGTGCTAAATACAATAATACAATTCATAATAAGCCAATTCATAATAAGCCATAATAGGCCAGAGAAGCGGACACGGAGCAATGGATCCAAACTACAAGAAAGAAGATTCCACCTAAACATTAGGAAGAACTTCCTGACAGTAAGAGCTGTTCGACAGTGGAATTTGCTGCCAAGGAGTGTGGTGGAGTCTCCTTCTTTGGAGGTCTTTAAGCAGAGGCTTGACAACCATATGTCAGGAGTGCTCTGATGGTGTTTCCTGCTTGGCAGGGGGTTGGACTCGATGGCCCTTGTGGTCTATTCCAACTCTATGATTCTATGATTCTATGTAATATTGCTGCAGAATAACACAAAAATAATAGCCAACAATTAGCAATCCATTTGACGTATATAAACATTTAACTAAACACACAGCTTGCTAATAGATCTGTAGCCTTATGAGGCTTTGCCCTCGGGTGGGAAAAAGTATTGCACCCGGGAGAGGGAGTGGGAGTCAAACAGACACTCAAGGAATATTCTGCCTTCCAGGGTGGCAGAAGGAGCAAGTGTGATAGATTCACAAACAAGCATGAGTTCACAGTCATTTGCACAGAGCATATATTCCCCTTCCAGTTCCTTCCCCTTTCTCCTCCTCCTTAGGAGTCCTGCCTCATGAGTTCCCCTGAGCATGAACAGAAAGCTCCTGTCTTGGGATTCTTGTGGACTCTTGGCGCCCTTCCCAGGAAAGGGGGTGAGAAGCCAAGGGGGTGGGTCGAGGAGCCTTGCGTTCAGCGTGTTCAAGATGTCTTACAACCGAATGAAATAAGAGTCAGTTCTCAGACTTGCTTGACAGAGCCTATTCATTAGCTTTTGAAGCCTTCTCGTGCTGATAAAAGTAACATTTTGCCTATGCATCTTGTGAGAAAAGCAGAGAAGAGCAGAGAAAAACTGTTTTGGATTTTTAGAAGAGAGAAAGGGAATTTTGGACAGTTTGAGGCCTGGTTGGGGGGTGTGTGACTTCGGGCCTAGGTGGGGTCACCTGTCCTCACCTCCTTCAGATCCAAGTCAAAATATCCAATTAAGGGACCGCTATTCTGGCAAGTAGCTCACTTCTGGATGCTCCCAAGGCAGGAAGGGGCAAGGCAGATGGAAAAAGTCACCTTTGTTCTGGTAAAATACAGGACAGGGCAGAGCGGGTGGTTTGGAGGACAATTTTGTTTTGTTTTTCATCTGGTGCTGAAGTGACTTCAAGGCAATCCGTTGCAATCTATTGCAGCCTAATAAAGGTAAAGTTAAAGGTACCCCTGCCCGTACGGGCCAGTCGTGTCCGACTCTGGGGTTGTCTGGAGACACTTCCGGGTCATGTGGCCAGCGTGACGAAGCTGCTCTGGCGAGCCAGCACAAGCGCAGCACACGGAAACACCGTTTACCTTCCCGCTATAAAGCGGTCCCTATTTATCTACTTGCACTTAAGAGCGCTTTTGAACTGCTAGGTGGGCAGGAGCTGGGACCGAACGACAGGAGCTCACCCCGCCGCGGGGATTCGAACCGCCGACCATACGATCGGCAAGTTCCTAAGTGCTGAGGTTTTACCCACAGCGCCACCCGCGTCCCTACATTGCAGCCTAATAAGATGGCCCTAACTTGGGAGAGAGAGGGGGGGGGACTTGAAAGACAAGACAAAACTCTATCAATACAGGACGTAGCATTTTACATTGAAATACAGGACAATAATGTATTAATACAGGACAGGTGGCAACCCTACACCCCTGGGTGTCCAACACAGAGTCTCTCACCCCTTGCATTCAACAAAACCAAAGGGATGACAAAGAAAAGTGAGTTTGACTCCATATGGTCTCGATTTGTGCCATTTATTAACAATAGTACAATAATTCCCTTCCACCTCAGTTGCAGCAACCACCATGGAGAAAATATCTTAACACTTCAGATTGATATGCACCCCGTGGATGTGAGCTGAATTTGTAATGCAAAAGATTTTCCACATTTGTTTTGATACCGTGCAGTTGACTACATGCAAGACTCAACATCTGTATATGTATTTGTCTAGGAAGAGAACACTTTGGTAATTGTATTTATTTTTTTAATTCAGTAAGTTCGTAAAGAGAAAAAAATATTTATCAGTGCTGCTACAGAGTTAGCATTCTTTGATCAAAGTTTGCTTTGTTTTTAGCTGTCATTGCTTACTGACAAATTTAACCATCCTGTTTTGAAAAACTACAGTTCTCAGAGTTCCCCAGAAGCTTTCATTTTCAGTGACAAAACGGTGACAAAGGAACTTCAATGACAAAACGAACCTGTTTCATGTCTGTAGCCTTGTACCCAAGAACTATCATCCACATGCAAAAAAAGGAAATGGTTAGATTTGGAGCAGCACGTGGAACATTCCACCCTTTTCCCTCACATCCCAACCCAAATCACACTCGGAGGGAGTTGCCTTATACGGATGAGTAACAGCCAGGTATACCGCTGACTCTTGTATTCACTTCCTGCCTTTTTCTTGACACTAGAGAGTCACATCCTCTCTGGCAGGCAAAAGGTAAGGACATCAGGAGAGCCCAACTAGGGGAGGCCAGAGGCCCATCTAGTCCGTCCTGTTCAAACAGTGGACAACCACAATGACCTCTGAAAGCCCACAAACAGGGCCTGTGTGCAAAAGCAGCTCTCCCCACTTCTGACTCCCAGCAAGCATACCTGAAGTAGCATCTCCACCCACATCGCTCATCCCAGACACTGAGGTCCAGCTCCGAGGGCCTTCTGGAGGTTCCCTCACTGCAAGAAGTGAGGTTACAGGGAACCAGGCAGAGGGCCTTCTCGGTAGTGGCGCCCGCCCTGTGGAATGCCCTCCCACCAGATGTGAAGGAAATAAACAACTACCTGACTTTTAGAAGACATCTGAAGGCAGCCCTCTTTAGGGAAGCTTTTAATCTTTGATATTTTATTGTGTTTTTAATATTCTGTTGTGAGCTGCCCAGAGTGCCTGGGGAAACCCAGCCAGATGGGCGGGGTATAAATAATAATAATAATAATAATAATAATAATAATAATAATAATTTTATTATTATTATTATTATTTATTATTATTATTTTCAGAGGCTTATTGCTGCTGATAGAGAAAACATTGTCATTGTGGCTTGCACCAGTGGTCAGCCTTGCTCTCTATTAATTTATCTTCAGACAACCAGATGCCTTTGGGAAGCAAGCAAATACAGTAGAAGCAGACTGCCACAGCTCTCCCCACCATTTACAGCAACTGCTATTCACAGTCAGTGACCCACCTAGCCAAACATCTTCCTCTCACGGTGGCCAACCAGACACCTCTACACACTCTCTGCTCTGTGTTCCATGTAGGCAAGCAAGAAGCATTGAAGGGCACATCCAGCCAGGCACAAACATTCCAGGAGAGTACAAGAGCAGGCTTGGGGGCAGTTTCCAGGGCCTGATGGCAAGGACTGGAGGGCCACATTCGCCCCCAGGTCTGGGCAAACTAGATGACACATGACTTGCTTGATTAGGAAAGTGACAGGGAAATGCATTGGAAAGCATGGGGTGAATGAATGATGAGTGAGAAGTCGTATAAACACCCCAGAAGCAAATCAGGATGAATAGTTATGGTTGTAGAGCCACTCTGCAGACAAATTAATGACTCACCCCTAATCAACCCTCATGGGCCCTACAATCGGCAAAGAAGACCCCCTTTGGTGCTGCTACTTCTGGCTGTGGTCCAGTTGGCATTGACCCAGGAGGAGACCTTCTTGGTGGTGGCTCCCCTTTTGTGAAAAGTGCTCCCTGGTGGGCTATACCTGTCTCCCTCATTATTGACTTTCAGCAGAAACATAAATGCATTCCTTGTTTACCCAGGCATTTGATGGTGACGGGATGAGCTCCCGTTGCTCTGTCCCAGCTCCTCCCAACCTAGCAGTTTGAAAGTACACCAGTGCAAGTAGATAAATAGGCACCGCTGTGGTGGGAAGGTAAACGGCGTTTCTGTGCACTCTGGTTTCCGTCATGGGGTTCCGCTGCGCCAGAAGCAGTTTAGTCATGCTAGCCACATGACCCAGAAAGTTGTCTGAGGACAAATGCCGGCTTCCTCGGCCTGAAAGCGAGATGAGCGCTGCAACCCCATAGTCACCTTTGACTGGACTTAACCGTCCAGGGGTCCTTTACTTTTTACTGGCCCTGGCAACTTTGAAATTAGTAACTGTGAAGGCATGTTATTGCTTTTATATGTTTCTAGATGTTCCAAATGTTTTGAAAACGCTGTTTTAAATACTTTTTTATTTCATTTAAAACACTGTTGTTTTAACATTCTGATGTTTTTCTCCTTGGGCTCTTCCGGGAGGAAGGGCAGAAGGTGCAAATGAAACAAAATGTAATAAATTGGAACAAATGTGCCATGAAGTCCAGCCATTATGTAAACTTTGTGCAAGCAAAGCTGGATGCCTGCTGAAAAAATGGGTCTTCTGGAGGTCTTCCCCCAAAATCCCTTATCTGGACGTCACCCTCCATTGCTGTCCTTCCAAATGCCAAGCCAAATAGCCCCCGAGACATGATTTCACTGGTATGAATAAGGCTCTGCTGGCACTTCAGGCGAAAGGATGCACTGTTGTCATTTGACGACTGAGTAAGAGCATCTCTGGAAGGGAAACCGGGTGGGGAGAGGCAGCACTCATCTTTTGGGAGTTGCACGTTGTGCCTTCAATTCACCCCAAAGGCATTTGCACCTGGAGGGGAGGGGCCAGGCCATGGAGATCAAAAACCCTCGGCTCCCCAGGATTTCTACTCAAAGCTCACCTTGCCTGAGACCTGCCCAGCTCTCGAAAATATTTGCTGCTCCGGAATACATTGCAGAATCATGGCTGGGACATGGGGCCTGCGGATCTTCCTTTTGTGTCTAACGCCAGGTAAGAGCCTTTGGGTAGCGCCAGAGGATAATGATGGAGGCTTCTTCTTCTTCTTCTTTTTAAAGAGTGCTATGTGTGGTTTGATAACATGGATGCTAGCATTCAAGCACACACAGCTTGCTTCCAGGCAACCCGTTTATTTGCGAGATCAAACGACATTTGAGCATTTGCTGAGCATTCCTTCTGATTTGTTTGCAGAGAGGTTAGACTTGCCTCCAAGCAATGGTTATCCAGCACTTTCCAGTGCATCTCTCCCTTGCTTTCCATATTGTAAAAAGTCTGCTTTTTTGCAGGGGAAGCTGGTTTTTCGTTGCCCAAGGGCACCAAAGCAACTTTCATTGAACAGCCTGAATTTGCTGCTATGGGATTGAATCTCTCCTGCAAGAAAGTGACAGTCCTTATAGTTTTATTTTCTGAAGCTGGATGGAGTAATGGTGTAAACTGTCCCGGTTCTGTCACAAAGCATAGCTTTAAAACACACACACCAAGTTTCTAGTCCTTATTGTTGCAAACGTGTGTGTGTGTGAGAGTGACAGGAGCGCATAGTGAAATAGAAGAAGCAATGAGTGCAGTGGGATTAGTACTGAGCTAAAATGTAAATAGGGAGAGGATCATTTTGTGAAAACCTCTTCCTTCCATACAGCCCCCCACCCCCATTCCCAGTTTCAGTTATCTTCCGGGGGGGACAGAAGTGGAAATGCTGTAAAACTGTAGTGAGACTGCGGGAGGCAGGTGGAGGGCCAAGAGTTTTGAAGCTTGTTCATGGGGATGGGAACCCCAGAATTTTGGATTGTAGCATGTCAGGGAGAAAGTTAGACCGGGATCCTTCTCCCTTATATCTACAGGTTTTCATTGTGCAAAGAATTCTTTTAAAACAAGCAAACGAAAAATATAGAACATGAGACTCTTGATCTCAAGCCCCATGTTGCGTAAAAGACTAGATTACTCTTGTGGTCCCTTTCCAACTCTATGATTCTATGATTCTAATATATAACGCAGAGCTTCAGCTGTCACCTTCCTTCAAAATCTCACTTGTATGTGCTTTGAATTTGTCTGGATTATATACAATCCTTAAATCCTCTATCAGTGGTTGGTGGTTTTTACGGTATGTTGTTGATGATGATGATGTTGTTGTTAGCACCATCAGTGACCCTGAACCTTACTATTAGCAGGTGATGCCTTGTTGGTGGTGCCCAGTTCCATTCACCCATGACAGGGCCTTTTCAGTGGCAGCTCCCTATTTATGGAATGTCCTTCCCAGTCAGGAGTGTCTATGTCTCCCTCATTTTTGGTAGACTTTAAGAGGATTCCTGTTCACTTAGGCATTTGATGATTGAAAGACACTGTTCCTGAGATCACTGACAGAAATAATTCTTTTAACTGCTTTTAGAATTCTTTTTTTTAAAAAAAGGTTTATTATTTATGTATTTGTCACTTTTGGATCCTTCATGAGAAAGGGCAAGATAGAAACCAAATAAAAACTTATTTAGTAGCAGTAATTATGACTTTTCCATGGAATGTGTGGACCACCAATGGGTCATCTGTTGGCCCCGAAGTCAGAACTTCTCCATTGGGCTACAGGGATTAAAGAGCTGAGGCACAGGCTTTGCCTGAATCGTTCTCCACACTTGGGTGCCGTATAGAAAGGCTTCCTTTATGGGATGAGCTTAGCTACCAATTGCAGCCAGTTCCGGACACTCAGGCTGCTGTATATACCTCTTTTCTTTTGCCCACCAGCTCTTTTACCTGCCGTGAAGATCAATGCCAAGGGCCGGGAGGTGGTCTACCTGGCAGAAGGCGAGTCGGCCAAGCTCGGCTGCCCCTATGAGTTGGAACCACAAGATCATGGCTCAAACGACCTGGACATCGAATGGACACAGATGAACTCTGACCCCACAAACCTGGACAATGTGGTGAGTACGTGGGTCAAGCTCAGCTGTTGGTTTCAAAACATCTGGCCTCTTGTGTGGTACCGGAAGTGAACTGAACCAGGATGAACCCAACTACAGCCTGCTCAGGACATGAACCTGTCGCAACCATAGTGGACCCCAACCTCTTTGTTCCCTATTGAACAGGAAACTCAAGAGACCACTAGAACAGGGGCTGGGGAACATTTTTCAGTCCGAGGGGCCGCTTTGCATCCTGGGTAATCTTCTGATGGCCTTGGGGCAACAAATGCACATTTTTCTTTTGCACAATAGACTAGTTTGATTGGAGGTCAAGGACACATTCAAGCCAGTAAAAAACACTTGAAGAGGGTGTAGCAGATTACCAGGGAATGGGGGGTGGTGGTCCTGGGTAGAATTATGAGGGCCAAACAGAGGCCTTGAAGGGTCATTATTAGGCTCCCAGACCTGAGCTTCCTGCGCCAGTGTATTTAAAATAGTAGTGCCATCAGGATAGGACAGTGGGAAGGATGTCCTGGGCTCCATTGAGCTTACCAAAAAGAACAGCAGGGCTGGCAGCTTACCATTTTTTGAAGAAGTGAATCCAAAAGCTATCTACCGTAAAAAAGTTACCTCATGACATCATTTGAATAGATGGCAATGTTTATTACTCCATTAGAGGGGCAGTCCCCATTAGACCCCACCCAGTGTCTAGAATCTAAAATTACCTAACCACAGTACCAGGGAAGGGAGAGAAAGTTGATTCAGTTCACGTTTAAAGGTGACACTTTCTGGAGCCATACGTGAACCAAAGCACAGCCTTCCTTTGAAATTCACACTTCTCTGAATTTTGCAGTGCTGATCTCCAGCCCAGACACACGTGTACAAACATACACGTATACTCAGGTGAAGCGTGCCTAAAAATGTATACAATGATGGGAATAACATGCCAAAAAATGCATTGTATGAATAGAAATTGCAAAAAAAAACCCCACCCTGTGTAAATATTGAGAAATCTTCATGAAAGAGCTAACGAATTTCCATGAAGACTTTTTAAAAAAAAAAATGCAAATCAATACAGAAACATGGAGAACTGAATTTAAGATTGGAATTTCTGATCATCTTATTGTTTTTTCCTCTTTGTAAACTGTTTTTGCAGTCAAGAGGTGTATAAATGTTATGAAGTAAGCAATAGATCAGAATGAGAAATGGAGAGAAAATGAAATTGATAGGTTTGCCCATCTGTAACCCCACTGAGTTGACCTCTATGCAATTGGCAAAACTGTTACAGCCTGACATGAGAGGCGCCATCGCTTTCCCACCTCCGCAGGCAAAATAATCTGTGGAATGCCAGGTGGGAAGCAAATATAGTTTTGTAAAGGAGGAGGAGGGTGTTGTGTTGCCTGCGAATGATCTGGTGCAAGATCTGTGACCACATAAGCAATTTGGAAATCTTATTCTGTTGATTCAGCGGTGTTGTTCTCTGGTTCCTGCCCACCAGATCCTGAGCTACAACAACCACCAGGTAATCCACCCCGGCTACCATTTCCTGCAGTCGAGAGGGGGTTCCGGAGCCCACGACTCACGACAATTTGGCAACTCTGGCCTGCAGCAGAACATGGTGATGGGGGTCTCTGGCCACGACTGCTGCTCTGGCCTGCAGCAGCGGGTGACCTTTGCAATCCAAGACCCCAGCCAGTACGATGCCTCCATCAACCTGCAGAATGTTCAGATTTCCGACTCGGCAACTTACGAATGCAAGGTGAAGAAAACCACAGTGGCCACCCGCAAGGTGACCGTCATGGTGCTAGGTGAGTCCTGCTGATGCAGAAAAAGGGACTGTGGCCCCATGGCAGAGCAGGAGGTCCAGGACTGCTCTGGTTTTGAGGGACTTGCCTTGCTTTGTAGAGTCATATGGCTGGGGCTGCAGGATGCTGGAATAGATGCCCTGCCTCTTTGTATGTTTTGTGGAAATGTTGTGGATAGTAGGAGAGCATGTATTGATTAAATATTATCCTTCCTCACTCATGCTAGTGAGTCAGTAGCAGAGTACATTCCCCAGTATATAGCAGGAAGCTAGTTAGTAGATTTGTCTGAATCTCTTTACTTAAGCAATCCAATCTGGCTTGCCCAGATTGGTTTTGATCATGGTAAAGGTAAAAGTAAAGGGACCCCTGACCATTAGGTCCAGTCGTGGCCGACTCTGGGGTTGCAGCGCTCATCTCGCTTTATTGGCCGAAGGAGCTGGTGTACAGCTTCCGGATCATGTGGCCAGCATGAGTAAGCCACTTCTGGTGAACCAGAGCAGTGCATGGAAACAGCATTTACCTTCCTGCCAGAGTGGTACCTATTTATCTACTTGTACTTTGACGTGCTTTCGAACTGCTAGGTTGGCAGGAGCAGGGACTGAGCAACGGAAGCTCACCCCGTCAAGGGGATTCAAACCACCGACCTTCTAATCAGCAAGTCCTAGGCTCTGTGGTTTAACTCACAGCGCCACCCACGTCCCTCTTGATCGTGGTAACTCCTCTTAAAAAGAATAAAGACACAACAGTCTTCTTTAAAAGTAATGATAAGAAGTTTACTTACATTCAGTTCACAGCAGGTTCCCTGAAGGCAGGCTTTAGCTTGGAGTTACAGAAGAGAGTTTGAGTTCATCCCATGTGGGGACTGAGCTCATGTGCTGCTAGCTGAGAGCCAGCAGACAGCAAAATACATCAAGAGATCAAGACATCAAAGCGTCAAAAGAGAAAGATGGCTGTGTGACTGGCCCTTTTACAGGGTCTCACAGGGTCACGCCCATCTACCTGGCTACACGCAGGGGGAGGATGCTCCAGACCAGGTGTGACAGGAAGTCCTCCTGGCTGGATAAACATCCCCCTGTGTGTCCACTCTGGGCAAACAGGAAGTGTTGTACTTGACTGCTTGTGTTACATCCCACATGTTCCAGTTACAGATAGGTAGCCGTGTTGGTCTGCCATAGTCAAAACAAAAAAAATTCCTTCCAGTAGCACCTTAAAGACCAACTAAGTTAGTTCTTGGTATGAGCTTTCGTGTGCATGCACACTTCTTCAGATACACTGAAACAGAAGTTGCCAGATCCTTCTATATAGTGAGAAGGTGGGGAGGGGTATTACTCAGAAGGGTGGTGGGAATGGGTGATTGGCAGATAGCTGTGATGAGCCTGTTGACGACTCTTAACGACTGCAATAGGTCTTACAGGAAAAAGCAAGGGGTGAGAAGGTGAAAAATGGCTTTGTCATGTATAATGAGATAAGAATCCAGTGTCTTTGTTCAGACCAGGTCTCTCCATGGTTTTAAGTTTGGTAATGAGTTGCAATTCAGCAGCTTCTCTTTCCAGTCTATCCCACATGTTGGTGGGCCTTGGCTCCTATGGCTCACGTACTGGCAGTGGCAGAGTCTCTGGGAGCCATCCCACACTCTTCATTCCTTCCCCCCACCTCCTTTTCTTCAGACTTACTAACTGGGGACGTTTTCTCTCTCTTCCATCAGCGAGACCATCCAACCCACAATGCTCAGTTGTAGGCAAGGTAGCCTTGGGCCAGAAAGTCACCCTGAGCTGCTCCTCAAACTCTGGCACTTCCCCACTCATGTACCAGTGGGCCAAAGTCACAGATCACCCTTTTGCGAACTGGCTCTCCGCTACCACCACTAAAGGTAAGAACCAGGAACTAATGGAGAGAGATGCTGGGATGCCCAGCATTTTGCTTGCTGCTCTGGGGCGGCAGGTCAGCACTGTGAATGAGGAACCTCAAGCTCCCGGTACTGACTGTGGCCCTCCAGGCCTGTCTACCTGGCCCTTGGGATTCTTGTCTTTCGCTTGTGTAGGTGGAAAAAAGAGACGGGCGCATGAGTGTGTGTAGAAACTAGCCTAGGTGAAATTTGCATCCATTGCTCCACCCACTTTTGCTTCTGGCTCCTCCCACCCACCCACCTATGGAAGGAATGCAGCCTTCCAGGTGAAAATGGTCCCCCACCTCTGGAGTAGAGGAAAGATGCTTGTACAGGAAATGAAGCAGAGGAGAAATTGCAAGGTGAAAAATGAATTTACAAAATCCTTGGGTTAAGGGAAGCAATGAAAGCAAATTAGGGATAAAGACTGCAAACTAAAACTGCTGAACTTGTCACGCATTTGGGCCTGAACAAATGCAACAGCTACATATTTCATGACGGGGTGAGTTGGTCACAGGCTTAACTTTTTGGCCAATCCTATTTCCATATGTCCTACACCTCTCTCCCCTCCCCCAATTTAGTTACCAGTAGATAGATACATGTGTACACACACTTCAGATTACATTTCATGCATCTGGTACAGTGGACTCCACTCCACAAACACATGTGCCGTAATCAACAAAAGGTAAAGTCATAAAGCCATAGGTTGGAAGTTGAACGGAATCCGTTCCAGAAGTCCATTCAACTTCCAAAACGTTTGAAAACCAAATTGCAGCTTCTGATTGGCTGCAGGAAGCTCCTGCGGCCAATCGGAAGCTGCGGAAGCCCTGTCGGACGTTTGGCTTCCAAAAATAGTTCACAAACCAGAACAGTCACTTCTGGGTTTGCAGCGTTCGGGAGCCAAAACTTTAAGGAACTAAGCTGTTCGAAAACCGAGGTACGACTGTATTTGGTCTTGTGCAAAGCTTGCCTGGCTCATCTTGAGGTCATTGTGGAGGAGCGTAACCCAGATCAATGTGACCTTATAGTAACTGGTTTTTTCCTGGATTTTCTCTCTCTCAAGGCCCAAATCCCGGTGACCTGATCATTCAGAACCTATCCAATGACCACGCTGGTGTTTACCAGTGCAGTGTGGCCAACAAAGTCGGATCGGCCAGGTGTGTTGTGGAGATCTCCTTCTCAAAGGGTAAGAGAGTAGCATTTTTCATTTTGTCCAAATACAAAATCTCATGCTTGTCTGGCAGAGCCCAAAAAGCAAGTTGTATGCACAGAAAGCCCACAAGCAGGACCAGTAATTCTCCTCCCCTGCAGTTTCCAGAAACTGGTCTTCAGAAATAATCATCTTCAGGGTCTTGCAGAGAACTCCAGGGGAATTAAATCTTAGCATAAGGAACTATCCTCCATCTTGGCTTCTGGACTCATTCTCCATATCCCCCTGCCTTTATTTTAAATTTTTGAAATCTCAGGCAAATATGGGAAATGTAATCAGGGTAGATGACACCTAGTAGCTGCCAGTCGATCAAAAGCCATCAAGCTTAGCACCTCCTAGCCATTCCGTCTCAGCTCAGTGTTCTCCATGGTCTTCTCCTCCCTTGCAGAGTCCAACCGAGTGAGCATCGTCGTGGGAGTAGTCCTTGGCTCTCTGCTCTTCCTAACCCTCCTGGTGTGTCTCATCGTGGGGCTGATCTGCTGCTGCAGGAAGAGGCGCTACAAGGAAGAGGCCAACCAGATCAGGTGACTAGAAGCAAGAGGAATATATGAGAGGAAGGGGTTTGTGGGGGTGGGAGGTCTGCGTCGTAAGCCTCCCGTCATTAAGCCGCTTCCTGCTGCAGAACATTGAAGGGGGGTCCTCATTCCAGGGAGGAAACCTTAGGTCCAGGGGCCAAATGTGGCCCTCCAGGCCTCTCTTTCTGGCCCTCGAAACTCTTCCAAGGCCAAGCTCCCTTACCTAGCCACATCCTGTTTCAACAGCCCTGCTTAGCATCCTCTTTGAGTGCTTTTGCCTAGTTGGAAGGTGTCCTTAAATTCTGATAATTCTTCTGGTTTGCCTAGATGAAGGAGAGAGCAGGGTGTGCATGTAGACACTAGCCACTACTCTCAACCTTTGGCTCTGGGACTCTGAGTTTGGGGGTTCAATCTCAGATCTTTGGGACTCTGGTGACTTCATCTAAGCATGCAGGACAGTTGCTCCGGACTCGTGATTCCCGATTAGCTAAGTGCTGCTGACTCCCACTTTTTCAAAAGCCAAGGCACCTTTGGAAATTTTTGATATCTCCATGGTAGTTTTTGTTATGTGAATGGTGCCACGGACCCCCCTGGATGGGTTATGCAGAACCCCTGGGGTCCACGGACCACCGACTGGGAACCGCAACTCTAGACAGAAGCCTAATATTGTGCTCACTCGCGCACAGTTGATTTCCACATGCAGCCCCCACAGTTAACAATAGATACTGTGCACTGTGCGCAGGACTAGTCGATTGCCCGGGCTGTACTGTTGTTAACATGATGGGCCAGAGAAACACATGAGGGTAGGGAAAGTGCTTTAAACAGTATTTCACTCATCATTTTTTAGATTCCACCCCCCGCTCTGCAAAATGGGGAGGGTTGGAAGGCAGATTTTCCAACCGAAAAGGGCACTCAGAAGCTGCAGGTGGCCCTTCCCATTAGAACAGGCATCCAAAATTAGCTGGGGAAATGGACCATTAGAAAGTGCTATACTGTACTGTATTTTCCTGGAGTCCATCCATGCTGACTCGTAATGCTTTAATGCTCACATCACAGTTTATTGTACAGTCGTACCTTGGAAGTCAAACTGCATCCATTCCGGAAGTCCGTTCAACTTCCAAAACGTTCGGAAACCAAAGCACGGCTTCTGATTGGCTGCAGGAAGCTCCTGCAGCCAACCAGAAGCTGCAGAAGCCCCATCAGATGTTCGGCTTCCAGAAATAGTTTGCAAACCAGAACAGTCACTTCCAGGTTTGCGGCGTTCAGGAGCCAAAACGTTCAAGAACTAAGCTGTTTGAAAACAAAGGCATGACTGTATTATGTTTCATCTTATTTAAAAAATCATTTGTTTCCTTTGTAAGCTGGCCTGAGCTGCAGTTATTGTTGTTGTTAGAAATGATAAATATATAAAGAAATTAAATAATGAAACAGAGAACTCTTTCCTCTCGCAGGGTGGACACGGCACCCCCACGGGCCAAAGGTGGAAGCCGAAACAGCAGCATACGATCCGTCCTGGACTTCGTGCCTCACAATATCAGCTTCATGCAGCGCCGCAAGTACGGCACTCCCAAGGAGCAGGAAGGCAGCGAGATGATCTCCCCGGCCCAAGAGGCGCAGCCCATGGATTGCAGCGGCGTGAAAAGTGAGCCCCACCGTGGCGGCTGTTCGACCACCGTTACAACCAAGGCCAGGGTTCACTACGCTCCTTCTGTGCCTTCCTCGCCCCAGGCGACGTCTTCGCCATCAGCTGCTGGCCCAGAGAATGGAGGAAGCTGCTCCATCACGTCCGAGAAGGGCAGGAGAGGCCATCCTGGGCAATATGGAGGCGTTGCTGTGATGGTGCCAGCCAAAAGCAGAGATGGCCTCTTAGTATAGACTGCCGCACCTGGTGGTTCAACAGAACATTCCTGAACTGTGTGCTGGACGCATTTGTGTGCCGTGAATGGATTTCAAGCTCAGCCGCCAGAGGCAAATGACACAATGATTTTATTTATTTCACAAAATCCCTGTACCGCTAGATTGTAATAAAACCTCGAAGTGGTCAGGTCTTTTCGTGCTGGGATGGGGAGCTTTAGGCCTGGGGGCCTTGAGGCCTCTCTAGCCCTCCAAATCCTCCCCATTCTGACTCTGCTTAGCACTCTGAGTGTCTTTGCCTATTTGGAATGTCTCCTTGAACTCTTTCCAAGATGGAGGGTGGGTTGTTTGTGGTTGTGTGTAGAAACTAGCCTACTGTACCAAGGTGAAATTCTCACTAGTTGCTCGGTCCACGTTTGCCTCTGGCCTCAGCCCCCACTGGCGTACGGCCCTAGAAAGGTTGTCTACAAAAGGAAAGCAGACCTCGGGCTCAGAAGGGTTCCTCCCTCCTGCCCTTTTGGGAAGGAAGTTATAACTTCTGCCCTACTTCTGCCATTCCCCATTGCTGTCCTCAAAGACCTGGGCCAGAAAAGCCCTCCAAGTGGTTCGATGCTCACAGAAGTTCATCAAGTTAAAACCCTCTCTGAATTTTTGAAAAATCACGAAAGACCTTTTCATTCTACCATACATTTGCGACAGGCTGGTTGCAACCTTTGACCTTGTTTCTGCTCCAGATTATTTGGACTGATTGTACATTGTATGCTTTTATGTATTTAAATGTGACTGAATGTAATTATTGCTGCAGCCCACGTCTGGAAGAAACGAGGGCTTCCCTTAATTTAACAAATAAATGATTAAAAGAAATGACCAAGGAGCTTCTTTTCCAATCAACAGGTGAGAACGGTGAAAAGCAGCGAGCAGCAAACCAATGCATTAATGCATCGACAGAATTGCTTAATGTTTCCATGTGTCAGGAAAACATTGGATGAGGTGTGGTAGTGGGAGGCAACAGCCAGGGAAACCCCAGAGGAGGAAGACTCAGAGCCAGAGATTCATGGTGGGACACAGAGGAGAGGCCAGAGGAAGGATATAGGGAGGAGGGATGCTGAAGGGGCAACAGGGTTTAGTGAGCAGGAAGAGCCTGTGACAGGGAGCAGTTCAGACTCTGAGGCTGAAGCCGGGTCAAGAGGCTGCTGAAGAATCAAGCTCCTTTGTGGGTGTTAATGCTCTGAGCCCCTCCATCCTACGCTCTGGTTATATTTATGTGTAAATAAAACCATATCTCCTAAAGATGCCACAGTCTCCGTTAATCTTCATTCCAAGGAAACTGAGGCCTGTGCAAGCACTGGAAGCCTTGAAGTTTCTTGCCACTCAAAGATTGGCATGGCCTGAAACAGCATTTATGCTGAACCAATGAGAGCCAGTGTGGTGTAGTGGTTAAGAGTGGTAGATTCGTAATCTGGGGCACCGGGTTCGCGTCTCCGCTCCTCCACATGCAGCTGCTGAGTGACCTTGGGCTAGTCACACACTCTCAGCCCCACTCACCTCACAGAGTGTTTGTTGTGAGGGAGGAAGGGAAAGGAGAATGTTAGCCGCTTTGAGACTCCTTCGGGTAGTGATAAAGCGGGATATCAAATCCAAACTCCTCCTCCTCCTCCTCCTCCTCCTCCTCCTCTTCCTCTTCTTCTTCTTCTTCTTCTTCTTCTTCTTCTTCTTCTTCTTCTTCTTCTTCTTCTTCTTCTTCTTCTACCAATGGTCTGCCTCATATCAAGGCAGACTCCTTCTATCAAAGGTGTGTGGATCTGGTTTAATGTTGAATGGTTTTACTGCCAATATATTCACCAGATCATAACCTCTCTCTTTTTTTTGGCAGCCTTGAGGAAGCAATTGGCAAATGTAATAATAATAATAATAATAATAATAATAATAATTTATACCCCGCCCATCTGGCTGAGTTTCCCCAGCCACTCTGGGCGGCTCCCAATCAAATGTTAAAAACAGTACAGCATTAAATATTAAAAACTTCCCTGACCAGGGCTGCCTTCAGATGTCTTTTAAAGATAGGATAGCTGCTTATTTCCTTCACATCTGAAGGCAGGGTGTTCCACAGGGTGGGCGCCACTACCGAGAAGGCAAAGTCAGTTGCCCCCCCCCAAAATATTTTGGTATATGTTGCCCATCTGACTGGGTTGCCCCAGCCGCTCTGGGCGGCTCCCAACAGAATACTAAAAACACAATAAATCATCAAACATTAAAAATATATATCATGTCTATTCTTAGGGCTGGCAGTGAGTCAGTTTATGCCTCTTAGTTTAACATCAGAATCTCTGTCAACGGTGAAACCCCGCCAGATCTTGGCAAGCAACCTTTGTTTATTATTTGCCTGATTCATATGTTGCTCCTTCCAAACCAGAGTGTTGCCACCCTCTGGGATTGGCCCATATATTATTACCAGTTTACTCTTTTGCAAAGCAAACAGTGGCTACTCTTCCTTTTCTGCAAGATCCTCATTTGTTTGCACACGTGGGTGGATGTTTGTGTAAGCCTAAACGCACAGACAACCTGACCCACTTACCACATGTGTATGTGGGGAGCTAGGCCAAGCGATGGCAACTATGGTCTGTGGGGACTCTCACTTCTGCTGCTCACCTAAGCCATGTCTGAGGCAACAGCTGTGGTCACAGTTCTGCACACACACGCGTACACACACCCACACCCACAGGGTTGGTTTTTACAGCCCAAGTCCCCATCAAGTCAGAGATACAAATGGAGTCTACCTTAGCAAGGCAAGCTGTTGATCTTTATTGGTTTGTTACAACAAAGTCTCCTTGCTCCCTTGCAAGGAGGTGCCCCGGGAACAAAGGTGTGTGACATCTTTTAAAACCTCAGAAATTATCCACCTGCCCCTTGACAGAAGGACCACCCCAAAAATGTCTCAGATACATCACAAAATGGGTTGTGCTTGTGCATGTGAATTAGATCATGCTCAGACTGTCATGTTTCTCCAACACATTTGCAAGTCCATCCATCAAGACGCCTGGCAATACCTGATATTAATTGCCCTTCCTGTCTGAGACTTCCTTTTGAAATGATGAATACCTTGACTCCAGAATCCATTGACACAGACCTGTCCCCATTCACGTCCATAAGATACCATTTCGGCGTCTGCTTGGATATTTACTGACACTTGTTAAACCAGTTCCACAGAGGGGAGGCTCAGGAAGAATTTCCTGTAATGTGACAAGAGGGGTTGCTGAGGTCAGCTAAGGGCTAAACGTGGCCTCGTTTTTTGCTCTGTATAGTTTTCTGGCTGTGAGAGTATTATGAGCATGGTGTGGGGCGCATTTATCTTCTACATGCACTCCATGTGGGCATGTGTGTATGTGTTTAAAACTGAATAACAGTCACAGGAGCCCCTTTAAATCTTGCTTGAGGACCCGGCCTAAGATTAAGGTGAGATGCTTCCCTGTTTCTCAGGGATGCAATAGAAACATAGAATTTTGGAGCACAAATGCTCCTGGAGGTCATTTATTCTGATTGCAGGAATGACAATGCAGGGATATAATATTAGGGAAGGAGTGTAGCTCAGTGGTAGAGCTCCTTCCTTGCATACAAGAAGTTCCAGGTTCAGTTTCCTGCATCTCTTGGTAGGGCTGGGAAAGATTCCCTGTCTGAAACCCTAGAGAAAAATGAAAAACTGAGAGAAACCCAAATAACCCCATCCCTAGTTGTGACCTGATACAGATCCACTGAGCTCCAGCAAGTGGAAATCCTTTGCATATCCTTTGCATCTTCAGATCTGATAATCTATCAAGTGTCACCAGACTCTTGGGGCGCTTCCAGACTGCCGCCGCTGTGGGGTGCGGTTCAGTTCAATCGCATATTGACAAATTCAGGTGGCACAATTAAACTTGATTTGGAGGCCTTGCATTCTAAATCCACGCCCCCACAAACTGGACTTCCTTGCAATCTGCAAAATGATTAGGAGATACACTGGACTGTGTAGGATGGTCTCCAGGCCAACAAAACCAGAATGAATGAATGCTCGATAGAGAGCTGAGATTGCCGGGCCTCCTTGCAAACGCTGTGCAAACAAATCAGGATTTGTGCCCCATAAACAGGTTAGCAGGATGTGACTTTACTTGCTGTTAGTGTTGTTTTAATACTATATTTCAAACACCAAGGTAGTCATTTAAAAGGTCAGACTCAACGCATGCTTCATCTGACATTGTTTTTCTTTTTCTGTTAGAAATGACCTGGCAATTGCTACCTTAGGTTTTGAAGCATAGCGTTAGGTGTGTGAAGAAAAAAGCACCACCAATCCGTTTGTTGAGAGGGCAGTATTATTATTTGCCTGTTGCAGCACAGGTCACAGGTGAATGTGTGTTTTCAGTTTCACAATCAGTTTTGTCAGTCAGAAGCCCATTCCATCATCTTCTTGTCTGTGGATCCGCCCCCCACCCCCCCACAAAGTGCATGCAAAAATTGTGTTTACATTGTACACACTTTTCCCGAACAGTGTTATAGGTTTGCAGTGTATGTCTTGGTCTCGATTATATCTGTGGGTCCTTTCCAGGCCTCTGATTCTCTACCAAGGAGGTTTATTAGAATCTAGTAGAAGGGGTTGCTGAACTGGCCAGGCCAGTTTCTTTGTAAGAGAATGGCCTTAGCTGCCTAGCTAAGTATCACCATTTACATGTCCAAAAAGGTTGCTCTGTTGCCAAAGAGACAAATGAGATTAATCCTCCCTCTCCCCACCTAGTTGGAAGCAGCATCACTTTGTAGGGACAGAGAACAATAGGCAAAGGGCAGGGGCTGTGCTGGAAGCTGGGTACACAAAGGCTGGTCTTGTTCTGGGCTGGACCCAAAGCTTTGGCTTAAGGATCTCCCTGGGAACCTAATGGGAAGGCAATATCTGTTGGAGTATTAATTCTGTGAGACCCTCCATCCTTTGCTTAGGTAGTATATTTGTGTAATTCCTGAAGGCACCACAGCCATTGATCTTCATCCCAAGGAAACCAAACTCAAGAGAGGGGCAGACATCCCTGACAGATCTCACTGCTCAGAGACTGGGTTGCAACAAACATTATGTACTTTGAGTTATATCTACCTAAGCTCTACTCATAGAAGACCTATCATATGCTAGTCATGTTCATTTAATGTCACTGGGACTCCTCTGAGTAGCACTTTAATTGAATAGAACCCTTTGCATAACCCCCCCCCAACACACACATTGAAACTGGATTTATTTTTCACATCTGGTTATCCAAAGAATGGGGAAATGTGGATTAAATGGAGAGGGAATGTACAGGTTAGAGTTTTCTTCATTGCAAGGGGTTGGACTAGATTACTTTTGGGCATAGCTGTCAACTGCGAGGAATCCTATTCGGAATAAGGGAATTTCCCTTAAAAAAAGGGAAACATTGACAGATATGATTTTGGGGATCCTTTCCAACTCTACAGTTCTGTGATTTTGATGATGTGACACCATGCAGGTGCTCTTAAATACTTGCATGCTTAAAAAGGTAAAGGTAAAGGTACCCCTGCCCGTACGGGCCAGTCTTGACAGACTCTAGGGTTGTGCGCCCATCTCACTCAAGAGGCCGGGGGCCAGCGCTGTCCAGAGACACTTCCAGGTCACGTGGCCAGCGTGACAAGCTGCATCTGGCGAGCCAGAGCTGCACACGGAAACGCCGTTTACCTTCCTGCTAGTAAGCGGTCCCTATTTATCTACTTGCACCCAGGGGTGCTTTCGAACTGCTAGGTTGGCAGGCGCTGGGACCGAGCAACGGGAGCGCACCCCGCCGCGGGGATTCGAACCACCGACATTTCGATCAGCAAGCCCTAGGCGCTGAGGCTTTTACCCACAGCGCCACCCGCGTCCCATTACTTGCATGCTTAGGTAACAGCAAATTCACAGTAAACTCCTGTATGAATGAACCCTTGGTTTCAGCGCAACACAACAACATGGCTACTATTGAAGTGATAATTAAAGGCAGATGATTTATTGAACCACAAAAATATTCAAGAGCCTAGTGCATTTTTAGGCTATACAGCCCTCCTTCAGGGAAATATCTCAGAAGCAATTAACAATCCTTATTACATTTAATTGAAGGGAACTAACCATATACACATTTTTAAAAACACACACACACATACACATAGAAGGATAATGATGATACTCAAGTATACAGTTACAAAAATCCTGCATCTTGAACTGAAAGAGCTTCTTAAAATAAAAAAGAACATTCATTCTCAAAAGCATTTTAAAATGGAAGAAATGGTTTCCAAACATGACAATTTACAAACAGAAACATTTGTTCATGTGCTCTGTCTTGCGAAGGAGAGGGTGTGATCTCTTTGGAATCCTTGTATGGCAAGAGAGGACAACACTTTTTTGTCAAGAACCGCATTCCCTTGCGAGTAATTTGATTGGGGCTGTTTTTTTTCCTGTGGGTGCCAGCCAAGCCAACAGTGGGCAGGATCAACTCCTCTGTCCCCTCTCCAGGGACGCGGACTTATAAAAAATATTGGGGGGGGGCCCGGGAAAGCTCATGAATAATAATAAGCTCATGAATATGCAACATAAAGTGGCTCCGGCCCTAAATAGGGCAAGCCACGCCCCCCAGCCAGCCGATTTGGCTGGAGTTGCGTCGGATTCCCCTGTCTCGCGGCTGAAACGCAGGAGGAAGAATTCCCCCGCAGTGCCTGCAGTGCGGTGTCTGGAAGCAGCGGGCAGAGCCCCCCCCGTCGCCCGAGATTTTGGGGGCTGAGCCCCTCAAGCCCCAAGTCGCGCCTATCCCTCTCCATTTTTCTCTCCTGAAAGCGCCGACCCAGGCTTGAGGGGCTCGATCAAAAATTTTGGGGCTCAGCCCCCCCATATCTCGGGCGCGGGGCGGGCTCTGCTCGCTGCTTCGCAGCACCACCCACTGCCAAGGACTGCGGGGAATTTCCTCCTCTGGCGTTCAGCCCCGAAGAACAGCCAACTGCCACACCTCCCAGCAGCAACTGCTGGGGGGCTGTCCTATAGGGCCGAGCCCTTATGCATATCATGAGCTTATTTTATCATGAGCTTTCCCGGGCCCCCATTTTTTTAAGTCCGCGTCCCTGCCTTTTGACATCCTTTCTCTCTCTCTCTCTTCCTCTCTCTCTCTCCTAACCCCCTCCCCAGGCCGTCAGGGGAGGGGCACATTGTTCCTTACCAGAAGTCTCAAGCTATTCCTTGCATAGGACTTTTGAAATTAGACTGATGGTCACATAAAATTAGACTGAGGACTGCAAGTGGACCTATGGATGAAGGCCACCCGTTCCTGGTGAATGGAACTCCAAAGACAAAAAAAGACAGCTGCAGCAGTAAATTTAAGAGCAACATTTAGCTGTGGAGCTATTTATTTTATTTTTCACCTGCCGCTGTAATTGACCCTCTCTATTTCTGCGTGCGAAACGACCTCCGTCCTTTAGAAAAGAAGGGATGGGGAACTGCAGACCCAGAGGTCAGATGTGGCCCTCAAGGCCTCTCTGCCTAGCTCTCAAAACTCTCCCCAGGTCACACCATTCCCTGAGTGATTTTCCCAGGGCGGAATGTGACTTTGAACCCTGATAACACCTCTTACTTGCATGGATGGAGAAGTGAGTGAGCTTAGTGTGTGTGTAAAAAGTAGCCTACTGTTTTACATTTGTCCCTCCCCCCCAACCCCCACAGTTGCCTCTGGCTCCACCCACCATGGTCACATGGCCCTCAGAAGGTTGTTTGGGAGGAAATGCTGCCCTTAGCCAGAAAAATTGATTCCTTGCCCCTGATTTAGAATGGCATATGCACAGCTGGGATACTGTTCTATGAACATTTACCCAAAAGCGAGCTCCACTGAATTGAGTGGGACTTGCTTTTGAGTAAATATGCAAAAGGATCTGGCTGTTAGAAGAGTTTGTATTCCACTGCCGCAGAAAGTGTGCTCAGGAAAACAGGACTGTTACAAATGCCATTCTGTAGTTTAACTAATACTGTTATCGTTTCATATTGTGCTCTTGTTTTCTGAGAAGCATTCATTCATAAAAACAAATTCAAAAACAAAAACAAAAAAAGCTGCTAAAATAACAAGCCTAACTCTAATAATACTCAGCATTTGTATGGCGCTTTTGCTGGATGAAAGCATTCCTCATACATCGTCTTGTCATAATACTTACAACTACAGTCATTCTTTGGGTTACAGACGCTTCTGGTTGCGTTTTTTCGGGTTGTGGACCGCCGAAACCTGGAAGTACCAGAAACGGGTTACTTCCGGGTTTAGGCGGTTGCGCATGCATAGAAGCGCTAAATCACGCTTTGCACATGCGCAGAAGCGCCAGATCGCAACCTGCGCGTGCACAGATGTGCAGACATAGGTTGCGAACGTTGCGGGTTGTGAACGTGCATCCTGTACGGATCACGTTTGCAACCCGTGCATCCACTGTAATAATGTTTTGAGCGCTTAAATTGGGGGTGCATGCAAAAGCAAGCGCCCTCATTTGAAGACTCGCTACTGGAACTCAGGCAAGCAGGGTTGCCTCCAACCTGCCCTTGCCCCAGAGGTCCAGAGACTTAGTTTGGGGTGAGGAGACTAGTATCAGTACCAGAACAGGGAAAGAGTACCAGATGTGGCCCGCAGGCCAGATCCTCCCTTCCCCTACCCTTGCGGGCCAACTTTGACAGTTAGGAAGGGCTGGCCACCTGCCAATCACCTGAAATAATGATGATGCCGGCTGACAACTTGAAAAAGGCTCAACTTTGGAGTCCATTTGCACTGGATAAAAACAGCTTGGAACTGGACTTCAGAAAGCGAGACCTTTCAGCGCTTATCAGCTGATGGGCACCAAGAGACATCGCTTTGAAATCCCTCCACAGGGGACTTCAATAAAAAATGCTTGCAGACAGATTTCAAAGTGATGGCAGTCTCACGCCATCATGATGTCAGGAGTGGGTACGTGGGTGTAGTTTGTGGGGGGAGGAAATGGCCTCGTGGGTCAGAGATTCCCCACCTCTGCCATTCACATGCCCATCACCCCCAGCAAGAAAAGGGGGCTATTTGCATCTTTTCCAACAAGAAAAAAAACCCCTCCAAGAGAAAACGCTCTGGTGGAGCTCTGGGGAACCTTCTGCCACGGCCTTCCCTGCTCCCAAATTTGGTTTGGGGTTGGGTCTAAGGGAGGGGAAGGTGACAATGGTGGAGGCAAAACCCTTTTTGGGTTGAACTTCAGGATGCATACCTTCCTATGGAAAGGAGGCCAATATATTAGGGTAATTCCAATGATGCCAATAATGGGGCTGAGGCAGAGGGGCAAACTTTGAAGGCTTTTAAAAAAAAAGCGCATTGGCCTCCCTCTCACTCTAACAGTGAGAGAAGGTTTATTCTCATGGGGAGCCACTACTCCTTCCCATTCCTATTCAGCCAGAGTGGAAGTCCATACATTGTCAGGGCTGTGTTGTAGGCAAGTGTTTAAGGTGAACCAGGAACCAGAAGTCATAGGACAAGACAGTAATCAAGACCAAAGAAGGGGAAATGAAGAGACGGGGTCAAGGAGCAAGCCAGAGGTCAAGGCCAAAGGTCATATCAGGAGACGAGGTCAAGGAGCAAGCCAGAGGTGAGGACCAAAGGTTGAATCAGGAGATGGGGGTCAAGGAGAAAGCCAGAGGTCAGGGCCAAAGGTCAAATCAGGGAATGGAGGAGGAAGTCAGACGTCAAGACCAAAGAATAGCCAAGGATGCTCAGGAGGTCCTCATTGTTCAAGGCTCAGCTGGGACAGGAAGCATCTTTCACACCTTCCTGCCCTGAAGGACCCAATAGCTAGCCTGGGTGGGCAGAGTCAGAGCAGTACCAGAAGGTTCTTGATGGGGAACCCCACAACCTGCAGTTCTGTGATTCACCACACGGGACGGCGGCACACAGACAGATCCCAACAGCGGCTGGTACTTGTAGACATACATGAAGATGGGAGGCCGGCTGATGAGTTTGATCTCCAGCTCTGAATGAGAAGTCGGCAATATCTATCCCCAGCCCCAGTGGTGCGTCAACATTCCCTGTCCCACCCCCCTCCCCTCCGCCCGGCATTCGCCTCATATCAAAAGCCCTTCTTTGCTTGCAGATCGCATCATGACTACGGTGCCCTTGTAGGGCCTGGTGTTTCCATCCTGCCAGCGGATGCAGCCGGGATCCGAGGCGGGCGTGGAGAACTTCTGCGGCTCGGAGTAGATCTGATGCCTCGGGCTGGAGCCTTTGTAGTTCTCCCCCTTGACATATCCAGGAACGGTGTCGATTGCTGCGGGATAAGCATCCTTCCCTTTAGCGGGGTAGTAGTGCTCAGAAACATCTCCTTGCTCCGAGCTGGGGGGAGATGGGATTTCAGGGGCCAGGACGACGCTCACGTCGCTGTCGGGGGGAGACGTCATCTTCACCTGAACGATGGGGGAGGCGTACTTGCGGCACTGTGCGTACTGGCCAGTCCGTGTCTGGTAGCCGCCAAGCAGGGAATGGAGGCTGCTTGCGCGACTGAACGCCTGGCTGCACGGTCTGCTTGGAGGAGCATCGGCATCCACACTGTAAGAAACAGGATTGGTGGGGGGTGGGGGGCAGGAAAGGCAGGGGGGAACCACAAATCAGCTCAGGGTTAGGTGAAACGTGTGTCTCCTGCAACAAAATGTTGCAGCACAGGGGCTTTCATCCTGACAAGCGTTCCAACCAGCCAGCGATGTTCCATTTCATGAGCGTGGGCACAAAGGAGGCTGCTTTAAAGAATCTGGTTTTAGCTCAGGGGTCAGCAACCTTTTTCAGCTGTGGGCTGGTCCACCATCCCTCAGACCATGTGGTGGGCCGAGGTGGAAAAAAACCTGAACAAATTCCTATGCCCCACAAATAACCCAGAGATGCATTTTAAATAAAAGCACACAATCTACTCTTGTAAAAACACGCTGATTCCCGGACCGTCTGTGGGCCGGATTGAGAAGGCGATTGGGCTGCATCCGGCCCCCGGGTCTTAGGTTGCCTACCCCTGTTTTAGCTTATCGTTTATCTCAGTTCTTACTTCTGAATGTTTTAAACGCTTGCCTCACAGTAAAGCGATGGACTATGCTGAATCAGCAAATTTAACAGCTAAAAATAAGAGAACTTAATAATGGCTGTCTTATGGAAAAATGGGAGCCTTTTTCGGATTACTTAAAGAAATATTGTAACATGATGAGTTCGCGAGCAGGATTTGAACCATGAGCAACAGAAAGAACTGGAGGTTATTGTAATTAAGGTTCTGGTATACAAGAGCGACAACAGAGTGCAGCAAAGGGGTGGAATAAAAAACACCACGGAAAATGGGATGGGAGCCCGATAAAACAAAAGGAAAATTATTATGCATTGAAAGGTTTATGTGAAATTTGTGGAAATTTAATAAAATTTATTTAAATGCCTGTTTCTTTGCAGTAATTTGAATATTTTGCTCTTTTTGTAATGTGCTTCTTACAATCAAGCAGTATATACAATGTTGTGAAATCAATAGTAATAAATATTGTATTAATAAATATATACTGAACGAGACCATTGGCCCATCTAGTGCAATATTGTCTACACTGACTGGCAGTAGCTGTCTGGGGTTTCAGGCAGGGGACATTCCCAGCCTTACCTATAGATGCTGGGGATTGAGCAGGCACCTTCTGCATGCAGAGCAGATGCTCTACCATTGAGGCTCCGCTCCTTGCCTCTAACACACACTTTTGCAAACCACATCTTGTGGCAGGGAGTTCCATAAGTTAACTAGGTTATTGTTTTGCTACCCTGAATATGAGTCCTAGGGGCTGGTGTTGCTTTGAATACCAGCACTGCCAGTCCTGGGAAGGGACTTGCCTACCGGACCTGTATATTTGTGAATAATCTGTAATATCCGTGCATTATGAAGCCATTACAAGTGCCCATTTCTCTCTCCACACAAGGAAATTGAGCTTCTTAATTGTTTCCTCTAACTGCTTGGAGAAGGGAGGAGCACAAAACCATTACAGTTGATTTAGGAACTCATAGCCTGCTCTTCCCATGCTCAGAGCAGTCCATTAACAATTACTCATAAAATTCATTTGTTTACTGCTGAATTCCCTGCTTGGTTTTTTTTGGGGGGGTGTTTCCTATTCATTCTTTTGCTCTGATTAACCTTGGAAGTCCCTCCCCCTTTTTTTTACTCCCCTGGCTTGCTTTTAGAAATTATAGTGTGCAATTCTTCTCCGACGCCTCCACTTATTCCAACCCTTCCTTTTGAGATGTGAGAATGGAGACGAAATTTGATTCTGTTTGCCTTTAAAGAGTGAACTGGCCCACTTTGCACTTCCCAAAACAATTCATGAACCAAATCACAGCCATCCTGTGATGTCTGCAATTCTCTGGAGTTTGCAGAGCCCTAACTACGGGGGACGGGTGGGGGGAGCTAGCCAGGTTTTTTGCCCCGGGAGAAGCCTCTGGGAGGTGCCCTTGAGGCTCTCAGCCTGTGCGTATGTATGCAAATGTGCATGGGGGGGTTGCCAAATGGGGTCTTTGACCCGGGTGAAATGAAGTCTAGTCTCGCCCCTGCCTTGGGCTACAATACTCACCAGATCTCGCTGGCTTTGGTCTCCTGGTATTCCTGCTTCGGCTCCTGAGTGCAGCCGGAACAGCAGCAGTCCCAGCAATAATCCTTCCCGCAGTAGCAACCTGGGCAACCGCTACACCAGCTTTTCCCGCAGCAGCATGAACAGCACCAGATGATCCCCCAATGATCAGGGCCAGGGCCAGGAGGGGGATGATGACGGATCCCACGATGATCAAACCTCTTTGGTAACCTGCAATGAAAGGGCTCTTCAGTGACTCTTTCTCTCGCTCCCTAGTACAGTGGTACCTTGGTTCTCGGACAGCTTAGTTGCCGAACAGATCGACTCCCGAACGCTGCAAACCCAGAAGCGAGTGTTCCAGTCTGCGAAAGCTTTTCGGAAGCCAAACATCCGACACGACTTCTGCTTGAGTGCAGGAAGCCCCTGCGGCCAATCGGAAGCCGCACCTTGGTTTTTGAACAGTTTCGGGAGTCGAACGGGCTTCTGGAATGGATTAAGTTCGAGAACCAAGGTACCACTGTATTACAGTAGATGCGCTATTTAAGCCTGATTTACTTGCGTGGTTACAGTTTTGTGTGGTGGTGGGGAAATGAATGAATGAAGAGCAAAGGGGAGAGGAAACAGTTGAAAGGTGTTGTCTGAGATCTCACGAAGACCCTACGAGATCTTGCATGAGGTTTTGTTGCTGCAGAAAGAGGCTGTAAGCCCTCCGCCTTGCTTACCCGCTCTGGGAAGGTTGCGCAAAGAACTCTGTGGGGCCCCTACAACATATTGTGAGGCCCTCTGAGATCTCAAAAGAGATCTTGTGAGATTTTGGACAGCTCCTCTGGGAGGCTATCTTATCATCACCTAACATTCCCAAGAATCAATTTACTACAGAAGTAAATAAAATATCTGCCACCACTCCTGGGACCCCTTTCATGTTTATTATTTATTTAGCAGGATTTATATACTGCTAAACAAACAAACAAACAAACAAACACCCCTCGAAATGGTTTACATAAATGTTCATTAAAACAAACACCCCAAAAGCCCAACTTTAAAAACAAAACATGTAATAAAATAAAAATGTAATAAAACAACATGTTTGGGCAGCTATGAAGCTGGTGGGATGTGGGGTGGGGCGCGTGCAGCCCTGTTTTTAAATGGGCACTCCCCCCAAAAAACAGGGAAAGTAGTGCTGAACAAAAATGCCCCCCCCATTCACTCTCCCACATACCTGTGCCAGTTTTATCTGGGTAAGTTGCCTTAGTGACAAACCCCGCCCTCGCTTACCTCCGCCAAAGTAGATGTCCACAGAGCAATAGGCCACGCCAACGTTATTCCGCACACTGCACTGGTAGGTACCCACATGGTCTTCGCACAAATCCCTGATGTGGAGGTCTCCAGGGACAGAGCCTGCAGAAACAAGAGTGTGAAGGGCTGGTTAATTGGAATGCTTCTGAGAAAGTCCAGAGAGCCTGATCCTCTCCCAATCCTCGTCCGAGGATGCCCCTATAGGAGTGGTGTCCAAACATTTTTCAAAGAGGGCCAGATTTGATGAAGTGAAGGGCCGTGGGGGCCGACCAAAGGGCCGACCAAGTTGTTGACCTTTTTTAGGATTGAAGTTTTGAGGGTTTTAGGATTTTACCCCAGGAAATAAACTGCCACAGGGGCCAGCTGGTGGGCTGGATATTAGGCCCCTGAAGCGAACTTTGGACATGCCTGCCCTATAGTTTTCCTCCCCCTGGCCCCACTGTTGTCGTCACTCACCCATTGATCCTCCGGGGGGCATCCAGTCCCTGAATTGATGTCCGTGCGTCATGGACCACTGGTAGGTGAGGGGCGGTGAGCCCGTGGAAGTGAAGCAGCGCAGCGTGACATCCGCCCCATAGGCTATTTCACCGATTATCGAGCATTGCGGGAGTAGGGGTCTTTCTAGATTGGCAGAGAGAAGATGTCAGTTTCCTACTACGGCAGGGAGCCACCAACCTTTCTAGATCAGCGAGCGTCATAAACTTTTAAGGGTGCACACACATAGTAGACAAAATACACTCCACGGAAACCTATCTCTCACCCTTCAAAATATTAGGAAATATTCCTTGAGAAAAACCTCATATTTTGGAAAACAGAACAATCCCCAAAAGCTATTTTGACTCTCCCGAAATGACCTCAAATATTCCTCTGCAGCAGAAGGAAGAAAATGGGGGAAAGCTTTCCAATTGTCTTTTCGCTTGCAAATCCCGTCAACAAAACTGCCTGGAATCTAGGGGGCTTACCCACTTGCCGCAAATCCAAGTTTCTGTTAAACTGAGCAAACTGTCAATAAGTGTAAGTTTGTAAATAAGAGATTCAGGAACTAAAGTATTTACAATCTCAATGGAATGGTTAGGCTCCCCAGGAAATGCCATCAGTGACCATTATCAGGACCCTGGCAGACAGGATTTATGTTGTAGACCACCTCCTGTGATGTATGTATGATGCTTTTAGGGTGGTCTTTGGCTAAGGGGTTGGGCAATTTCAAAGGTCTTTAAAGGTTCCTGCACGCTGGTCTCTCTTACCTCCTTACAAGGAGGTGAGGCAACTCTGTTGCATCAGAAAAATAAAGATCTGCCTTGCTTCCACTGCATCCTGCCTCCATCCATTCATCTCTGATCATGGACTTAGGGGACTCAGTCCCTTGGAGAATTGGGCAGCAAAATCAACCCCCCCCAACTTTTCCGTAACAGTGGGCATATATGGATTATTTGATGAGTGCTGTGGGTACCACCCTTTCTAGTCACTTCTCTCCCCCCATCCCTCCTGCATATAATTTGCACTCCACACCTGGTTGGATGCTACCTATTCATTCAAAGAAGGGGAACCTCAAGTCCAGGGGCCAACTGTGGCCTCTCAGGCTTTGCTAGCTCACTCTCAGCTTTCTCCCTCCCTGGCCCTACTTTGCACACCAAGGGCTTTTGCAGAGCAGGAATGTGTTCTTGAACTCTGATTTAGGGTTGCGTCCCGTGCGTGTCCTACTCAGAGTAGACCCATTGAAATTAATAAACATGACCCATTTAGAATAATAGAACTGTATAATTGTAGAGTTGGAAGGGACCCAACACGAAGCTGTCACGTACGGGGATCGAACCTGAAACCTTGACGTTATGAGCACCATGCTGCAACCAACTGAACTATGCAGGCATTCAACTTGGGTCCATTGATTTCAGTGGGTCTTTTCTGAGCAAGACTAGCATTGGATACAAGCCAATGCCTGCCTGGGCTGAGGAGAGAGAGGTGTGTGTTTGGAAGCTAGATAAAAATTGCATGCATTGCTCCACCCACTATTGCCTCTGGCCCCCCACACCACTGGTAGTGGCCCTTGGAAGGCTGTCCTTGGAAGGCTGTCCTGGCTGTCCTCAGGCCCTTTCCCACCCCTGCATTAAAAGATGAGGATCTGCCCTCTGAAATATGCTTAAGGCTACAGTCTTAACCCCTCCTGTTAGGCAACACCACCATCGCCCCAAGAATGGCACAAGAGATGAGGTCCACCTTGTACAGTGATGGTCACTTTGTGGCTGGCTTCTGTGGTCTTCTTCACCTTGCATTCGTATGTGGCTGAGTCAGTGATCTGCACGTCCCGCAGTTGCATGGAGGCATCATACAGGCTGGGATCTGGAGAGATGAAACCCACCCTCTGCTGGAGATCAGGAGGTCCAGGGTAGATGACACGGTTATCATGGTAACTCAGGAGCTTGTGAGGAATCAGACAAGGAGAGGTTGATGGAAAACACATTGGACAGAGGAGAGTGGAGCTTTGTGCATTTTATGATGCTGGTCCTTATGACGGAAAAGTTATGTTTTGACATCAGCAGTGCCCACAGAAATCTCTGAAGCCAGAGGAGTGTGCTGAGTAATAGTTTTAGCAGCTGACCTAGCCTAGCTCAGCCATAATCTTTTATTCAAACTAGTAAAAATGGCAAACTAAAGTAAGTCATGCAAATGCCCATCATTTGCATATTTTGTGCAGGTGGGAGAGAACAATTCCTTAGGGACACAGGATTTTGCTTAATTATTTAGTATTATTGTTATTTCACTGGGGGCAGAGGCTCTGTCCTACACCCTGTGTGATGACAGGTTCGCAGAAAACACAGCTCTCTGGAGACAACCAAACCAGTCTCAGGTTCTACTTGTGTGCTCATGTCTTGGGAGCAAGACTCATGGAACTCTGTGGGGTTCACGTGTGACTTGCCATGTTGGCTCGGCCTGCAACACTCTCCTAGCAAAGCAGGGATCTCAACGCTAAGGCATTCCTCTCTTTCTCGGGCTGGGAGACTGAAACCCAGCGATTTCAGCGGCCCACTTACGCACTGCCAAAACGGAGGGCATAAATCTGCATAAAGCTTGTATATGCTAATTTCTATTTACAGGTAAAGGTAAAGGGACCCCTGACCATTAGGTCCAGTCATGACTGACTCTGGGGTTGCGGCGCTCATCTCGCTTTATTGGCCGAGGGAGCCGGCGTACAGCTTCCGGGTCATGTGGCCAGCATGACTAAGCCGCTTCTGGCGAACCAGAACAGTGCACAGAAACGCTGTTTACCTTCCCGCCAGAGCAGTACCTATTTATCTACTTGCACTTTGATGTGCTTTAGAACTGCTAGGTTGGTAGGAGCAGGGACCGAGCAACAGGAGCTCACCCCGTTGCAGGATTCGAACCGCCAACCTTCTGATCAGCAAGTCCTAGGCTCTGGTTTAACCCACAGCACCACCCGCGTCCCTTTTGATTTCTATTTATAGATGCAACTAAATTACTAAACTGTAAACAGAAACACAATCCATCTCACACCAGCGGGGAAGACTGTGACCAGGTGAAGGTTTGCCTGCTCAGTCTGCCGCCCAGATGCTCACTGTCAATAAGCATCTTCAGCGCCCCTGTTCTCCCTTTTTTATATTTATACTGGGCTTGGACCAGGCAACTCTTCAAGAAGAGCAGGAGACTCCAACATGGCACCCATGAAAAGGCTGAATAAATATCCCCTCAAAAATCCACAGGGCTCTTCCTGCTCAGTCAGCCATTTTGTGACTGACGCCCACGACACTTCCTCAGAATAATAATTATAATTAGTATTATTATTATACTCCGCCCATCTCACTGAGTTGCCCCAGCCACTCTGGATGGGGATTCTAAGTGTGCCGACAGGCCCCCCCCCAAAAAAAATTGGTGACCCCTGAAGTAGCAGATGCCTTCCAATAAGAGGGCAGTCCTCCCTGAAGCAGAACCCACGATCACGCTACCAGCAGTCTCAGCAATCACTAGATGCCCATCTCTGCCAGGGAGACGGGGACACAGGGTTTGAAAACCACAAACTCACCGGGTAATCCTGGGGATGTGGACCTGGCTTCACTTGCTTCCATTCAATGTCCCAGCCATTGTCCGGAGTGTCGTCTTCTGGGTCTGATGCAAATGGGCAGCCCAGCTTGACCGACTCCCCTTTGGGAAGGTAGATGACATCCTGTCCCTTTTCCTTGATCCTCACAGCAAAACAGGAAACTAAAAACAAAGAGCCACATAGCACATTAAACCAGGTCTTTTTTAAATTAAAAAACAAGCAAACAATTTTTTATTGGTTTTTAAGCAAATACAATAACCATTAAACACTTATCCAGCAGTACAGTACAACTAATAGTGTTTGTTTTATCCATTGTTTCTAGACATAACACTTACACATTCAACATTCAAACATATTACTTAACATACGCTCTCCGCTGAGAATATTGAGCAGCTGGTGTAAGAAGATTTTAATTTTTGGTCATTAACATAGTCAAAGAAGGGGTCCCGTTTCTTGGAAGGTGTCTCTATTCATTAGGCTTTTAATTGCCCTCCTGTGTCTAGTGAGACCTTGCTGTATCCCAGATAATATTATCCCAGACTAAAACCAGGTTTTTTTCTACCAGAAAAGGTTTTGCAAAGTGTGGTGCCTTTCATAAGAACGCGGTGGAAATCCACTACCACAGAATTCCTGACAGGCCGTCCAGTCTGTGCTAAAGTACCTGTAATGAAGACCCACCAACCTCTGAGCAAGACTCTGTTCCACTGCTGAAGATATTGTCAGGAAGTTCTTCCCAACATTTGTCAAAATCCACTTCCTTGCAATTTGAACCCACCGGTTTGGGACCTCTCTGAAGCAGCATAATGCTGCATTATCTATGCAAAAGACATTTGAAGATGGCTATTAAGAACACAAGAGCCCTGCTGGATCAAGGCAGCTGCACATATGGTTGCAGCTTTTTACCAAAGTGTATGCCAGTGAAACACTACAGAAAGAGGCGCTGAGGATAGCCACTGGCTTGAACAGCTTTACAAGAGGAGCATAATAATAATAATAATAATAATAATAATAATAATAATAATAATAATAATTTATTATTTGTACCCCACCATCTGGCTGGGTTTCCCCAGCCACTCTGGGCGGCTTCCAACCAAGTTTAAAAATACATTAAAATGTCACACATTAAAAACTTCCCTAAACAGGGCTGCCTTCAGATGTCTTCTAAATGTCAGGTAGTTGTTTATCTCTTTGACATCTGATGGGAGGGTGTTCCACAAGGCAGGTGCCACTACTGAGAAGGCCCTCTGCCTGGTACCCTGCTTCTCACAGTGAAAAAACCGCCAGAAGGCCTTCGGCGTTGGACCTCAGTGTCTGGGCAGAATGATGGGGGTGGAGACGCTCCTTCAGGTCTACTGGGCCAAGGCCATTTAGGGCTTTAAAGGTCAGCAACAACACTTTGAATTGTGCTCGGAAACATACTGGGAGCCAATGTAGGTCTTTCAGGACTGGTGTTATATGGTCTCAGTGGCCACTCCCAGTCACCAGTCTAGCTGCCACATTCTGGATGAGTTGTAGTTTCCGGGTCACCTTCAAAGGTAGCCCCACTTAGAGCGCATTGCAGTAGTCCAAGCGGGAGATAACTAAAGCATGCACCACTCTGGCAAGACAGTCTGCAGGTAGGTAGGGTCTCAGCCTGCGTACCAGATGGAGCTGGTAGACAGCTGCCCTGGATACAGAACTGACCTGCGCCTCCATGGGCAGCTGTGAGTCCAAAATGACTCCCAGGCTGCGCACCTGGTCCTTCAGGGGCACAGTTACCCCATTCAGGACCAGGGAGTCCTCCACACCAGCCCGTCCCCTGTCCCCCAAGAGCAGTACTTCTGTCTTGTCAGGATTCAACCTCAATCCATTAGCTGCCATCCATCTTCCAACCACCTCCAGGCACTCACACAGGACCTTCACTGCCTTCACTGGTTCTGATTTAAAAGAGAGGTAGAGCTGGGTATCTCCGCATATTGATGGATACCCAGCCCAAACCCCCTGATGATCTCTCCCAGCAGCTTCATGTAGATGTTAAAAAGCATGGGGGAGAGGAGAGAACCCTGAGGCACCCCACAAGTGAGGGCCCAGGGGTCTGAACACTCATTCCCCACCACCACTTTCTGGACATGGCCTAGGAGGAAGGAGCGGAACCACTGTATAACAGTGCCCCCAGCTCCTCTAGACAGTCCAGAAGGATGTTATGGTCAATTGTATCAAAAGCCGCTGAGAGATCCAGCAGAACCAAGAAACAGCTCTCACTTTTGTCCCTAGCCCGCCGGAGATCATCAACCAGCATGACCAAGGCAGTTTCAGCTCCATGATGATGCCTGAATCCCGATTGGAAGTGATCCAAATGGTCTGCATCCTCCAGGTGTGCCTGGTGTTGTTCAGCAACCACCCGCTCCATTAGATGGATAATAGAGAATAAGGCTACTACCCTCCTTCAGAGGCAATACAGACATTCCCACACGTATGTGTGATAAACTTATGCACGTCCGTGTATATACACGGCTCCAGGATATAAATAAAGAGATTCAAACCAGGAGATGGTGGGAGAGAGCTGGAGAGCCTCCATGGCTCACCAGGAGACCCTCCCTGCAGCCCAAAGAGGATGCCGTTGAGGGCAAAGGAAGCCCCAAAGAGACTGGAGGTGAAGCCTAGCAGCTGAGGTCCTTGGTAGCGCAGCCACTGCCACAGCCGCTTTTCTATGCATCATCCGGCCTCCAGCCAACCCCAGAGCTTCAGCTCTAGTTGAAGAGAGAGTTGTGTGGAGAGCAAGCAGGAAAAAGAGCTGGAGAGCAGGGGGAAACGGGCATTTAGAGGCTTTTTAGAGGGTGTGCTCCACTTACGCGATTTTCGCTTATGAGTGCGGGGGCCTGGAACTTAACCCCCGCCTAAGTGGGGGGGAATGGACGCCTATATACACCTGAGAACCAGTTGCTGGAAACCATAAGATGGAAGAGAGCTGTATTGCTCATGTCATGCTTGGGGTTTTTCCCCAGAAGCAACTGGCTGGCCACCGTGAGAACAGGATGCTGGACTTGGGTGGGTCTTTGGCCTGATCCAGCAGCGCTCTAATAATAATAATAATAATAATAATAATAATAATAATGTCCCGTGACTGTAATTGGTTTTAACTTTCATCTGCCCCACCTGCAATAAAACATGTTTCTCCCGTATCAGTCCATAAAGGTGTAACTCACCAACGCTTTGACATTGCCCCCGAAGGCACAGCCTTCCATTGTCTCCAGAGACAAGATGGATGCTGACAAGTTTTCAACATATGGTTTTAAAGAGTTTTAACTTTCCTTGGGAATCTGCTGGTGAATGGTGGGTAATAAATTTAGGAACCACCCCCACCACAACAGCAGCAAAGTTCCTTATGTTCTGAACTGCACCACCGACTCCCTCTTTGTTTCCTCAATCCAATTCAAAGTACTCCTTAGGATATTCCAAGCCACGCACGATTTAGCATCAGGATATCTGATGGACCTGCCTTCTGCTATATTCATTTATATTTGATCTATATTCTGCTTTTCAACTGAATGATCCTCAAGGCGACTTACAGTGGGCTGCAATTAATAATATATTAAATAAAATTATAAATAAAATTTAAAAATATGCTTGTGCCACCTTTAAAGTGGGGCAGCCGGGGGGGGGGGGGAGAGAGAAACCTCACCAAAGCACCATACAATTAAAATACCACAAAGTACAAACAACAATTTGTGGGGCTACCCTTGGAACGTCAAGGGCAGCCCTCAGAAACCTCAGCTGGTCTAAAACACATTTACTGGGGTCAGGGATGATGAGCGCTTTAGTCCAACAACAAGTTTCCCACCCCCTGTTTTAGAGACTGGATTTTTATTACTTGCCTACCATAATTATTTTTTACTTTGCTTTTCCACACTGATTATTATGATGTTTTATTATGCTTCTCAATGCAGCTGCTTTTAAACTGTTTTACTGCTGGCTTTTACTGCTGTTTCTTCCTTTTAATGCATGGCTGCTTTTATTGTGTTTTTCGATTTCCCTAAGCCACCTTGCCCTAGTTCGCACGGCACAGTAAGCCCCTTTGCTCTTCTCGGGTCCTTTTCGAGCCATACTGACCCATACTGAGAACGCTATCCAAACTGGGAGTCATAATCTTTCTCCTCACTCAGGTTTAAAAATGAGGTTGCATAGAATGGCGCACTGGGATTTAATTTATTAGCAAGCTTCCTTCAGTTGCTGCCCTTTCTTTAGAGAGGCAGTCAACACAGCTGCTGCAGTAACAATATTCCTCCTCAGGAAAAAAAGTGTGGGTGCCCGTTTATATATCATCTGCTGCCCACTGTAGCACCCAGTAAGTGGCAGCCATTTTGAATTATCCAGAGTTCAACAAGCACCTCAGAAAAGGGCATTCTGAAGGGAAACAAAGCAGTGGCTGCTCTGATTCTCTTCCCCACATACAAAACAATAATCATAATCATAATCACTGCTCAAAACATAGCTGAAACAAAACAGGCAATTTCAACGGCTGTGGAACAGTCCTTGTCAGTCCAGTATGGCCCTAACCTGATATTAGGATTATTTCCTACCCTTTCGTTAAAAACACAGTGAGTCTCTGGTGCTTGTTGTGCTTAGTCATACCTGCTGTGAAAACTGAGATCGTTGTCTAGGATTAAGATAATAAACGGGTATGATAATAGTTTAGAAACATTCAGAAACCTGTTCCCCAACTCTATCTAATTAAAATTATGGGATACCCTCCAACAGTCCTTGTTTACTTGGAACAACCCTGATTTTCTCGCCCTTGTCTCCAGGAAATCACGGTTCCTGTAGATTGAAGAATTGAGTAAAGAAAAGGGCGTAAGTTTATGCGTTTCCCCAAATGGGAAACCAGTTTAGGAATTGGAGCTCCGCATGAGGAGCTCCACTCAAAAGCATTGTCAACACCTAAAATGATCATTATAACGATAAACCATTGGTGGGAGGGAGGTTCAAGTACACAAGATCTGCCCTGCTAGATCAAGCCAAAAGGCCGATCTAATCTAGCATCCTGTTGGCCACAGTGGCCAATGAGATGCCTCTGAGAAGCCCACAAGTGGGGCATAATAACTGCACACCCCTCTCCCCACATGCAGCTCGAAACTACTAGTATTCAGAGGGTATATCGCCTCCGACAGTGAAGGCAGAACACAGGCATTGTGGGGTCTGATAGCCCGATCTCCTATGAATTTGTCCAATCCTCTTTTAAACCTCTTCATGTTCGTGGCCCTCACATACAGCTGGTGGGAGCGAAATCCATGCAGAGGGCTAGCCTTGTGGGCTGGGCCGGCCCTCCCATTAGACGGGTTGAATCTCTTGCCTCAGGTGGCACTTCACAAAGAACAGCAGACTGGTATCCCTCAACCAGACCACCTGCTCGGCCACTGTTTTGCTCAGTCACCCTCCAGCCGGTCCACCATCCCTACCCTCTTCCTGTGCTTGTGCTGACATAGCTCTGTGGCAGAGCATCTACATTGAATGCAGAAGGTGAATCCGTGGCAGGTTGGGCCGGGGAGAGAAATCCTGGACAGGCCTCTGCCCATCAGTGTGGAGAATACTGGAGTAGGTGGCCTAGCGTGGACTGACTCAGTAGGATGTAGCTTCCTCCGTTCCTACTGAAGTATGAGGAAGCAACAGCAAAGGTCACTGAGCTGGTGGCGTCAGTGGCTACAGCACATCCCGCCAGTGGGTAATATTGCAGCCATTTTGAAACTCCTTTGCTGGTAGAGATCAGTGAGATCTCTGCAAGGATGAGGGGGAAATGGCTCTGCACTTTCTCTGCCCCTTATGACTCACACTCCGTTCTGCACCAGGAGCCTTTGCTTCTACCTATTGTTAAGAGTTTGGGTTTTAAGATGGGTGCCAGACCCCCCTAGTCTAGCAAGTGTTAGAATTTAATACAGATTTCTAAGGCTTGGAATAGCCAGGCTAGCCGCCTGCTGAGGCGATCGCCTGGGTGATGAGCCATTAAGGGGAATTCAGGGATTTAGTGCGAGACGGCAAATGGGTGGGGGCCCCTCCCTCAATGGAAAAACCCAGAGTTTGGAGCAGAGGTAGCAGTGATGTGACCTAGAGGTAAAGGAGCAAGCTGGAGAGAGAGTCAAAGCAACAATTGAGACCAATGTTTGATTTCTGTTTGAATCCAAAGCTGTAGCTATGGGAGAAACAAGACCCTTTTGGGGTATTAATGCTGTGAATCCCTCCACCGTAGGCTCAGGTTGCACATATGCATAAATAAACCATATATCCCAAAGACACCACAGTCTCCTCTGTGGAAAACATGAACCCTGGGTAAGTGCCTGGACCCCCTGGAATCTCACACCACTCAGAGTTTGGGGTGGTGTGCAACACTGTGGTGTCAGAAGTGGAGTTTCCAGAGTGTGGGTGGGCAGCTGAAGGGCTTGGGCAGCAAACAGATGCAGTCAGTAGCTGAAGGCAAGAGGGAAGATGGTGCCTCAGAGAAAGGCAAGCAGGCTAGAGCTGAGGAGCTGCTGCTGCTTGATTTCTCCATTCCTTGGGAGCACACTGTGGGGAACAGGGTGCAGGAGGAATTGGAGGTGAGTGTGAACGTGCAGGAGGAGCAGCCAGCACCTGAGGAAATGATGGTGTTTTCTTTGGTGGAGGAAAAGCTCGAGGCCTATGTGCATGCAGCTGGCTCCTGCTGAATTGGGCGAGATAAACCCCTCAATGATTTTGGCCCTTGGGTGCCCCAATAGGGCATTGTGGGGTGGGAACCAGTCCCTATACTGGGTGCAGCCCTTAAGTAGTCTGGGCAGCCAGGGTCACCCAGGGTCCCATGAGTTTGGGGGGCAAGAGTCACTGTGAGGGTTATTTTCCTTTGTTTGGGCCCGTGAAGCATTTAAGTAAGCAGAGGTGGTGGGATTCCTGGCTGCCATTTTGGGTGGAATGAGCCACCTAATCTTGAGTATAAGGACTTGTGCCAGGACTTGGATTTGCACTTTGGGGCAGGGGATGAAGTGGATGGGCCCAGGGGCAGCCAGAGGAAGAAAGAGAAGGAGACTCCCAGTGTGCCTGTGAGGAAGCAGATGTGCTCCTAGAGTTGGGTCTTGCAGCCCTGCTTGCAGCTACAGAAACTGTTTTGGGACTCAAGTGTGAGTCTGGAGCCCCTGATCCACAACCTGAGGTGAGCCGAAGTGAAGCTGAAGGGCTCCTAAAAGACTGGTGCTGTGATTTGAGCCTCGAAGTAGCTGTTGATCTACTGGGACCTTTGTGAAATCCCAAGGAAAAGAGTAATGTAGGCAACTGCATGGTGTGTATTGGGACTGCTTATTCGCTGCATGGATCCTTCCTGCAAATTTTAGCATTTATTATTATTATTTTTAAAATGCTGTTATTTTTGCATGCTGGAAACTGTTTAATGGTTTTTAGGAATTGTAGTAGCACCAGGATAAGGATGAGCAAGGGTAACGAAGCTCTAGTACTAAGGCTTGCATCCTGTCTTAAACATGTTGGAAACCCATTATTTTGGGGCTGCCAAATGTGGGAGACTGGGTAAGCTGCTTTGGGATGCAGAATTGACTGGGAGTGTGCACCAAGGAGAAAGAGGGAGGCCCTAAGAGATCCTGATGGACTGGAACTTGCATGAAAGAAATGGTGTTGGATTAATAGTGTAATTGTGTTATATTATTAGTTTTTGATGACGTGTGTTCTAATGCCTTTGCTAACTTGCCTGTTATTTTTCCGCAGGGAAGCTGTACTTTGCTGTTTGTTTGTACATCTAGGAACAGATGTTCTTGGGGAGGGGGTAGTGTTATGAGTTAGGAGCATTAAACTGGGTGCCAGACCCCTCTAATCCCTGGATCCAGAAAGTGATAGAACTTAATCAAAGCTTCTAAATCTTGGACTAGATAAGCTAGCCTCCTGGTGAAGAGCCATTAAGAGGGATTAAGGGGCTCGGTGCGAGATAGCAAATGGGGGGGGGCCCTTGTTTGAATCCATGGTTGCGGCTATGGGAGAAACAAGACCCTTTTGAGGTGTTAATGCTGTGAACCCCTCCATCGTAGGCTCAGGTTGTATATATGTGTAAATAAACCATATATCATAAAGACACCACAGTCTCCGCTGTGCATCATTCTAAAAGGAAACATGAACATGCCTGGAAGCCCTGGAATCTCACACCACTTTGAGATTAGGGTGGCCTACAACACTATTATAATTAGCAGCAAGTCGTGGACATCCTTGTTTGCCCAAATTAAGGGGTGCAAAATTGGGGTCAATCTCAAGCAGGCAGCATCCTTGGCAATCTTCCCCAAACACCTCTTTCTCCTGCTTTCCTTCCTCAAGAAACTCACATTTTTTCCATGACTTAAACCACTTACTGCTCAGTACCCAGCTGCAAGAAACATCAGAGGATATACAATTCCATTTGCTTAGATTAGAAGAGGAGGCAAATTGGGGTACGGGGCATTTTGCAGGGAAACTGAGGATAGGGAGAGCAAAGCCAATAATGGGCAGAGCCAGGGACAGATGTTTTTGTCCAGCTAATCTGGAATGCCATGATGAAAACTGAAGGAAGACAATCTCAGAAGGGGAGTTCCCAATCTTATGCAGATCTGCTCAGCAGGAAGTCTCATTGGGTTTGCTTTCAAACAGGGATATCATGGATACCACCCACCCACCAGGGCTCCTTTGTGGGGAAGGGTAGAATATAAACATAATAATAATAATAATAATAATAATAATAATAATAATAATAATAATAATAATAATAGTTTATTACAACAACTGCTGTTCTGGAAAACAAAGTAAGTCCCTTCTGACCATAGCACACACAAACAATATAGACGTCTACAAGTTTGTTTTCAGACAGCTGGTTGGGATTTTTCCCCCACCCACAAGCCATACAACCCGGAGGAAAATAACAACAACAATTACTAAATAATAATAATAATAATAATAATAATAATAATAATAATAATAATAATGTTACATTGCTATTAGGTTGTCGCCAATGCTGGTCCTACTCAGAGTAAACCCACTGAAGTTAATGAGCACAACTAACAGGTTCATTACTTTCAACAGGTCTACTCTGAATAGAACTTAGGTACAACTTCTCATCAAATAAAACGCTGCCTGTTCTAACACTTTCACGTGGCAAGAGGGGAAATGCTTGCAAAAACCAGGTAAATAAGGAGGAAATGAACAAGAAGGAAGAAACTCTGGCAGGATGGAAGAATGGGGCAGCCTCAGGAGCCACATAAAACGAGGCTGGGGCATTCATGAGCTCATGGCTTCTCTCTCTTTTTTAAGTCCCCGAAAGTCATAGAATCATAGAATCATAAAAATGTAGAGTTGGAAGGACCACGATTTTATTTTTTATAACTGAATGATATTAAATTTAGCTTTCAGGCAGGGGGATTTTTATCTGTGGCAAATGCTCCCACACTTCTTCAAGAGCAACCATTTTCCCCTATTGTTGGCACAAGCCATTTTTAGTTAGCTGAATGGTGGACTGGGGACAGGCAGGGCCTTTTCAGTAGGGCAGTTCATAAAAAATTTTTTTTTTGAAATGCCTGGCTCCAAAGGTTTATCTTACTACACTAGGGATTATATAGCCTATATCTGAAATTTCATGCACATCAGTTAATATCTTGGACCCTCCTCCATGAAAATAGCTGTTGTACTTGGCCATTTTCCCACGTTGTGAAGGTGAAATTTCAATTCAGTGGAGCAGGGTCAAGATATTAACTGATATGCATGAATTTTCAGATATAGCTATGTAATCCCTAGTGTTAGTAAAGATAAGACCTTTGGAGCAGGCATTTTAAAAAAAATAAATAATTATGAACCACCCTACTCTTCAGTGGCGGCACCGCTGTCCCAGGATGTGGTTGCCAGGCTACTCTAGATGACCACATTACAGATGTCCTTTGGCGCTTTTTCATCTCCAAGGCTTTTAATGATTAGTATTGCTGCTTTTCTCTGCATTTATTTATTTATTTATTTATATTTAAATCTGCTTGCCTGCATTTTTATTATGATGATAAAACAGAATAAATTGAATACAATCCTTTCAATTAAAAATGATGGCATTGTAAAAAAATTAATGACTGCACACGTGTATACTAAATTGTGCTTTTAAAAAAATCATTTCCTCCCCTCTCAGCTTAAAGATTCTCCTGGTAGTGTACATTTATCCTCACAACAACCCTGTGAGGTAGGTTAGGCTGGGCCACCAGAATGGGAATTTGGATCCTCTAGCCACTGACACCCCAGCCACTACACCACACTGCCTCTCATCAAAGGCAACACTCTTTTTCTTCATCGTAAAACAATATAAAATATTGGGTTCTCTCGTGGGCTATTGCCCTTTAGTTTGTGCTCACCTCTTCTTTGTCGCTTTTACAACACAGAAATTAAATGCATGAAGAAAGAAAGAAAGAAAGAAAGAAAGAAAGAAAGAAAGAAAGAAAGAAAGAAGAAATGTAGCCTTACCTAGCATCACGCAGAAGACGAGGGATCTAAAATCCTTGTTCCCTGGCATTGCAAAAAAATGAAGCTGGACTCCTGTGAAGAGCTGCTGAAGAGGCTTGTTGCAGGCTCCAAGGCAGGCAGAGTCTGTCAACTGATGATCTGGAGACGGGTGTCAAATCTTCTCCTGGGCTCACTTAGTCTGCGCTGTCAGGATTCCTTTGGGTTGACTTGCAGCAGGTGACTGAGGGCCTCCAAACTCTGTAAAAGGAGCCAGTGACCCATCCCAGTTTCCTTTGAAGTAATTGCAATGCACACTTAACAATTAGGTCACACTTTCATCTGAGAGGTTGCCAAACACACACACACACACACACACACACACAACCAAAGATGTGTGCAAGTCAGGTCCCTTGCTGGGATCCACACGCCTAAACTTTAGGGCAAGTCCGTTCAGTTTTCTCAGGTCTTTTATTTATTTATTTTTGAAATTACCCTAAAATAATACGTTGCAAAGAAAACCACAGAGCTATTTGCTGCTAGGCTTTGGATCCAGGATGTGGCATAGAGCACTTGAGGAAGGGAGCTTTTCCTTTATTTTGATGTATTGTGCAATTAATATACAATGAGCTTGCTGCCCTGTGATCCAAGCACGCTTGTAGAACATTTCCCCTCCATTCTGCAATTTGTTTGATTAT